CCCCCCCCACCACTACACGGCCATCGAAGGCACACTCGAATGGCCTGCCGTTGCCGAATCCACTGTCGATGTCAGGCAGCCGGTGGCGTCGCGCCTCCTCACACCGAATCAGGTGGATCACGTCACTGAGGCCCATACACGATGCCCTCGTCTACCTGCCCGCCCTCTCCCCCACCCTGGCTGTCTGATGTGTCGGTGTGTGTGATGTGTGGTGTGACGAAGGCAGTGTGGCGAAAGAGACGGCGCCTCACAGAGGGGCTGGCCACATTGCAGACACGCGAGACGAAGAAAGACAGTGCCGCGTTGAGCCGCCGTCCGAGTGGCGTGCGGGCTGAGAAGGGCAGAGGGGGCGATCTATGTAGGAGGCAATCTGACAGCACAACACACCCACACCGAACACGCGATGAGAAGCCGACAGGGCAGACACAGTGCGCAAGGGGGCGAGGGATGTGTTGATGAATCGCATGGCGTGTGTGGGGACAGAGCGACTCAGATAGTCGTGATACACCGACAAAACGCGGCGCTTCTGTCTGGCTGTCGTGGCAATGTGGGTGCCAGTGAGTGCTGTATCTACGGATGCCCCCAGCAATTTCACCCCCAGGTGGATCAGATGGTGTGCAGCAGTGTGGTGGCCTCCCTCCACAAACGCGACAAGGGGCGGCAGCGACGACCCCCTACCATCTACGTCAGCCCCTGCCTCGTGCACCAGCAATGATATCACATCGACATCCCAGTGAGCACGAGAGAGCGTGGCACCATCAGCCCTCACTCCCTTCTGCCTCACCAGCCAGTACACCACAGCCCTGTTCTGACTGTCGGGGGCGTGACTCAACGCCTCCTTGCCCCTGTCCCCCTCGACCACCTCCCGCCCTATCCCCTCTATCAGTTTCTCGAGGATGGCGATGTGGGGGTCCGTATGGCCGTCATGCGAGCCGTCCTGCTGCTGCTGCTGCTGCTGGTCCTCCTCCTGTCGGAAGCGGCACTTACACGCCAGGTTGAGAGTCCAGAATCCGTAGAGGCTGGGTGGTGTGGGTGCTGCTGCTGCGGCAGTGGCCAGCCGAGTGACGATCTCCAGGCACTGTGCGGCCGAGATGCCCTTCATGGCCGAGCTGCCGAAGAGCGACCGCAGCGCACCATCACCAGCATAGTAGCACCTGGCGCCGTGCCTCAGGAGGGTCTCGATCATGGGCAGGAGGGCCGACAGCAGACGGGGGTCGGCACGATGCAGCCGGCCTAGCACCAAGTCCAGTGGTGTCCTGCTGGTACAAAGAGGGCTGGAGTTGACGTAGGCCGTGTACTTCACATCAGCTCCATGTTGAATGAGGCAGTCCAGCATCGCGGCACCATCCTCTCCGATGCATTTCTCGGCGGCCAGATGCAGCAGAGAAGGCCACGTGTGGGAGCTCTTGCGATACCGCCCGTTGGGGTCGGCCTTGTCTTGTGTCAGCAGCTGGGCCGCTGCGTCAGGTGAAAGGGAACCATCGTGGAGGCCGGAGGCCAACTCCTTGGTGGCCGAGAGGGCAAAGGCTGGTGCCCCGACGCGTGACAGAGCTACGGGGAAGGGCTCGCCGGGCTGCTGCTGGTGCACCTCAGAGTCAGACATCGCGAGATCTCGGGCGGGCGGAAACCATCAAGTGGCGAGGCTGTCGCACAGATACACACACACACACACCAGGCAAGAGAAGCGGGATGATGGCGAAAGGATGGATCACATCACTGCCTGGGTCGTCTTCTCACTTGTGTGCGCATCACAGGGACTCCCGCGATGGTGATGCATTTGGCGTGATAAGGCAACGCCTCGCCGCCATCACTTACAACCTGACACACCACCACCAAGCAACGGCGCAATGATGAATGCACCTGGCTGGACGATGCGTTCCTTTCCTTCTTACGTGGCTGTGTATGGCTGTGGCTGCTACGCCATCCTGTCATCTGAACGGAACGCACGATGGCTTTGGTGGGTGCCAAAAGGATGTGCTCTCAAATCAACAGATCGGCGAGAAATCGCGCGGAGACAAGCTCAAAGTTTACAGTCGTTTTCTTTTTTCGCCGACCCGCGGGGGGGGCTGCACCAGCGGGTTCGTGCCGTGCAAGAGGAGCTGGAGGCGGCCGAGGAGAGGCCGACCACCCTTCGCCAAGTCAGGCAACCAAACAATACACATAGATGAGGCGGGCTGTTTATTCTGTTTGGTCATCGATTCTCCCTTGACCTGCTGAAGAATGTTCTACCCCATGGCAACGCGCGGCGTACGAGGCCTGCCAACTACCGCACGGACGCCGCCCCCGAGCGACGAGGAAGAGGGCTGGATGAAGCACCGCATTGTGTTCCCGACGAAGAACCTCTCGGAGGTCCTCCCCTGGATGATCAAGGCGCTGCTTATCTTCGGAGGCCTCCTGTTCTGTGTCTTCTGGTTCGTACCAATGAACAAAACAGTTGACGTTGTGGGTCTGGTGGTGTTCAGAAGCGAAGGCTCCGAATTCAGAGTGGGGAAGGTGCCCGCGACAAAGAGCCACAGTGAGCAATGCACGCGCAAATGTGTTGTTTGTTTTTGCCCTCAGATATAGGTTTGTTCTGCTGAAGCAGGACGAGCATCTGAGCGAGGTCATCACCAGCAGCTGGGCCATGGCCACAAGACCCTGCTACATCCTATGGCGAGACGATTCAAAAGAGGTATCGCCATATCAACCCAAATACGCAACACCAACATCACCCCGCTTCCTCTCTCTTGACATCTCAGCAACGTCACATTCTTGGGATTCGTTTTCGACACGAGGACCGCAAACGCCATCAAGGATTCTCATTCCATGACGCCGACGCTGAGCCGGGGCGAGAAGACGATCGGCAGTCTATTCAAGGAATCCCGCTCGGGTCCCATGAACGCCGTCCAGCCGTTTCCCATGGCAAGGGCCTACAGAGAATGCCGATCGGCCCCTGCAGAGGAGAACGACAGGGAATCCGGACAGGAGCTGCCAAGGAGCTGCTCGGGTCAGAATATTGTGCACTAGAAGACCAATCACCTGCCATAGATGGCCGTTGGTCTTTTTGGCTGTTTGCAAGTATCTCTGTCCTGATGATTGGGGGGAGAGGGCGTCTGTTCAATACACTCGCAATTGACCCTTCTGCTGACAGCGTACGATAAAGCACTTCAATTCAGGGCTCTCACTCCATGATGGCCGTGCTTCTATGCATATGTGACATCTGCAGGTATCAAATCGACTCACCTGCACATCCGCACCCGCCGACCTCATCGAGACGATGTTGACCGACTACCCAGTTGCCGAGCCGCAATTCGCTACCGCCGAGGCGCCTCTTCAACATCATCAACTCATTTACCCGCCTCAACGCACAGATGAAGGTAATGGGAGACATGTCGATTCCCAGCTAGATGCGCACCACAGCCGTGTGGTGCGTGTGTGTGTGAATGTGTGTATGTGTATATGTGTGTGTGTTTCTTATTTCTCAGGCCGACGCGGCATGTAAGTTGCTCTGTCCCACCACCATTCCCTGGTTCGCCCGCTAGATCGTCAAATGTGTTGCCCGAAACTGCATCCCCGACATCGAGACGGCTGCCGCACGGCTGGTCAGCCGTATCGGCCTCAAGCATCCCGCCATGCAGCAGCAGCTGACGAGCCGTGCGGCAGCGTGTATCCTGCACCTGCTCCGGTACGCCGATCCAACTGCGACAGATGGAGACGACATCGACTACAGGCATGCCCTGTGGAGGCTGGCCAAGCTGGTGGGGTGCCTGGTGTTCCGGTGCGGCAGCCAACTGTCGGTGGCTCAGCTGAACTTCTACGGGTGCGTGGAGTGGGGCGTGGAGGCGGGGTTGTTGCGAGTTGTGCTGCCCATGACGACCAGCTTGCTCTCCGCCGCCCCACCCGGCACTCACAACACACTACTCATCCGCCCCCTCTTCGTCCTTCTGAAGGACATTTTTGGGATTCCCCAGCTGATGGCTCGCCTTCAGTGTGACATTCTACGCGCTTTTGCCGACATGGAGGTCGGTTTCGACGACTTCAAGGGCGATGGGTGCACATTGACCAGGCTGACGGCACCACCACCTGTTGAGCGCAACAACGATTTACGAGTGAATACCGTGCGCATGGATACTACGGCAATGAACGGACGGAGGAAGCGGGTACGCCGATCCAACTGCGAGAGACGAGGACGACATGAACTACAGGCATGCCCTCAAGAGACTGAGGGATAGATTCGTGGGCGATGCTGTCTGTCTCTCTATCGCCGTCTACATTTTATATTTGATGTCCCGTTGTTTTCGGAACTCGTGTGTGCACTGGTGAATGCCCTCACTAGTGGGTGTCTGCAGGCCTGTCTGGCCACTCATATGGCTGCCATGACATGCGACGGACACTTACTCACGTGAGCAATCAACTCCATTCGTCAAACCCACTCACAAAAACTCAAAACGGTCACCGTCGATGACATACACATGGTCACTGTCAGTGACATACACAGTCGCAAATGAATGGAACACACAACACACAACACACCCTCTAGCTAAGACGAGCACGTCACCACGAGCGGCTTGGTGTCGACGGCAGGCAGGCAGTCCCTCTCCTCATGGTCATCATCATAGGGCCTCGACAGCACGCCCACCAGCCGCCTCACCTCGCCATACTCGCCCCTCTCCGCCTCCTCTATCGCCCGCTGCGCCATGTGGTTGCGCAACACAGCTTTCGGGTTGCTCCTGTTCTGCAGTGCTCGTCGGTCGGCCTCCCACTGTGACAGGGCATCTTTGTCGAGGCCTTCGGCGTCTTTCTGGAGGCGTCTTGCGTACTTGGTCAGCCACACGCGCCAGAGCTCTTTGTCGCGGGCTTCTTTCTCGCTCGCAGTCAGACCGATCACCTTCTCATACTCTGACGGACACACACATACACACACACACACACAAAAGTGGCCTGCAGGGTGTTGCTGATGCCATGTGCTGTATACGTCTGTCTGTCTGTCTGTCGGACCTTTGTATGCCCCCAGCCACTGCTGCCATGTGTCTTGGTCCATGCCCATCTGCTCGAGGGTCACTCCCTGTCTGAGCATCCCAGCCACCATCTGCACGCGAGAGGGATCCATGGCGGGACGCAGAGTGCGGCGCAGCTCCTGCACACACAGATGTAGACAATGGACGACTCAAAAGTGGACACACACTATGGTGGCTTGGGTGTGTGTGTACCACTAGCCCGCCGAGTCTCCTGAGTATGTTGGCCTCCGCCTCTTGAAACGTGGGCGAGAGGTCGTCAGAGGATGGATGTATGGAGCCGGCCGTGAGAGTGACGTCAGACATCGCTCTGAAGGTGACGGTGAAGTCGGCCGCTGTCGCCTGCATCGTCTCAAGCAAATCGGCAACCAATGCCTGACGACGAAAGAGACCCACAGAGCATGACACCTGCATCCTGCATCTCTCGGACTTATTTGTTTGCCGCTTTAGTATCTCAGCTTACCGCGTCTTCTTCTTTCTCTGTCCGGATGAGGCCGAGCTTTCTCCTCATCTGCTGCATGTAAGCGTCGTGGTGGATCTCGTCAAACTTCTCGAGCTCTGCGAAGCTCTCCTCGAGAGGCAGCAGGGGGGCCAGCGCCTCAGCCAGCTTGCGCATGTTGAACTTGACTGCATCCGGCTGCCTGACCACAAGACGCACCCACACCCACACCCACACCCACATTCACTCACAGAGAGAGAGAGGCCCATCCGCGCAGCCCACCGTCTGTAGCAGTAGTATCCCCTGTCGTCCGACCCGTTGGACACGTGTGTGGGGCAGAAGAACTCTACAAACCCAAAGGGGCCGTAGTCAATCGTGTCGCCCACGATGCTCATGTTGTCCGTGTTGAGCACCCCGTGCACCCACCCCACACACTGCCACAATGCCACCAGCCGGGCGGTCCGCCGCAGCAGCTCCGCATAGAAAGCGCGGTAGACCTCTGTGGGCAGGGCCGTGGGGGACACGCCTTCCTGCCACGCTGGGATGCCTGCCGTCGTGGTGTCGATGCCATGCGCCTCTAACAGCTCTGGGTAAAATGCCCTGAACCACCGCACCACACACAGATGAGATCACAGTGTTTGTTTCTCCTCTCCGTCTTCTTTCTGTGTTGCTGCTCGCCTGATGACGTAGTTGAGGAGTGCGGTCTTGATGTCCGGCCGGCCGTACGACGGCCCGCTGCGCACGCCCATCTCGTTGGGGGCCTTGAAGATCTCAAAGGAGCCGAACCGCAGGAAGGTGGACGCCATGCGCAGCACGATGGAGGCCTTCTCCTCCACAATGGTGCCGTCATACACCGGGTCTCGATATACGACCGTGTCAGATGTCACAAGGGTGCCTGTGGATGGATGTGCGTCACATGACATGCGCAGATCATATAAGCCTTGAGTGTGTGTGTGTGTGTGCGTGCCAATGATTGTCACCTGCTCGAGTGGTGGGAATGCCAAGCGCGTGCATGGCCTCCGAGCAGAGGAACTCTCGGACTGACGACCGCAGCACTTTGCGCCCGTCAGCCATCCGGGAGAAGGGCGTCAAGCCAGCACCCTTGAGCTGAATCTCAACACGATCACCTGACACACAACACACACGCACACACGCAGACGCACAAATCACATCGATTCCCTTGCCCGTCTGCAGCATACGCCTGTGCGTACCTTGCTCATTCACCACCTCTCCCAGATAGATCGCCGCCCCATCCCCCAGCTGCCCCGCCCACGCACCAAACTGGTGCCCACAGTAGCAATGCGCCGCAGTCTCAGAGCCACCCAGCTTCACGTTGCCAGAGAAATACTCTGCCAGCGCCGCCTCCGTCTCAGCATTGTCCTCCCGATAGTCCACACCGATGGTCCTGAGCGCATCGGCGGATGCGGCGACGAGGCGCGGCCTCTCGACGGGCGTCGGATCGACTGTGGCAAAGCACGCCCCGGGCACCTGCCGGATGCCCTGCACGTTGGTGCGGTCAACAGGGAGGCATCGAAGGTTGCGATTGTCGAATTGAAGGCTGTCGAGAGACGACGCTGCTACTGGTGACGATGATGAGTCTGTCGAGGGCACTGGGACGGTTGCAGAGGGCACAGCGCCGCCCGTCGATGATTGGCAGTGGACGGCAACCTGACAACAGAGAACACGTAGAAGAAGTAGATGCGCAAGCAAACGTGTTGCGCGTGTGATTTGCCTGAGCCATGCATGTGTCACCCATCTGATTCGCTTCATGCTGTTGCTGCTGCCAGTCGTCTCAAGGTAAGGCTTCTCCCGCCGCCTGAGTGAGTGTGGCGGCATCGAGAATGGATAGATCGGCCTCGCCAGCAGCAAGACCAGCACAGCGCTAGCCGAAACATGCCTGCTTGAGGCCCAGAGCATGTTGTTTCGAGGAATCGAAGGAGGGACACTCTAAGCTCGCGGATGGGAGATTGAACCCACCATGACGCCCCTTGTTGGTGGATAAGCGCATGCATTGACCTGCATCGAGTAGTGGTCCGTCTTTGCATGTCCATGTGTCTGGCAAGGCGAGCCGTGCTCTTCCGTTGTGCGCCTCCAGTCTACCTCGATTTCCGTCCACTGCATAACTGTCCGTGATATCCGTGCGTTTGGTTATCAGGGCAGCGATGCAGCTGGAGGAAAGCGCCGTAGAGTGGAGGCACGCCACGAAAAGAGCACGTACTCCGCGACTCACACACACGAGTAAGCTAATTGCGCCGCCTCATCGATCAACCATCAGCCGGGTAACCTGCGTCGTGCATCATAGAAGATCTGACCTACAGCTCCCTCCACCCTCTCTTCTCCCTCTGTCACACAGAGACCACCGGCCTTTCCTGTCTTCAACCTGTCCTGTCTGCACACAATCTCATCTCCCGCCCCTGTTGGCCGCGTCCCCACTCCCACACGCGCTCACACACAAACAGTGCTTCCACACACACGGCACGGGCATAGCTACAACCATGCCCCACGCACACCCGCTATGCCCCTCTACACACGCCCGACTCCGCCGGCTGTTGAGTCAGTCAGTCAGTCAGTCGACGTCCATCAGAGTGTCCCCGCTATCCATCTCCGGCACCGTCAGCGAACGACTCATGTCACCATGGTCAGCGCCCCCGCCACCAGCATCGTCACCCGCACCCTCAGCCGCCAGCGCCAGCGACGCAGTCAAGAAGGACTGGAAGTGTGGCCGCTGCTGCCGATGCGAATCGGGCGACGGTTCGGGGCTAGGCTCGAATGATGCTGGGAAGCGCATGTGTCGGTTCTTGCCCATGGGTGGCGGAGGGGGGGAGGGTGGCCGGTGGGAGCCGATGTTCGGCAGCGAGGATGAGGTGGGAAAGGTAGGCACCGGGATGGCCACGCTGTCGGGCGACACATCGCCGCGGAACAGGTCGGGGGATGAGGGCTGGTCCAGGCCGTGCAAGGGAGGGGGCCGCGGCACCTGACGCGGCCGGGTGGTCCCATCGACGCTATCGCCCATCCCACCACCGCCACCGGCAGCAGCAGCAGCAGCATTGGAGCTCTCGGCAGCGGCATGAGAGAAAAAGGGTGATCCATTGCCACGCTTGCCGACCGAGGACGAAGCAGCTGCCGCAGCAGCAGCGGCCGCGGGCGGGAAGCTCATGTGCGCACCACCTGTGGTGCTGCCTGTGGCTCCATCGTGGAATCCCTCCTCCATGCCGGGGAGGGGCGGGGGCGGGGCAGAGGGCAGGGGGGCGTCACTGCCGAGCATATCGGTGGCTATGTCCATGTCTACCTCGAGCGATGCCGGAGGAGTCAGCGGCCGCAGACTGCCGATCGGGATCTCCTCTGGCTTGCCCTGATACCATACCACACCCACGCAAACACACGGCAGGCAGGTATACACGGGCGGGGCGTCCAGAGGCCTTCAAGGCCTTGGTGTGCTCTGCTCTGCTCTCACCTCCAGCACATTCTTGACTTGGTCCAGCACAAACTTGACACCAAACACGGGCCGCCACAGCTCAATACGCAGACACCTCAGCGGCAGCTGCTTGTGCTTGCCAGGCTCAGCCGAAAGCGCCCGCGACACCATCCCCGCCCTCACAGGACCGTCGACGCTACTCGCCGTCTCACGCAGACACAGATCGGGCGGCCGCGGCAGGGCTGGCCTGTCGCCACCCGGCCGACTCCCTGCCTCCAGCAGCGACAGCAGTGCTGGCTTCGGCGCATTGCCCCAAGCCGACGGGCCGCTACCGCTACCGACACTAGCAGAGGCTGATGCTGCTGCTGCTGCTGCCGCCGCCGCCGGCACACCAGGTGCAATTGCGCTGGACGGCAGTGCCTCTGGCCGTTTCTCCAACCAGGGGAAGATTGGTACCGCTGACACACTCGCCGCTGCAGCAGCGGCAGCCGCAGCAGGTCCTGCAGCAGCGGATGGTGGTCTGGAAGTGGCGTTGTTGGCGGTGATGTTGTCCTCTTCCATGGGGCTAGCGCCTCCGCTGGTGGTAGTAGTTGAGAAGGAGATGAGTGGCTCGATAGGGAGGGGGGAGGGGAGGGGGCGGGAGGCGCAGTCGCGGATGTACGCCTGAGTCACGTGATCCAACACCTGCACAACAACACCAGGCAGGTGTGAAGAGTCCGACCTGCCTGACATGCGAATGTCTGTGCAGGTAGGTCCCTACCTGTTGGAGTATGTTTGAGTCGAGGTGTTTGCATTCGCTGAGGTTGAGGGAGATGTGTGGTGGCTGGTGGGGGTAGTGGGTGGGGAACCAACAGTCTACCTCCACCCCCTGGCCCGACAACGGACCTGAGGGAGGGAGTGAGAAGGAAACGGAAGCAAGAGGACCGACCAAGATGATATAGATGGCTTAAACGTGCTGGTCTCCATCCTGCTCCTCCTCCTGCTGCTGCTGCTGCTGCCTGCCTCACTGACTGACTGACCGGTGTGTGGAGTTACGATGAACTTGGCACGGCAATTGTCGGAATGCAGGCACGAGCAGATGTGCGGCTGCAACGCATCCAAATTCGACACTTCGCGCTGCAACCTGAAACAACCACACAACACAACAGCCCACCGGCATGCCAGCCAACATGCGCGTCGCGTCTGGATGCTCCCGCTCATCTCACCTAAGCTGTCCTATGGACGGTCTCAGCTTGACCTTCTTGAGTCGCGGGATGAGATAGTCCTCGATGAGCGAGTCGCCCTCATCGGTGAGCATGGCCTTACACAGGTCATCGCCCTCGCTACCGCTGGCAGAGGTGCTCTGTTTGTCCGAGCGGCTCTCCTCCTCGTCGCGAGGACGCTTCGGCACCGCAGGACGGGCTTCTGGCGGACCGGGACCGTCGCCGTCCTGCATCGCGCCAGAGAAGAACGCCCGAATGCCGAAAATCCGGCAACTCTCCTCGGACCAAGCGAGCTATAAACGCCAAGCGCGCAAACAACGTCGAGGGATTTGCCAGAGGTGCAGGAGCTTTGCGCCTTGCGCTGTGCCGTTCTGAGGCTTCTCTCTGCCAGTCGGTCTCAAATTAGTTTCTTCTTCGCGATGAGCGGCGCCGAGCCTCAGAGAGCCCTGAAGAAACTCGATGGCAAACTCAAACTGCCCAAACAGAGAAAGTAAGCCGCCAAATGTCAGAAAAGCTCACTCACAGCAGCAGTCAGTTGCCTTCGGCTATCTCTGCTCGTGTGTCTGTCTGCCGGTCAGGGGCATATCATGGGATGAGGTGACCATCGCCGAGCACGATAAGGAGCGCGGCACGCGCATGAAGATTGAGGAGCCGGACACGCCATACCACCAGGGAGCCGATTCGGTCAGCCCACGATGCATGAATGATCTCTCTCTCTCTCTCTCAATGAGTGGCTGGCTCTCAAATGAGTGCATGTGTCGTGTTGTGGTGGTTTGATAGGGTCACGACACCCCACAGGCCATGGAGGAGGACGTCGTCATGCAGGACGGTGCCGGGCCTCCTGCGATCCCTCTCCGCAACGCGCAGAGCCTACCCAGCGTTATGCAACAGAACTCACGGACGGTACACAGATGGACAGCACAGGTGCTCGCCCGCTGACCGATCACTCATGCACCTGCTCTCTCTCTTTCTCTCGTGTGCGTATCAGGCGGTATCCCCGGACGAGTTGATCAACAAGTTGGTGGCGCACAAGGCCCGGAAGGAGGCCGAGAGGGCTGCCCGTGGTGGCGAGTCGGGCGACTCGAGCTGCGAGCCGTCGCCGGCTGTTGGGCCGAGGTCCGGTGAGGAGGAGAAAAAGAAGAAGGCCTTCGCCGACAAGCGGAAGGGACACTACAACGAGTTCCAACTGCTGCGACAGATGAGGTGGGTCGCTGAGGGACCGAAGACACACACAATGGAGTGAGGGGGATGTTTGTCTCTCTCCTGTCTGTATGTGTGTGGGGACAGGGAGGCGGGGAAGCTTGAGGACGAGGAGGATGATGACGACTGACTCAGCGACACGGCAGACAGGCAGGACGATGACGTGGGTGTTTTTTCTGGTCCGTTTTGTTCGGTGTTGTTTAATCCTGCGCCAGCTTGCTTTCTGCGGTACAAACACCAAACAAGAAAGAGAGGGAGGGAGGGAGGGAGGGAGGGAGGAGGGGCGAGGGGCAGTTGGAATCACTTGCTGGTGACGGCAAGTATATCGTCCCTGTCTTTTTCGTAAGATCTACGTGGGGAGGGGCAGAGGTGTGGGTGTGTACATAGTTGATAGCATAGGAATGACAGACAATGCGGAGCGGGGGAAGGGGGGGACAGACACTCTGTGTGGCGAGGGACGCTATGCGCGGCACTTGCTCTCACTCAATCGGTCAATCGTGAAGAGTCTCTTCTCTTAAGGGGAAGTCAGCCCGCCGGGTACTCGCAGTCAGAAACGTCGCCAATCTTCCTTCGCGACGGCCCCTATGTGCACTGCACCCAATCGGGGCGGTTGGTTGTTGGGCGGACGGCCTGAAAAATGAAATGTTCGCACTATGGACAACCATGGACAACACAACAGTGTTTCAACCAAGAGGAAGAAACCGCTTCATGTGTCGCCAGGGATCTGGGGAGAGAGACACCAGACACGGACACACTGCCATGCGCCTTGAGGTCGTGTCGTTCCTTCTGCATGTATGCATGCGCTCTCGTGTGTTGAATTTTCACGATACCACACGCATGGGATGTGTCTCCACATAGCAAGTAGAGCAACAGGAGTCCATACTTCATTGGCAGAGAGAATAGCATCAGTTCACATGAATGCGTGTGTGTGCGTGTGTGTATGGTTCTCATGAGTGGTCCTCGATGAGTTTGTGGAGCTCAAACTTGGGCTTGTTGGCCGACACACGGACTATGAACTCGCCTACCTTGTTGGGCTGGACGAGCACACGCATACAAATACAGAGACACAGAGACATGATATGCACCGCGGTTCACGCCAGACCATCTCAAACGCACCGCTCACCTCATATGTGGTGGGCATAATGATGTAGGGCTCGTCATCGTCTGTGGGCTCCAACTGGAGCTCCTGCACACAAGTTAAAGGGGTAAACGAGAGGAAGCGTTAGCGTTCATCTGCTGCACACAGAAGAGACTGGTCTTTCCTGCCTGACCATGGCGACTTCGTTTCCAGGCAAGTATGGTGTCTCAGAAATGACGTTGGTCATCTCAATGTGGTCGCCGCGAAGGATGTAGAAGCCCATCATCGCACCGACGGGATCCTGTTGGCAGCCAACCACACACACTCTGATGCACTACACCCTAGGAGGTGAGCCCCTGTCTCTGTCTGTGAGTCTTCTTCTTGCCTGTGCCACTGTCTTTCGCCATGCCTTGTCGAGCCTGGCGAGTGTGACGTGGGCAGTGATGCTCTGCAAGTCCACACTCAGCAAGGCATGCTTCCATGTCCCATCCCTTCTTCTCCCTACTGTGCGATGCTGACATACCGCGGTGACATGGAGTGTGTACTTCGGGTTCTTCTGCCACGTCTGCAGCTTGGCTGCACGCAAGGCAAAGAGACACACACACGCATATCGTCACGGATGAGCTCTCATATGGTGCCTTCCCACGTTGTGTCTCATAGGGCGGGTGGAACAGGTGGCAGCCTCCGGCCGTCTCGGCCGTCCTGAATACCGAATGCCAACACAGAGAGGATGTGCGATGCCTCCAGAGAATGATGTGTACCATCCGCCGTAGAGGACCACATTCTTGGACTCATCCAGCTGCACAGCATCCTTGAGAGGTCTGTCGGCGAATATGTTGAGAGTGAACGACCCCAAGGCGCCAGACTCAGCCAGCGACGGCACCACCACCAAAGGGCCCTGTCGACACGCACACAAGAGGCATCCGCATCCTTCAATGAGTGAGTGAGCCGATGGCTCGCCCGCATGTACCTGTTGTGGCGTGACGGACAGGTGCATACACGCGACATCCTCCTGAGAGAATGACGTCTCCTGCCACCAGTCCGTCGACAAGATCTGACAGACGGACAGACACACACACAGACAGACAGACAGACGGGCGGACGTTCCTTCCCCCCACATGAATTGCGTCACCTGCAGTTTTCTGTGCAGCGTGCCCAGCTCGGGCGGCCGCTCCTCCAGCGTGACCGTGGACCGACTCAGTTTGTTGAGCTTGGCTGAAGACGTCACCACTTGCGTGGCCGCAGGCTTGTTCCGGCGGTTCAAGTCGGTGCTCGCAAACAGGCGCGTCACCACAAACCCCACCTGAGCTCCATGCACAAGACCCCTCCCTCCCTGTGTGTTGTGCTGTCAGTGTGTGGCCTACATTGTGGACGTCTCGTCTTCTCTTGCCCAGTGCCCGCTCGCAGACAATCTTGAGAGTAGTGGCCCGCTGGAAGTTGAGGACAAACTGTGGGTTTGTGCACCACTGGATGGCCTCCCCGCCCCGCTTCTTCAGCCGCCGCCCGCCCGCCGACTGCTGACCCCACTCACTCTGACGATGAGCAAAGCATAGACAGAGAGAGGGACAAGCGCACTTTGAAAGGCGGTTGTCTCTGTCTGTGTGGTGTCTGGTGCGTGCCTTGAATGTCTTGAGCCACGGCTGCGGCTTTGGCTCCAGGTAGATCTGGACATGCACAGACGAGGCAGATGTGGTTGTCTCGTGCGTGAGGCTGGTGGGTGTGTTGTGTGTGTCTGACCGGTTCTGAGCTGAACAGCCTGAGGTGGAAAACGCGTCTCACATTGACGTCGGGTTTGGCCTCGTCCTGATAACACACGATGTGGTATATCCCGTGCTGACCTGCAAATAGACACATACACAGACGCGGGGAGTGTCTCCCATTTGCCAACAACCAATTACCCTTCTCTGGCGACAGGACGATCTCGTGGTTGACCTCCCGCTTGTTCTCTTTGATGGGCTCGTCCAGAGGCACGGCAGTGCCCAGAATGTCAGACGGATTGCACTCCCACAAACGACATGCAGTCTGCAGCACAGCACAACACGACATTGCTCGATCACAGGCTGTCTGTCTGCTGGCGCGCCGGCTGACCTTGGCCTTCATCACGAGGCAGTTGATGGGGATGGGCGGGTTTTCCTCTGACTGCATCAGCGACACAAATATCGTCGTAGCGCGGCTGGACTGGACTGTCAACCGGAACTGAGGATTGTTGAACCACCTGAGTCACACAACATCAAGCATCAGCCAAGGCGCCAACCACGTGTCATTGTGTAAAGGTCACCGTGGGTCTGGATCGCCAATGACCGCCTCAGTCGCAACAGGCGCGGCGGTTACTAGTGCAGTGCTGCGCGCGGTTGCCCCCAATGCATCTCCACTGAGACACAAGACACACAAACACATCTCCACTGAGGCACGACAGCAAGAGACGGCCAGCCATGCCTCTCTTGCTCACGCGCTGATGCCTGCACGCAAACACGACGAGACGATCCAGAAACACGAGACGGAGTGAGTGAGTGTACTGCGTCTCACCTCCTTCGGTCATGGTCTCAGTCTGCCCAGCCTCCACCGCAGCAACAGCCTCACGAAACACAGAACGGGATCGCCTGCAGCCAACCAATCAGTCAACAATCAGTCAACGGACACATAAGTCATCCACTCACTCGGTAGGTGCGTGGCTGTGTGGCGATGCAGCCCCGCCCATCGTAGCTCCCAAGGTCAAGCCGTGGAGACTGCTCGCCATCGTCTGACCCAGGTCCAAGCCCTCCACAGCCGTCTGGCCGATGCGGGGCGGCCCCGCGGCTGTCAGCTGGTGCCACGTGCTTGTCTGGACGGTCTGGTGATACTTCTTGGGAAACAGGCGGCACACATACAGACGAGAGAAAGAGTCCGCCCAGTCGGACAGACGCATCCACCAGGTACCATCTGCAAAACACACACACACTCAGGGAGGGAATCCGGCCATGTCTCTCTTTCTGGGTGTCTGTCTGTCTCGTGTCTGTACCTCACCAGGTCCAAATTGGTAGTTGAGCTTCTCCTTGAGGTCCGGGTGTTTGGCCCACATCTGATCGTGGTCGCTGAATGCCCCCCGCCACTCCACGTCGCCCCAGGGGTTGCGGATCCGCAGCAGCTGGAACCCCTCCATCTCAATCACATCCAGCACACCATAAGGGTGCCCCGGCAAGATGCCGTCCGTCCTGTCGGCGTCATCAAGATCGTCAAACTCCCCATCGGCGACACCCGAGAGGACGCAGCCGCTCTCAAACCAGCTGAGACACATTGATACGGGACGAAGGATTGGGGGACGGAGGGAGGGAGGTTTGGTGTTGGTGCGCTCACGTGAGGAGGGCGCGCCAGAGCTCTCCATTGTCGACCAACTCCCTGATCGATTCGTTGCGCAGGTCAAAGATCTCTGTCGAGCCGCCGGTGAGGTCCACAAAGATGTCACCGAGCTGACTGCAGGGGCAGCAGCAACAGAATACACACACCACGCGTGTCTGTCTCCCTTTTCGGCTGACATGCGGACCGTTTGGTGATGGCTTCGTATGAGCCGTACAGCTTGGCGTAGGCCTTTTCAAGAAGCGGCAGCCACATCTCCTCCTTGCGCTCGCAGTGGCCGAATGCCGGCCGTCTGGCCTCCAGCTCGTCACAGAAGGGCAGCTTGGTGTCGATGACCACCTCACGCCAGTCGCCCTCGTGGAAAAATCGACATGACATCAAACCCACATCCCTGAAAAGACCGAAAACGGATTGATCCACAATCTCGTGCAGTGAGGGCGCTCTTCCCTCACCTCCAGTTGTCGGTATGCCCGAACAGGTTAGTGGCTAGCCCCGGCATGGTCGCCACCACCGATGCTGCGCCCAGGAAGGCCCTGTCTGGGAGATCACCGGCCTTGACGTCGGAGGCCGGTCTGTCCTCTGAGAAGAGGACTGCGCCGCGTGTGATCTGCTCTGGTCGCTTCCATGACGTAACGCCACCGCCGCCCACCGTCGCATAGGCGGGGATGTCAGAGGGGTCCTGCGCAAAGGAGAGGTGTAAAGGTCTGGTGGATGTGCCGTCTCTCACAGTTTTGTCTTACGATATATAGGGAGGAGTCGCTATCGGTGAAGTTGGGGTCTTCGAAGAGCGTGCCTTCAGCCAGGCATGCCTCGACCACCGTGGGAATATTGAGCGCCTCCATGCGATTCTGCCGCAGCGCCTCATCGTAAGCCGACTCCTCCGCCGCCTTGGACCCCTCTCTCTCCCTCTCACTCTGAAGGTCCACCATCAGCTTGGCGCGCCCCTTCTTGCCCGACGAGGCGGCGAGCACTGATGCGTCCTCCTTCTTCTCGACTGGCACCTCCTCCTGCTTTGGCGCCTCAGACGGCGGCGCTGGCTCTGGGGTCACCTCCTCCTCAGCTGCTGCCGGCGCCGGTCCCTCTTTCTCCTCTCCACGCAGTTCCGGTTCTTGTTCCTTCAACGGTTCCTCTGCCGGCATTCTGGTAGTCGGGGCTTCTTCAGTGGACGGCGGCACGACCGTGGCCTCACCGACGGCCGCCGCAGAATCTTCGACGACAACCGATTGACGCTCCTCAGTCGTGGGCTCCTCTAGTTGTGCGGCATCGATTGGCGGCTGGGCTTCGTCAGCAGGCTTCTCCTCTGCAGCTGGGGCAGCCTTCTCATCAGCTGTCAGGGGTTCGGCTGCCTTTTCTCCCTCCACCGGTATCGAATCACCGTGCCCCTGACCCTCCTGCAGCTCGACCGGCGGGGCCTCCTTCTCCTCACCTTCCGCTGTTTGCTCGGCAGCAGGCGTCTCACCAACAGCCTCAGCATCAGGGGCCTCATCAGTTTTGCCAGCCTCAGCGGCAGGGGCCTCATCAGTCTTGTCAGCCTCAGCAGCAGGCGCTTCAACTTGTTGATCCTGCTCTTGTTCTGCATGGGTGGCCTCATCGACTTGCTCCCCCTGTGTTTGTTCTTGATCGACAGCCTCTTCGGCATTTCCCTCAGCTGCAACAGCGCCCTCGACCTGCTCTTCTTCCGCGGGGGCCTCCCCTTCTGTCTGCTCAACCATCTCGTCCTTCCCCTCAGGTGTTTCCTCCTCTACAACGGCCGACGGCTGCTCTGCGGCCTCGTCTGTCGGAGGGATCTCGTGCACAACCTCCTGGACTTCAGCGGTGGTGTGTACTTCATCTGTGTCGGGCTCCGGCTGGCCAGCTTCTTCCTCTGCGGCGGCTGCATCCTCCATTTCCGCTTCCTCGGGTTGGGGCTCGCCGGCTTCCTGCGGTTCTTCGTCAGCGGCCTGTTCGTCCGGCCGCACATCAATGGGTGCATCAGCGGCAGCCTCCTCACTCATGTCGCGTGCGAGCAGGGGAGGGGGGGAAAGGGGAACGACCAGGATGGGGGCCGCGTGGGGGGTCGTCTGAGACGCGGCACCAGTGTCATACGAGCAGTCGACATACGAGCAGTACACCACAGCAGCAGCTCAGCGCACATGTTCAGGGACGCGTCGCTTTTCGTGCAGTGCCAGACAGACCGACGGCAGATGCGTCATGGACAAGTCCACGGGCAGATGCAGAGACAAGCAATGCGCCGAAAACAAAAGAGCGTTCCGGTGGGTGGACGGAGGGTCTGTTCAGTGTCTCTGCACGAGAAGTGCGTGTGTGTGTGTTTGTTCGTTTAGTTTCATCACTCAGTGGAGGTGCCACAGAGACAAGAAGTGTGTGTTCTCGACAGTCAACAAGAAGTGAGACACTTACACACACACACACGAATGTGTGCAGCAAACATTTTCTTCTTCTGTTTGACACAAAGGCCGTGGCATGATAAAGGATGGCGAAAGGCACTCGCACAACATACAAACCCGAGAGGCGCAACAAAAGTTGCACTGTGTGGGAGTTCATGTATCTATCCATAGATCTATGCGTCATCGATACGGGGTCTCAGTGGCACTAGAACCCGCCCAGCATGCCCTTCTGCGCCTTCTTCCAGGCGCCCTGCCTGCGGTTGTGGTTGGCGATGCGGCCCTTGTGCTCCTCCTTTCGACGCGCCTGGATGGTCTGCCCATGCACTGGCAACCCGCGACCTGAAAGAATGAAGGCCTAAATGAGTCCAGAGCGTTGTGGTCGGTCGACATGCATGCATACCTCTGGGCAGCCTCCCTCCTCTCATTTTGTCAGGGCCCCATCGCGGGTCGCGGATGGCACCGGCGCCCTCGCCTTTCTCGTCCTGCAACAGACAGACACCAGACACCGATCGAGAATGTGTGAGCGTGGGCGTGAGCGTGAGCGTCTGACCTCCTCTTCTTCGTCCTCTTCGTCCGACTCGCCTGTGTCTGAAGACAAAGAGCCCATCCACAGTGGGTGTGTGGGTGGATGGGTGCATGCTGCGTCGCATGGCACTCACCTCCGATCTCTGCCGCGATGTTGTAGTTTGCCATGTCCGTGTCGTCATATTCGTCGTCATACTCATCCACACGGAGCCTGCAGAAGCCGCCACAACCACACAAGGCATCCCCACATTCAAAGATATGCGTGTGGCGCGGCCGTCGTGGATGGATGGTTACGCAGTGTCTAGTATCCGGGACTTCTCAGCCGCTGACATCTCCAATCCTTCATCGCCCTCCATCCTGACTGTCGGGCGCGCCCGTCGCGGCCGAGGGGCCACCTGAGGCACTGATGCAGCTGCAGCAGCGGCTGCTGCTGCTGGTGGTGGGCTCTGCGACGGGCTTGATACGGGCCGAGAGCCGCCCTTCTCGAGGAGCTTAATGCCTGCACGTGTACACACAATATGAGACGGTCATGATGGGTGGTGTGTTGCGGCTGACTGACCTTCCTGGAGGGTCATGCGTCGGTCGAGGGCGGCAAGGTGGGGTGGCAGGCTGCCCTCAAACAGGTGGTTGACGATCATGTTGACCTGAGCGTCGAAGCTCTTGACCAGCTGCAGCACGAACCCCTCCTCGCCAGCCACCTCTCCCGCGATCTCCCGAATGGTTCTGACGGCAGGCGCACACACACACACATTCATGCGCTGCGCTGTGTGTTGGGCCTGAGTTCGTCTCACTGGATGGCGTCCATCTCCTCTTTCGAGATGGTGGTGTCCACCTTGCTGCGTGCTGTGGAGGGACCGTCGCTGGCGCGCGGGCTCTGCATGGACAGGAACAATGGCGTCAGACAGAGACGCTCTGCGTGTTGTTGGTCGCCCACCATGTCAGGCTGTCGGAGGTTGAAAGCGATCTCGATGAACTCCTTCGTCGACCCATCCCTGGCACAGACACACAAGGACGGACGCACGCCACGTCTGTGTTGTATCGAGCCACCCACACACCACATGCAGCCAGCTATCTCACGCCACGCCACGCCACGCCACGCCACGCACATGGTGGTGCCGTCCCTCCACTCGTCGATGGTCTTCTGGATGCCCATCCGCGAGAAGTCCTGCTTGAGCCACTTGCCCCCGTCCTCCCCAGCCGACTGACACCCCTCGCTGAACTCCAGCGCCCATGCCGTGAACTCGTCAGCGCTGCCCTTGCTGGGGGCGGGTGGCGGGTCCGACGATGAAGATGACGACGGCACGGCCTCATCCTCACGGAAGCCCAGCAGAGCCTGGAGCGTCACGACTATGCCATTGGCGGCCGCCAGCCGGGCCCGCTGCTGGGCGAACCGGAACGATGCCGTGTGGCTGCCGGGGTCCACTCGAACACTGCTGCCTGGTTGATAAAGGGCCGCACACGCAGGGGACACCTGAGACCACACACACAGAGACACACATGAGATGGGATAGACTAGGATGCCTTGTGCTCACGCACCAGCAATGAGTAGGTCTTGGCGAGAAGTCCGAGCAGCGGCGAGCCCATTGGCATGACCATGGCTGCCGGGGCCGACTCGTCAGGCGCAGCAGCGACACTCGAGCTCGCCGCCTGCTGCTGCTCCTTGGCAAAGCGGGTCATGACGAACGCTCTGACCACTTCTGGTGGGAAGAAGAGCAGCGCGCCGCCGATAGTGACGGCGCCGTCGATGAGGAAGGAGAGAGTGTCGAGGGTGTTGGCCAGCCACTTGGTGCTGAATTCTTTGCCAAAGTCGTCGGGGTCGTCGCTGCCGTCTTTCTTGGCTGACAATGTTGACAGTGAGAGGCTGCCCGTCTGCTTGAGGAGGATCGCCAGCCGCTCGTAGCCGGTGTTGAAGCTCTGACAGTGAATCAGCAGAAGGTGAGCAAGCGCCAATGGCATGAGTGTGAAGGTCCGTCCGGTTGCTCACGTGCAGGAGTGTGGGTATGTACTCGAGCAGCTCGTCCTGTCGCCGCGGAAGCGCATCGAACACCTCACAAATGAACCCCTTGACCCTCTCCCTGATGCAATAACACATCCATACATCCCCGCAGACACGCATTGACATCTCTCTCTGCTTCCAAATGAGTGCGTGTGTTTGCCGTATGCTCACTCGTTTGCCGGGCCGTAGAGGGCGGCAATGTCCAGGAGCTGCGAGGCGGTCAGAAGCTTCTGGTCACACAGGATGTCCTGGTGCTTCCTAGCCGACAGATACTGACACACACATGACACAACACAACACAGCACAGGTACCCCGACAACACCCAGCAACCCGCCCCCTTGGTCTCCCTGCCCACCTCAGAATCGGACTCCTTTATCGATACCAGCCGGATGAAGACGAGAAACACCTTCCTGTAGTTCGGCACACACAGATGGATACACAGCGTCTCTCTCTCCCCTCTGCCGGCTGGGCTGCTCACTTGGCGATGGCCGCCCGCAGTGCCTCCGCCTCCTCGTCGCGTAGGGTGGTGAGTGTGCCCTTGGTGAGGTCCACACAGTCCAGCTCCCACGGCTTGGTCACGTGACACAGATACGAGTCGAGGAAGGTGGGCAGGCTGCACGCGCCCCCCGCCCCCGCCTTGCTGTCCTTGCTGGTCCCGCTGTAAACCACCTCGCTCCAGAAAACGTGGAAGCGGCACCGAAGCAGAGTCGCCAAAGACAGGTCAGTCGACTCTGAAAGAACGCACACAAACACGTGTGTTGACGAGGACGATTCTGCCTGTTGCCACTTACCGTGGTATTTGATCTTGTCATCGAGCGACAGGGTGCCGTCGGTGGTGGCCATCATGCGCCCCGCATTGACATTGTCGTGCGGCAGGAAGACCCGCCAGTGGGAGCGGAGGACCAGCCCGCCTCCGTCGGCACTCGCCGAGCTCCAGTACTTGGCCAGCTTCGGCACCGACCGCACCCCCGAGCCATCCACGGCTGAGCTGTCGGGCGCCAGGAAAGTCGACTCCTGCAGACAAAAGGCCGGAGGAACACGCAGGCGCTGATATCAGTCAGCACATGCATTTGGGTGCTCAAGGTGCCGTCCGACCTCTATGGGTCTTGACTCCTGTTGGTCGTCTTGTGAGGCATCGAACTGGTGCAGAAGCCTGTGCTCGACCTGCCGCCTCCTGTCCTCCAGGATGCGCCGCTGATTCTCGTCGATCTCCTTCCTCGTCGGCTGGCTCGGCTCGGCAGCCGCCTGATGCGTCAACAGACACACAGTCAGCAGGCAATACGGAAGTGGCTCTGCCGGGCTGATGGCACTCAGTGTTCTCTCTTTCTGTGATCACCTCTGAGGCACGGTCCTTCTTGTCATGCTTCTTGACATACTTCTGAGTCGGCTCTTTCTTCTTCATCTTCGCGTGGTCTTCGTGTGATCTTTGTGTGATCTTTTCGATGAGTGAACCGCGCAGCGCAGCAGGCTTTCGCCGTCCTCCTCCCAAGAGTGCCGAGCTCGCACATCGTTCTGAGACTCCGGCTCGCAGATCTCGGGAAAGGCTCTGTTTGTCCCCTTTTCTCTTCTTTTCATCGTAGCAGTTGTTCCTCTCCCTCCCTACAGGTCGATACCTGATCAGCAAAGCCATCGTTGCAAAGTGCGAATGTCCATTGACGGCAGCTCCGCGCTGACGCTGACGGACGCCATGCTGCTGGAGCCCTTATCAATCACCGACCCCACCGTCTACTCAACATGCGTTGCGCTCTTCGCCTGCGGAGTGCTGGCGTCGGCCGCCGGCATGGGTGGCGGGTGAGACAAAGACAAAGACACACATGCCGCGTGCAGTGCCACTCCATCTCACTCGTGCCTTGTGTCGTATGCAGTGCCTTTTATGTGACGATACTCATGTTTGTCGGGGGCATGACGCCGCACGACGCCGTGCCGATATCCAAGGTGTATGGTTAAGGAAGGAAGGAGGTCGGCCCGACGTCTCCATCTGCTGGGCGTGTGGCCTTGTTTTCTTTCAGGGAGTGATCTTCCTGGGATCTCTGACGGCACTGTCGTACAACATGCTCACCAGACACCCTGTGGAAGGGGGCTCGATCATCGACATGGTGCGCGAGAGGACGATTCACCCGCTCTGCAGTGTATTGATGGCTTCGGATCTGCATGCAGAAATTGGTTCAGATGACCGTCCCTTTGGCACTCGGCGGGACCATGTTCGGTGTCCTGCTTCTCAACCTCACTCCCGCGTACCTGCTCACCGGCATTCTGGCAGCCATTGTCACGTTTGTGTCATTCAAGACTCTTCGAGCAGCTATCAACGCCCACAGGCAAGAGAAGATGTCTCCCCTTCCCAGCAAGGACGAGGCAGAGGACAGCAGGTGCTACACGGTCCCGCATTTCAATCGAGACGAGCTCGAGGAAGGGAACAGTCTGAGCTGGCCCCTGCTCGGCCATCGACCTCTCGACTCTGCTCTGCAGTCGTCTCGTGTCATTGTGGACTGCCTCCTTATGAGCCTTTTGCTGGTGGCTGTCATTCTGCTGGGCTACAGTTCGCGTCAGTACCCCCACTCCCGACACGCCGCGAATATTAGAGGGGGAATGTGCTTTGCGGCCTTTCTGCTGTCTGTGTGGCTGCACGGGTACTTTGTGGTGAAGATATTGAAAGAGGGAGGCGAGGATTGGACGCTCCCTCGCTGCTGCATCTACGGGCTAGTGGCTTTCGTTGCCGGCATCTTCTCGGGGCTCGTCGGCATCGGGTAAGCCACTCAGCGAGTGACGGGCCGCCACCGATTCATGCCTCGCCATCCATGTGTCTTGTTTGTTTCTAAATGTGGATCAGCGCTGGGATTATTTTCTCTCCCTTCTTCCTCTTGATGCATGTCGAGCCCTTGTCAGCAGTGGCGTCGGCGGCCACCTGCGTGCTCTTCACGAGCACCTCCACCACAGCCCAGTACGCCCTTATGGGGCGGATACCCTTCGATCGCGCGGTTGTCTACGGCATCGTGGCGGCCGCGTCATCTTCTCTCGGTGTGCGGTGGGCGGCATCGCTGACGAGACACAGACGGCGGTCGTATTTGATCTTCATTGTGGCGATTGCGAGCGCCTTAATGGCCATTCTGCTGGTGGTCAAGGTGGTGACTTTGCTGGTGAAGGGGAAGTGATGACGGTGATGGTTCCTTCGTTTGCCTCGTTTGTCTGACAATTGACAATGCAATGCAATGTGCTGGGTTGCGCGGCTGTGGGTGACGGTGAGACACTCTTGCTCGATGCATCTTGTGATGTCAACGTAGGCGAAGGCCGTGCGTCCACCGATAGATACATCGATGTACATACTTCTGTGTACAGTACAATGCATGCAATACGCGTCGACATATTGATCAGACACCGACAGATGGACCAGGCACACAGAGTCACTCATCGCCAGGAAACTGTAACGATGAGTTCCTCGCTCGTGGTGTTGCTGTGCGCCGCTTTGGTCGTGGTGCCTGCCTGGGGTCTGATTCCGCCGTCAATGACATACGAGCAGTACACGACCGCAGCAGCTCAGCGCACATGTTCAGAGACGCCCCGCTTCTCGTGCAGCACCAGACAGACCGACGGCAGATGCGTCATGGACAGACAAGTCCACGGGCAGATGCAGAGACAAGCAATGCGCCGACAACAGAGGAGCCTTCCGGTGGGTGGACGGAGGCGTCTTTTCAGTGTCTCTGCACGAGAAGTGCGTGTGTTTGTTCGTTCAGGATGATAACTCAGTGGAGGTGCGACAGAGACAGGAAGTGTGTATTCTCGACAGTCAACAAGAAGTGAGACACACACACACACACACTCACAAATGTGTGCAGCAACCATCTTCTTCTGTTGTCAGGTGTGTGCCCGCACATCCTGACGCCATCCCGATGCACTCACTCGTTGGGTAAGAGCTGGTCAACACGCAAGAGAGAGGCACCTGATGGAATATGTGTGTGCCATGATTTGTCGGTCAGCTACCCGAGACTGAGCAGGACGGAACTCAAGCTGGTTCGCGCCACGAGATCGCTGAGAGTCGGACTGGCCAAACTCGCGGGCATCGTGCTGTGAGTGATCCCATGCTGATGATCGACCGACTGACAATCGACAGACTGATTGAATGACGCACAACATCATCAACTCATCGTCTGATCGTCTTCTCGTGTCTTGTTGCGCTGCGTCCGTCGTCACAATGACGGCCACACGCTTGCAAGAAAAACTCATCGCATCCAGACGAGCTGCTGCATTCACAGACCACCGCAAGCAACCAAAACTCGCTCGACAGACGCCGCACGCAACCGTACACACACACATATCTATCGACACAAAAATCGCATCCGCCATGCGCACGTCGCACATCAAATCAACCAACAGCCACATCGACAACCAGCACACACAGCACACGGACGGGCGGGGCGTCACGAGAGGTTTGGCTGGTCGGCAAAGAAGAAGGCCACAATCATGAGGGCCGCGGCACCCAGCACGCCGATCGTCAGCAGACGCTGCTTGTTCCGCTCGTCGGCTGTCAGCACTTGCACATTACCCTAACAGACAGACAGACAATACTCATCGGACGTGCGTGGATGGATGAAAGGCCGGCCTCTCTTCAATATTGACTGACTCACTAACCAGTGCCACGTCGTCGCTTCTGCCCTGGGATGTGATGGCTGTGACTTTGTAGACCCACTCGCCCGATGTCAGCTCGTCCTCAATGATGCGATAGACGCCCCCCATCGCGCCCTTGGACTTGAGGGCGTCGAAAGTTTCGTACGAGTTGACCAGCGTGAAGTCGTCACCGGCGATCTGCAGGTATGTTTTCGTGGGTGAACAGGTAACAAGTGGGTGGTTGTGCTGTTTTGTGTGTGTGTGGTGTATATACCGGTCTTCGAAAGATCTTGAACCCGACAACGTCCTTCTCCTCCTCAGTGGACCACTCAATCAATACCTGCCAGCCAAGTTAACATGAAAGGCTTATGCTTGTCAGCCAGAGACAACCACAGCTGGGGCATCAGTGCTTGCCTCGTCGTCTGCGATTTGTGTGAGTTTGATGTTCTCGTTGATTTCGGCGGCTGACCGGATCTTCTTGGTCTGTGCGTTCATCTCCTTGATCTTGTTCCTCTTGATGAAGGCCACGATGGCCTCCTCCTGCGTCAGACCTGCCAAACACACACACACACACCGATGACTCAGATCCGGCTGCTCCGACCTATCTGCCAGCCGCTGCTGGTCGGCTCACCGGCGGCCTCCATCTGCTGCATCATCCATGGCGCGTACGGCTTGCCGTCGGGTGCGATCATCTGCGCCTTGAACTTCCTCTTGAAGTCTTTGATGTCATCCTCCGTCACCTCCACTTCCACCTCAGTCGCAAACGCTGCCGTGCTGCCGCCCGAGGATCTCCTGGCCCTGGATCTGCCATCATTGGCCAATGCAGACCGCGACAGTGACACCGCTGGCGGCCTCAGTGGGTTGAAAGCATCGGCAAGGCTCAGCGCAGATGCGACGGACACAAACACGGCCGCAACCCTGGATGACGACATTGTCGCTGCTGCGCAGAACAGCCCGTGCTGCACCTCTAGCCGGAGATCTGCTGCGAGCTTGGACCGATCGTTTTCTGCCCTCACAGGAGAGTGGTGTGCTGCACGTACCTCGTTAACACACAGGCGCAAGGGGCATAGCCACCGCTTTCCTCGCAGCGATGGTACTCATCGACTCAGAAGGCTATCATGGGAGCTTTTCTCTGGCTGAGTGGGAGTCCTATGTGACGGCCGTGGCTATCTTCGTCGGCGGCGTGATGGTGTCGGCCGCGGGGATAGGGGGCGGGGGTGTCTTCGTCGCCCTTCTCATCTTTGTCGGCAGATACGAGGCGTGGGATGCCGTTCCACTGAGCAAGGTGCGCAGGGGGCAAAGGAAAAGCGGGAACGACGCGAGGAGCCATGGTGCTGTGTGTGCATGGCTGACTGGCTGTGTGGCTGTGTGCAGGCGATGATCTTCACCGGCTCGATCATTTCGTTCTGTCTGAACATTCGGAAGCGCCACCCGCTGCACGGAGGCCCGCTGATTGATTTTGTAACAAGCACCGACACTCCACACAATGCCCTCGCCTCGCAGCAGCCCATTCATTGCCTGTCTGTCGACGTGTTTCGTTCATTCAGGAGCTGTGTAAAATGGTTGTGCCGATGGCCCTGGCAGGCACGCTGCTGGGCGTCTTTTTTAACGGCGTTCTCCCGCAGTGGTGCATCGTCGCCCTGCTGTTCGTCCTCCTGTCCCTCGTCACTTATCGCACCCTGCACACCGGACTCACCACCTACCAGCGGGAGACCGCAGCGGCCCGCGAGCCCGCCTTCCAGGAGATCTCTCTCGTCCAGATCCACGGCAGGTCCCAGGAAGACCTCACCTCTGTGGCCAAGCTGACCGATGACGAACCCACCGGCAGGACGCAGAACGGTCCTCTGGAGGAGGGAGGGGAGGGGGGGCCATCGGCAGTGACAAGCGAGACTGCTGAGAGTGAAAGAGAGGCGGCCCCTACCGCGTCGAGGGCACCCACGGAGTCGACGAGGGAGGAGGAGGAAATGGACGGCAAGAAGACGGAGAGCGAGGGCGACGCCAAGACCGAAGCGGACACATCTGCGGGGAAGGAGGCAGCAGCCAGCAGCAGCAGCAGCACCAGTAGCAGCAGCAGCTTTCGGCCACTGCCACCGCGCTACTCCTTCGGCGTCGGCATGAACGGCTCATCGAGTGCCCACCCACAGAGCGAGTACACCATGAGCTATGCGTCAGCGGGCGAGAGTGGCTTGGAGGATGAGAACGGCACCTATCAGTTCGCCCACATATCCGACGTGGCGGCCATGTCTGAGACGCTCATACAGGACCAAGGCAGGGGCATCATGGGCCGGCTGGGCGGCCGGTGGGCGAGAGGCGGCATCACTCTCCCGTCAATACCCCTGCCTGGCCCGGTGGCCTCTCTGCAGGCAGTCCATGCGCCGCCCTCCCGGTTCCAGATGTACCAGGACATCAGCATCCTCCTGATGGTGCTTCTCTCGGTCATCACCTGCGGGGCGATGCTGCACCACTACAAGGGCCACCACAGAGTCATCGCCGGCCTGTTCGTCGTGCTGGGGCTGCTGCTGTGCTCCGTGGTTGAGGGGGGCTTCGCTCTCCAGCTGCTGGCTGGCCTCAACACCGAGTGGACTAAGAAGCGGTGTGGGCTCTTCGCCGGCGTCTCTCTTGTCGCCGGCATCTGTTCGGGGCTGCTCGGCATCGGCGGCGGGCTGATCTTCTCGCCCTTCTTCGTCTTCATGGAGATCGACGCCGTGGTGACGGTCGCGACGGCGGCCACGTGCGTCATCTTCACGGCCACGTCGACCACCTTCCAATACCTGCTGATCAACCGAATCATCATCACCGCCGCCCTCTTCTTCGGAACCATGACCACCCTGGCCTCCTACTGCGGCGTGCGGCTGGTGCACTACGTGTCGGTGAGGTACGGCCGGAAGTCCTATGTCATCCTCATCGTGGCGGCGGCTGTGGGGGCCAGCTCTGTGCTGACCATGATTGAGAGCGTCGCCTTGTTCCGCGGCCACGGGCACTTCGGCGGTAAGGGGTGACTGACTGCATGTGAGACGAGAGACCGAGTGGTAGGGTAGGATGGGATGGGGTGGGTGCGTACCTGTGTTTGTACGTTTTTGGTGACGCGTATGAGGCTCGATGCGCTTTCTCATTCGCATCCAGACAGGCCTGCCCTGCCCTGGCCTGGCGGCATCGATGGCTTTTTGCGTGTCTGCCTTGTTTTCTATATCGGTTGCGGATTTGGTTGCTTTGGGGCCTTTCATGCCCGTAGTGTTGGCATGTCCCGTCGCTGGTCGAATGAGCGATGGGGCAAGCCGATATCGCGGACACGGGAAGCGCTGAAGCAACCAAATCCAGACAGACGTGAAGGCGCTAATGTTACTTGGCTGCTTGTCAGCGGCCTGAGTTACTCGTTGAGTGTGTGCTTTCCCCCGAGCTGGCACCGTGACCTGTGTGAGGCAAGTTGCATCCGTCACTGCAGACCTGTGGTGGTTGCGACTCCTATCTCACACAGTGCTTGGAGTTCTCAGGTGGCATCACGCACGAGCAGATGATAAGAATGACGTGACTGATTGTATGGTCGGGAAGTGTCTAAAGCCTCAAAAAAGGACAGGCATGTTACTGTGCTCATGAATTGAGGACGACATGAGCGCGCAAATGTAATGGTCATGGACGTGGCGCGACAGTAGCTAGCTGGTGATGGGTAACGTGCACAGCAGGAGCGCCGACACGTCGGTTCCTGCCTTCCGCGGCCAATGCCTCGACTTCATCCATACCGAGGACGGGCGAGATGCAGCGCACACCTCAAGTGACGTCGGCAGCCTCCGCACAGCAGCCCTCTTCCTCGCTGAGCGCTCCATGCTGAGCGGGCGGCTCAGTCGGCTGCTGCACGAAACGCATCTTGAGGACGACACACGTCTGCACGCTGTGATCTCGTTCGACGACAGCCTGGAGGCGGCTGAGCTGCTCAAGTGCATGTGGGTGGTGGAGCACAACCGGTGGGACGAGGCAGCAGACGCGCTGCGACTCGCCGGTCAGTGCGGACTCTGCAGCCTGCCGGCCATCATCACACGGGGGGACCTGCAGAGGCATCGCACCAAACAAGTAAGAAGGGAAGGAGGGAGGGAGAGGAAATGGACACTCGGTGGATGGACGGATGAATGGATGGATGTGATGCAGGCGTTTCTGGCTGAGCCGCGTGTGGTAGCGTTGTGGAAGCTGGTTGGCAGGCATGTCGACCTGGGCGGTGGAATGGGTCGACTGGAGCTGTTCGTCGACGGCCATGGCAGCCTGCGTGCGATACAGGACGAGTCGGACTTCGAAATCGAGCTGGCGCCCGACCTGCCCGCCGACCATCCATTCCAGCAGCATAGCGATCCGCAGAACCCGCCCGTGCGACATTCCATCACGGCCTATGACGTCGACACGGCCAGCTGGGTGGTCGATCAGGGGTTCGAGCTGGAAGCCTCGTTCTCGGCGTTCCTGATGGCGCTCATCATCACGGCCGCCTGGGCCTGGGGATCGATAGCCAAATCGCAGTGGATCGGCCGTGGCAGGTCAGTCAGGTTGCGGGCGGTTGAGCGGGGGGTGGGTGAGTGAGGGCGCTCTGTTGTCTGTGTGTCATTCATTGATTGTGTGTGTATACGCAGAAGTGACGAGGTTGAGGAGGACCTGATGGATTTGATGCGGCGGCCCGTGCACCGGCCGTTTGCCGAGGGCGTCACGGCACACATGGCCACCATGACTGACACCGACACGACACAACGGACTGTACTGGTGACGCCACTGGGAGTGGGGGGCCACCCATTTGTGGCCGGCATAAACATCCAAGAGGAGGACTATCAAGGTGAGTAGCGTAGCGGCTGGGATTCATCGCACGTCGACTCTCCCCTCTGTGTGTGGGGGTGTGGGTGTGCAGTCAGGATGCAGGTGTTCACGACGGAGCCGAGTGTTGGCGGCGCTGCGGATGATCAGCATCGACGCTTGCAAGGGTTCCGCCTCCAGTTTCCTCAGTCGACGGCCCTGATGCGCCCGGTGTTGCACCGCACGGGTCGCCGAGTGTTTGATAGCAACCAAGGGCCCCAGACGGTCGGTCAGTCACTCAGTCATCACAACTCGTACACATGGCATGGATGATAAACAAAAGTGGTGGTCCGATTTGTCCCTGCCATGTGTGTATGCAGATCAGGATGACGGTTTCAGACTTCGGCACGATCAAGCTGCGAATGGTCGCGTATTGTGGCGCTGAGGAGGGGGCGGGCAGACACGTGACGCAGAAGCAACTCATAGACTGGTACGTCTGCGCGGCCTGGGTGGGTGGGCGGACATCAATATCTGCGTGTGTGTGTGTGTGTGTATGGTGTCAGGTACATGGCCACTCACATCAATCCTGACAGCGAGGAGGCGCTGCTCAACGAGGAGCTGAAGCTCAGTCTGGTCATCAAGAGGCTCGCGCGCCGCGGCGACCTCGTTCGCACCATTAGCTGGTCCGCTCAGGAGGGCTGCAAGGTCCTATTTGCCCCCAACCCCACACTCCTCGAGAACCAACCTACACAATAACTAAGTGGGCAGGCAGTCAGGCATCTGTAGCTGAGCTGGATTGTGTTGTGTTGTGCCTGTCCTGTTTGGCCGTCAGATAGCCATCGTCAGGCACCTTGGCGCGTCGAGCGGTAGAAGCCTATACGCAGCTAGCCAGCTAGCTAGCTGCTGCAGATGCATTCAGAGAGGGAGGGAGGGCTGTGAATATGGAGAAAGGGAGGGAGGGAGGGAGGGGGAGGGCGCCTACCGGTGTCTGTGGCAGGTGGGAGACTGCAGACAGACACCAGTTGTGCGTGTGCGTGGATCCTTCTATGTGTGAATGGATGGATGGATGGACGGATGAATGAATGTACAGCGATGCATACAAAAACGTAAGAGAGGCACGCACGCATCCACATGGATAGATCTCTGATCACTTATCGACAATTGAAAGGGCTCATCGACGGCCTACCTACACCACGCATCGCATCTGTACACCACACACACTCACACTCACAGCAGCGTTCTGCACAAAATAGCTGCATACAACCGCTGCATACAGCCGCCAACAACCGACACTTGCCCTCACAATCGACATGACATCTCATGACAGAATCTGATCTGATCCAACCCTGACCGACTCTGCCTTTCTCCCCTCATCGCCCTTCCCGCCCCCTCCTCAGCGTCGCATTCTGCCGCCTTCGTCTCCGGCCCATCTCCAACCAATCAAGCATCATGCTCCGGCTCGCTGCAGAGACAACAACACTCCTCCCAGCCCACAACGGCGCTTCTTCCTCCTCTATGTCTGGCGGGAGTGGCGGCACAGGGCGAGGTATGTCTGGTTCTGGTGGTGGTCGCGGGGCAGGGGGTGGGAGGGGTGGACGGAACGATGATTCGGGGGGCTCTTGTGGAGGCTGGACAGGTTCAGTGTCGGCCATGGCTTCTGTCTCATCCTCTCTTGCTGCCACTGGGGGAGGCCCTTCCTCCTGATCGACTGTCAGCGTGATGGGCGGCTCCTCCTCCTCCTCTGCTGCCTCTGCAAGTCCTTCTCCTTCGCCCATGTCTGGGGGCTTGTCCTGAGGAGCTGGGCTTTCAATGTCGTCGCTCCACACATGTCTCTTGACCGGTGGCGACGCCATTGCTTCCGCAAGGGGGACAGGGGTCGACGTCCATGGGGGTGGTGGCGTTGATGGCGAAGCTGTGGGTGCCACACGAAGGTACGAGCCGAGGCCCCTATCGAGAGCACACCTTCTGCACAGCGGCTGCCATCTCTGGTGGTCGTCGAGGTAGCCCCGCCACTTGTCCTCCACCATCTCTCGCGATCGCCGACGGCCGGCTGTCAAGCCGCTCTGGATAATCTGGGAGGCCTCAAGCAACTTATAAAAGTGCGGCAGCAGCGTTGACGGCTCGCGAGTTGGGAGAGGGAGAAGCTGGTCGCCCCACACAGGAGGGCAGCCGCACTGCTGGCAGTGTGTCGACTCCTGTGGCTCCTCTGCTCTCCTGGTCACTTCGTCGGCCAAGTGTCTCTCTGCCACTAGCAGCAGGTGCGCCTTCTGCCGGGCCGCTTCCAGCCACAGCTTTCCTGCTGCCCTGGTGCAGCTGCTGATCTTCTCCATCGTGCGATCCTCCTCCATGATTGCGGGCTGCACCTGCTCTGGCTCGATTTCTCTGATGTCTGTGAGGCTGCTGTCGCGCCGAGACGCAGTGAAGTCAACGGAGGGCCGCTTAGCGGTGGAAGGCTTTTTGGGCGCCTTCTTCTTGGTGATCTCGGCGCCGGTGTAGTAGGTGTGCTGTCTGCCCTTCATTCGGAACACCTCTTGGTAGACCTCGCTGAGCATTTGTCTGTGTCTGTCTCTCGCTCGAGGGGTGTAGATGGACGACAGCTCCTTGATGAGGAAGGGACGATGACGCTCGGCAAAGTTCCTTCGCCATTTCTGTGCCAGTCAGAGAAACGGACACACGCATGGTGATGTCGACTGGCGTCTTTTTTCGTTTCGCTGACCTCAGTGGCCCTCTGCAGCGATCGATGGTGCAGCGTCGACCGCACTTGTGCGGCAAAGAGGCGCTCGAATGTATGTTTCTTGACTTGCCACAGGGCCCTCTGAGTGAACCACGTGACCATCTTGTTGGTCAGGCGTGCACACAGGCCGCAGAAGAGCAGCAGCAGGGGGAAGGCCATGTCAGCGAAGGGATTGTACTCGGCTCTAACGAGCATGGTGTAGGCGAAGAGCAGCAGCATCGGGCCCCATGTGAAGTAAACGGAAATGAAGTAAAACTGACTGGAGAAAGCCAGGTGGTTTATCGATTGGTAGCTCTCCTGCACACACCAGAGACACGAACAGAGACCAGCCAGTCACCACTCAGAATCAGCCATGCTGTTCTGCTGCATCTGCTTCACTCACTCACCGCGACAGAAGAGTCGAAGCGAGGGTCGTCAAAGAGCCACCTGGTGATTCTGGTGCGGAAGCGCCACTTGCAGTAGTGCATGTAGTCGTACACCTTCATGCCGTGGGCCATCTCCATCAGGTGCAAGATCAGCGTGTCCACCATCACTTTGGCCGGGATGATGAATATCGCAAACATCAGGTAGTACAGCAAATCGTTCTCGCGGATGCCGTAGTTGACGGCCATCTCGGTCTCCTGCGGGAACATCATTATCACCACGATCACGAACGGCGTCATGTAGAGCCCTATCGCCTCCTGAGCCGCAGCCACGTGCTGGTCCATCACGCCCTCGATCGCGTCAGCACTGCGCCCGAGCACTCGGGTGCTCTCGTCGACGGCAGTGAAAGTCAGGTCCTCCCGCTTCTTCTTGGTGCCCGAGAAGAGGTTCGCGAAAAACAACCTGTGGGTGTGTTTGTGCGACGACACAGTCAGTCAATCACAGCGAGACAGCTGCAAGTTCACGCAGTAAGTACAGTGTACCTGTATTGCCACCACAAGGATCGCGTCTGTATCCAGTATAGCATACGCCGCCAGTTGAGCTCGATCCACCGCACCATCGACGCGATTGCCACCTTCTCCCCGATCATCATCGCCAGCTCGATAAAGTACGACGTCACGAAATCCACAAAGTCGTCAGCACCCATGGTGATGACGAACTCCACCAGCAGCACGAGCCCCATCTGCGGCGTGGCCAGGAGGATCTCGCGCGTCGAGAGCTCGAAAATGCGCTCGAGAAACACCTGCAGCAGCTTGAACACCACGAGGATGATGGGAGCGTAGTTGCCGAAGAAGTCCGAGTAGCTGAACTCGATGATGATCATCATCGGCACGGAAATGAAAAACGTCACGAACAACAAGTGACTGCGCTTCCAGCGGATGGGCAGGTCCTTCAGCGCCTGCATCCACAACATCCCAAGAGACGTATGTGTCTGTGGGATGCCTCTATGTGCTGTGGTCGGCTTACGCGAGAGTCCTTGGCTGCGGCGGGGAGGCCTTCATTGTAGAGCTGTTCATCGTTTTTGTCTTTGAGATACTTCTCTTCTACATCCCTCAGACGAGGACACGTCAGCCGAGCCCCTGCACACAGGGAGGAAACCGATGCAGAACGGCCGGGCCGGTCTTTTCGCGGCTTACCCTGCCACATGGTGAAAATTGAGACTAGGAAAAATGCCGCACCCACCCGGCCTCTGCGACATGTCTCCATATCGTCCTCTGACAGATAGCTGTCGTTCCAACTGACCCACACCACACACAACAGAGAGAGACACGATGGATGCACCACATAGTGTGTGGCGCGTCCGCCCATACGTGCAGTTGATGTTCCTGAGAGGGTTTGCGATTTCGTCAGAGAAGAAGGCCCACATAATGAGGATGATCAGGAACACCGGGATGGTCGCCCACAGCATCCCCTCCATCGGCGTGTACAGGAGGAACCCAAAACACTCGTACCACTCAAAGGACGGAATGCGCGATATCCGCCCGCTCAGCCGCACGATCAACCATGCCACAAACACCATACCCACAGCGCCGAAACCTTCATCAGCACATGCATTCACACACCAAGACGTGACCAATCTGTGAGAGGGAAGGGACCATGGGGTGTGAACCGACCAATGATAATGTAGATGACAATGTAGTATTCGATAGGGAACTGGAACTTGTTGAACAGGTCGAAGTAGGACAAGTGCTCCACCACAATGTTGAGCTCGTACGCCTTGTTGGTCAAATCGGTCGTGTCGTAGTTTTCCAGCGCCAGCTCAGCGTCCACGATGCGCTTCAACGTTGGACTCACCTACCAACCCACACCACACCACACCACAAGACACGATCAACTCGCTTTCCAATCATCTCGATCGCACCTGATAGTAGCCAATAGTGAATGTGACAGTCCTGGGCACGGCTCCCGACCGCGCCCCCTCGCCCGGGATCACATTGACGGCCACGAGCTCGTCAGTGCCGACGAGATCCCCAAAGTAGTCGTCGCCCTGGCTGAGCTCTCTCCAGCCGACGGGGTTCTGAGTGAGGTAGAAGAGTGGCGTCTCCTCCTGGATCTCGAACCACCGCGTCTGGGGGCTGCTGACGTCGATGGGCTCCTCGTACTCGCACTTGAGCTGCAATTCGCACGAGTCGGCCGATGCGCTGGATCTGCACACACAGGGAGGGGGTGATTGGTGTGTGTTTGTTGGTGGTTGGTAGTGCGCTCAGCTTACGTACCCGACTTTGAAAGGGTCCACGGGCGTGATGTCGCCCTGCTCCAGGAGGTCACAAGCACCGAGAGAGGTGGTCTCCATCATCTCCCACAGAACGATTCTGCCCAAGAGAAAGAGAGCCAGTCATGTCTCCTCTCTATCATTCTGCTGTGTGCGGTCTCTCACCGTGAGTCTGATCCCTGGCAGTGAGAGAAGAAGGGTATCCACGCCATGGCGACGGTGTCGACCTTCTTGATCTGCCAGAAGGTCTTGGAGTCGGGAAAGTCCTTCTTCTCAGGCTCGTTGGGCTTGTCCTCAGACGTGCTACGCAGGTCTATCACTGCCGTCTCGTCGTCACCTGTATCGACGCATGCAGGACACACATATCATGGTGTCTGGTTTGCCCTGTGGCTCATCCGCTCACCGGCCATGTTATAAGGGAGTTCTCTCTCGCCTCCGTTCATGGCCTCCTTCTCGAGCACCGCGGCGAAGACCTTCCGCGTGCCCACCTCTGCTCGTGAGGGGTAGCTCGTCTCCACATGCACTGTATTGTTGAACGACGGCAGGTGGGCGATGTAGGAGCCGTGATACAGGTGCAGAGACACGTTGAAGTTCATCGTCGCCAAACCAAGCATCCGCAACACAAACCTGCCATGCGCAGATTATTACAACAACGAGGGCATCTAACGAACGAACAGAAAGAGAACGCCTTGCCGCACCGATGATGGAGTTCTTTCTCGGTTTCCATGTAGTGTGGCAGCTCATAGCCGTCCTGCCATGTGGTGTACTCGGACGCGATCACAATGGCGTAGTGATCCAGGTTGCGGACAACCAGGGAGGCCTTCTTGAAGTCGAAGACGATGTCGGCGATACCCAGGGCCTCCAGCCTGAAGCTCTGGAAAAAGTACCAGCCCTGAGGCTGATTGAGTGGGTCGAAACCCAGAAACCCGGGGCCGTCACCCAGCTCCGTCACAGACCTATATCCATCCACCCACCCACACGAGACACATGGTCGTACGGAGAGAGATGGCTGCATCCATTGGTTTTGTTTACGTGGCGTTCCAGATTGGGTCATCGAGAGGTATGTATCTGTCCTCATAGATATTCGTTATACGAATCACCTGACCAGCAGGGCATTAGGGACAAAGACACGGCATTCTCGTCCATTGTTCTCCCAACCGGCCTCCCACTGACCAGTTTCTGTTGAATGCAGTCATCGGGGCTGGACGACCCCGGTTTGGACAAAGTGCCCATGGGACAGCAGAGGTCGCACAGCTCGGGGTCGTCAGGCTGCCAGTCCTGCTGGTAGTCGTTGACGTTCCACAGCACAAACTCGGCAGAGCGGTCCTCCTCCTCGACCTGCAGCAGCCGCAGCTGCTGCGTGGCGTAGGCCAGCCACAGCAGCCGATTGGCGGCGTCGGCCAGCTGCTTGGCAGCCGTGCCCTCGGGGCAAAAGAAGTTGGGGGGACAGGGGAAGGCAAACTTTGTTGACTCCCCTGTGGCCTTCTGGCAGTAGTATCCTGACACATAAAAACAGAGAGACACACAGACAGAGAGACAGGCATCGGGTCGCTTGCCTGCTTTTGTGTCGCGTCTCTCTCCCTTGGCATACCTACCGGCAGGGCACTGAAGGTCATACATTTCGTCAGGGTGTGTGCGGAAGTCGCAGACGTATCCCGCGGCGCACTCGAGGTCGAACTGAGTGTAGTAGGTGGTGGCGACGTCACACGCGTATCCCTCCGGGCAGTCCAGTCCCTGCGACAACTGGTAGCAGATGTTGTCGCTGCAGTCCTGGTCCTCAATCGGCGCAAACACCATCATCCCTACAACAGAGAGATTTCTAGACGATCGGATCGCCGTTTTGGCTGCGTCATCCGCCTACCGAGTATAGTGCATGCGTATCTGGCTGCGCATTTCTTGCACTCTTCTGCGCTCTTGAGGGCGGTCAGGTTGGACCAGGTGCCCTGCGGACAGGGGTCGCAGAAGATGGACGCACCCAGCGCACGGAACAATCCCGGGCCGCACATGGATGGCTCAAACGTCTCTGCAGGGGACGGCATACACATGTAGAAAACACAACACTCAGCCTGACTGACGCTGTTGACATACATACCGTCACGAGGGCATTCGAATCCAGCCGGACAGAGGAGGCACTTGACCGACGCCCACTCGTCGGTGTAGCTCCCTGGCGGGCACTTGGCAGGATACTGCGCGCCCCACTCCGAGACGAAGAAGCCAGGGGGGGCGGGGAGGGGCAGGTAGGAGCCCCGGGGGCAGTACCACCCAGGCGGACAGAGGAACGAACCACCTGGGTTGGTCGTATTCTGAAGCACAGACACAGACACAGACACAGAGAGAGTGCTCTTCTGCGATTTATCCGTCGGTTCCTGTGGTGTGCCGACCGTGCCACAGAAGCTTCCTTCGACGCATTTCTTGGGGCAGTTGACGCCCCACACGCCAAGGTCGCACGGGATTGTGCCTGGCAGGCAGTAGGTGCCCCTCGGACACACCTGGGGCGCATTCGTCTCGTTGCTCTGGTGACACACAGAAACGCCACGCCACTGCTGGTGGCTTCCCGTATGTGTCTGTGAGTCCTTTGACCCACCCAGCTGTTGAGTGTGAACGTGCCTTCGTCACAGTAGGATCCTGCCGGACAGAGGTATGTGGGGCCGTGACGGCCGGGGAGGGCGCACACAAACCCCTGGGGGCACATCTCGGGATGCGATCCGCCGTAGTCCGAACACATGGTCCCTGCTGTGCATGTGGCACACTCGGCAGCACCCTGCGTGTGCGGAAGGTACCCAAGAGTAACTCAGAGAGACACGGCCGTCATCATTTTGCGACGGACCTGCGAGAGTTGGTACTGGCCAGGAGGGCATGCAAGAGGATTCGAGCCATATTCGGGGCATGCAAATCCTGGCGGACATTCGATAGTCTCGTCGTGCTCAGGCGAGATGTAGTAACCCGCCGGCACCTACAATGCCAAGACAGCGGGGGTGGAAGAGCCTACAGGTGACGATTGACGTCCGGCGTACTTTGACATCGGTTCCCCATGGGATGCTCGTTCCCTCGGGGCAAACGATGCCCGGGATGGCACACTTGGTCATTGGGGACGGACCGGTCGGCTCCCACGTGTAATCATACTGAGAGACAGAGACATGACACGGCCTTCTGTCTTGCCATGTGGAGCTAGCTGCCTTACCTGGTCAATGGTCGATCCCGCCGGGCAGTACCTACACACGCACACAGCCACACCGCCAAGAGGGAGAGGCATATGCGTGTGACGAAGGAATCCCATTTGCTAATTACCATCCGGCAGGGCAATCCGACACGTTCGAGACCAAGAGGCTGATGAGGGGCAGCCCACTCGCAAGGTCTCGCGTTTCTGCGTCAATGTCGTCAAAATAGGAATTGTCCTCACTCTCCAGAGGCATCTCATCCGAAAGCCGCCTGTATTGGGGTGGGGTAAGGGTGGTGATCTCCTCCCCGATTGTCGCAATCTCCCGGTAGCAGAGCTTGCCGGCCGGACAGAGAGGCAATAGAGCGTCAAGGCCCCCGGTGCCGTCGCACACATAGCCACCAGGACACCTGCTCACCCAAAAGGAAACGGAGAGAGAGACATATTTGACTGCAGTGTGCCGTCTGAAAGTAGATAGATGGATGGATGGATGGACATACTTATGAGGCATGCCTTCGGCAGGCAAGGGGCAGTATGTCCCCTGCGGACATGGCGAGCACACGATCGTCCCGTTGACGAATTCGATGTGGTAGGTGCCAGGTGGGCATGGCACGCTGTGCGTCGCGGCGATCTCCTGCGGCAGTGCGCTGATCACATCGCCAGGGCAGTAGTGGCCCGTCGGGCACGGCTGCACCCCTTCCGTCATGTGCCAACCCACACGATAGTACGTGTCCTTCGGTATAGGGTTGTACCTAACTCTGGCCACGTTGTACCACGCCACCCGATCGTCCCCAAAGGCCACCCGGATGGCCTCAAACTGACCTCCAGACGGAACCGATGTGAACGGCGGCAGGTTGATAACGGTGATGGTGACGATACCGGGCAGCATGACCGCTGGAAAGGGAAAGGTGGCGTTTGACGCGTTGAAGGTTGCTGGGTCGGGGCGGTACGTCTCCTCGCCGTCGAATGTCCATGCGTCGGCCGGGACCAGCTCTTCTACCAAATTGTCCCCGACCAGGATGTGCAGCTGAATATAATGCAAACAAAATGTATGTGAAACCCGATGGCCGGCTCCTTCCCCCTCTTTTTTCTCTCACCTGCGTCTTTGGAATGGGTTCTCTCAGCTGCACAGCGAACGACACAGAGGGGCTGCCCAGCCTTGGGTAGCCACCGCCCAATGCATGTGTCTTGTCCCACGGGACCTCCGGCGGCGATGTGTCATCGGGGCTGATCGGCGGCTTCCATATATCGGCGGTCCCCGTCGACACATTGTTGCTCGATGTGGCCGCCCCCGACCACATCTCGGGCGTCCGTGCGACCTCAAGTGCATACGGGAGGCGATGCTTCCCTGGACACACGTCGGGCACAAGAGGCACAAACGCCGTGTCGATGCGTATCTGGCAGCGCAGGACGTTCGGCGAGAGGTACGAGCTCTTGTTGGCGCCCTCGGTGTAGTTGCCGATGCTGAATCCTGGGTCGTTGGCTGCCAGGAAGGTCAGATTGTTGCAGTGGCTGTCGAGGCGCTCCTGGATGGCGGCGGTGAGATTGGGATCGTCAGCAGCGGCCTGCAGCTCCATCTCGGCCTGTGTCTCGTTCATCCATGAGACGACCATCTTGCAGAGGAAGCTCTCGCTCAGCAGACGGCGGAAGTACTGCCCAAAGACGTAGAAGTCTGTGCTGATCGGCCTGTCTGATAGGAAGGCCCCGGGTGAGCTGTGGGTGGCCATGGGAGGCTCATACCAAAGGAACTGCCGTCGAAGCCGACTGAAGTCCTGATCGTTGGGAGACACCTGAAGAGAGAACAAGATGGCCCATCGCGTCACATCACAAGGAAATGATCCTTGCTCACCTCAACGAAGGTGAGAAAGTGGTCTTCTGCACGGTCCCACATGTCGGGGCTAGGCCGCTTTGGCAGGGGCAGGATTGGCGAGACACATGCCATCGAGCTGTTGGACGGCCACACGTGAGGCGCCACCTCTGACGGCAGGTCTCCAAACTGACACGACATTGGATCCACAAGGCCGTCTCCCTCCAGCACCAAGAAACCCTGACAAACAGAGAGAGGAACACATGATCAGACATTGACATAGCTCGCAAGGAGGGTGTCCGTGGGTTGCTCACTTGGTCATTCCAGCTCCAAGCGTGCCATGGACTGACACTTGTCGCGTTGTACAGAGGCAGATACTCGAATGTGAAGTTGCCGAAGAAGTCGATGCCGTTAAGAGAAACCTTTACAAGGACCAGGCCGGGCTGTTGGGCAGGCGGAGAGACGCATTGGATCTCGCTCGAGCTGATGAAGTTATACACGAGGACAATCGTGTCGTTGAAAGCGCAGGACAGCCGCGGGGTTGCCACAAAGTCGCTGCCTATGATGCTGACGATGGTGCCTCCCGTGTAGGGCCCTCTCTGCGGATCGATGGTGACCAACGTAGGCGTCGAATAGACCGTGTAGACGAGCCCCGTGTCTTTGAAGATCTGCCCATCGATGGAGTACTCCACCCGATGGAAACCCTCCGTGACAGTAATCAGGCCGCACCGCATCTCGTCGGGACTCTGCCACTCCGCCAGCACAGGGGGGTACACCGTCTCGGGCAGGGGGTCATACCGGGTGTAGCGGCACGACAGCTGCTCGCTGAGGATCATGCCCGACCCGATAAGGCCGATGGGCGTCTGGCTGGTCACCGTCCCATCGTCATTGGTGATGTTGCGGGTGAAGGCTGAGTCGGGCTCGTACTTGATGAGGCCGTGCAGCGCTGAGAAGGTTGCGCCCCCATCGAAAGAGAGGTCCACCTGGATGCTCTGTGGCGGCGCCAGGGTCAGGCTGATGTCAGTCAGGGCCGGCACGACACACTGGACGACACTTGTGCTGACTGGCGTGGCGTTGACGGCCAGCTCATACCTTGACACGCCGTTTTCCATCAGGTGGAAGCGGCAGCGAGCCAGCGACGGGAAGTCGGTCCTCATGTCTGTGCCGGTGATATCGATGGTGGCGCCTCCCTCTTTGAAGCTCTTCGGTGGCGTGACAAGAAGGGATGCGTCGGCGCGTGACGGCGTCTCATGCTGCTCGAGCTGCGCCAGTGGCGGCGACACTTCCTCCCACACGAAGGGCTCCCCAGACACCGAGACATTGAGCAGCAGGTGAGCGCCCACTGGTACTGGGACGAAGTTGAAGAATCGGTATCGTGACGGCACTAGGCAGAGCACCTCGGTGGCGCTGATGTTGATGGCTGCGACGTCATAGGGCTGGTTGATATCGGGAGATGTCGCATACCAACGGCAGTAGACTGCGCCTGCATGAGAGTGAGACGGCGGTGCATATGAGCGTGCGCGTGCAGTGGCAGGATGCGTACCGTCTGTGATGAGTGGGATGCTGCCTGTGATAGTGACGACTGTCCCTCCGAGGGCGTTGGTCAGGTCCGGAGCCACACCAGTGAAGCCCAGCGTGTCATAGAATTCGAACAGAGCATCGGATCGGCTCCACACAAGGCCGCCGGCCACAGACGCCGACACCCTCATCGGACCTGCAAACATGTACACACACAGGAAATGATGGCACGACAATCGACAGCACAGGTGATCCTGGCTCACCTGTAAAGCCGCTTCCAGAGACATCGGGCGTCACACAAGTGATGCTCCCATCGATTGCGTTCCACGTGCCCACCACCTCCACCACAGTCAAGTTGTCCAGAGAGGTGAAGAGACACCGACAGCTGTCGACCGTGCACGGCGGGAAGCCGAGAGAAGCCAGTTCGTCGGGAGGACTGGTCTTGACGGTGATGTCATCGCCTCCCACATTCTTGCCCGCATAAGGCCGCACGGACTCGACCACCAGATTGGGGAGGTACAGGAAGGCGGTGCCCGTGTCGACCCAGTGGAGGTTGCTGTACTGCACATACACAGGCTGCACTCCTCCGTAGAGGGGCCTGTCGATGGGCGGGTCACGGAAGGGCTGAGCCACTGCCGTGCAGTTGATTGTCCCATTGGAGAGAAACTCCACCTCAGCTGGCGACTGGATGGCGGGGTCGAAGGAAAGTGGTGATGTAGTGGAAGGCGAGCCGAAGGCACAGGCGGTAATGAGATCGATGGAGGACAGGCCGCTGACCAGCACCTCAGTCATCGTGTCGGCGAATCCAAAATAGGGACTGACGCTTCTCACCAAGAGATCTGGCTGTGTCTCAATGACCTCCAGTGGTACAGCAGCTGCTGTAGAGACACCAGCACTGGCAACCGTCAGGGACAGCAGAGTGGGCTGATCGTTTGCAGTGCCCCAATTCCGAGCGGCGCTAATGAGGTCCACGGTGTAGTTGCTCGAGGCTACAGGGGGGAAGATGCAAGAGGCCACGAGGCTCGTCACACCGGTGGTCTCGACCACAGAGCTCTCGACAGCGACGGGCACGGCGATCTTGACTGCATTCGTCAGAGGGGAATCCACATCGGCGGCCACGCAGAGGAGATTGTCCGCCACATGCACCTCGCTCCACGTCGAGGTGATACTGAACGTCACCTTGCCGAAGCTGCCGGTGGGCAGCACTGCAGGTGTAAGGGCCGATATCCCGGTGGCAGGGCTGACGAGCCTCTGCGCGTCCCCTGGCGCGACGATTGTTCCCACGGGCGTCCACTCCTGGCCGTTGAGGGATACGCTGACTTGGATGTATTCATCAGTGAGGCCTGCGTTCACCGGACACTCGAGCAGGCTGTCTGAGTGGACTTTAGCCGTCTCGGTGTAGGAGGGCAGTGGGGCAGCTGATGGCGGGTCAAAGCTGACGGCGTCCAGCTTGCATTGCATGACGTAGGGGGAGGTGAGGAAGCCGTCGCCCTTGACGAAGAGAGATTGCCCCACCCACATGGTGGCTGGGAGAGTAGTGTTGAGCATCGGGGGCTCCACGTATCGGATCATCAGCCCGGTATCGATCGTCACCACTATGTTGCCACTGCTGTCCTCGTAGGCCACCTGAATCATCGTGTCGACGGGCGGTGATGTGGACGACGGCCCAAGCTGCAGACTGCTCAACGCTGGCACGGGGCAGCTGACCGCTGTAGACGAAATGCTGCCGACCGTAGTGCTCGTGGCACCCATGAAGACGCACCTTGCATTCGACGCCACATCCAGACCGACTCCATTGAGGGTGATTGTGGCGCCACCGGGTGGCAAGACGACCGCAGGAGACACGAGATAGAAGGCGGGGGGTAGGCGGGCAGTGACGGTCAGGCTGGCAGATGTCTCCGGCGTCAGCAGGCCCTGGGTGTCCCACACCAGCGTGAATGGGAGAGTTGTCGAGGTTGTGCCAGCGTCAACAATCTCCTTCTCCACATGGGGAAGGGGCGGGATGCTACATGTCACCTCAGTTGATGTGGCGGCAATCGCCCGCACCATCACCTCATTGCCAAGCCGACACTCGACAGACGGCCCGCTATCGAACACGCCGTATGTCGGAGAGATATGGAAGTTGTACCCCGTGGCTACAAGAGTTGTCCCTCCGGATGTCAGGACGGTCGACGGCGTGACATCGACCAAGCGCACCCGCTGCTGTATCCTCAATAATTGCGTCCAGGGTGGCGAGAACCACACCCCATCGACCGAGATGGCGATCTGCACATCTGTCTCTCCATCTTGCAAGACGGGGCATCGACACCGCAGGAAGTTCGACGTCAGGACCTCGGCAGCCACAGCCGTGGAGCCTATGAGACAGAAGGCCTTCTCTGTGCGAGACAGACCCGTAGCATGGACAGTCAGGAGGGGGGCGTCCAGGGACGAGAACTGCCGGGGCGCCACCTCCTCGATCACCGGAAGAGACGTGAAGGTGAAATACGACCCTCCGCCAATCGACAAGGAGGATGCAACCGCCACCGATTGCCACACTGGCATGTGGCTCAGGGGCACTGGGGCTGCGGGGCTCACAGACTGAGTGCATCGCAGCTCTATCGGCAGGCTGACTGCAGCCGTCATCAACGGCGGCGTCACACGAATGTGCGTGTCGCTCAGGACGGCTGTCTGTCGGGCCTGGCGGTCGCCAAAATGGACATAACAGTCGAGTGGGCGGTCAGGAAGCGAGTCCGTCGGGAATGCATAGCCATATACGTCGATAAATATGCCCGAGTCGACGGTCGTGGCATCGAAGGGCAGCGTCCGCGGCGCGAAGGATGTAATGTGAGGCTGCGGCCTCGATATGGTGTTGAAATGGAACGACCTGTATGCGTGGCGATAAAGCGCATCGAAGACGAAGAGCGAGCGGAGCGTCGAAGTGAGGGAGTTGGGCTCAGCGGCGGAGAAAGCCATGCGGGTCGACGCCACGTCACAGATGACGCTCCGGCTGTGGTCCAGCAAAGGCGCTTTGCTCTCGAACCACAGGTGAGATGTCGCGGACAGAGCGGTCACGCGATCACCCACGTAGCACCGAAGGTTGTCCTTGACTATGTCGATGTCAAAGTGCATTGCCACAGCGAGGCGAGAGAAGGACGTTAGCATGTGGGCGTCTTGGAGAACAGGCAGCGATGTCAGTGAGAGGGTCTTTGTGTCGGTGATGGAGACCTGGCGGGTGGTGGCTCCTTCTTGCAGCTGTAGGGCCACGCTGAGTGAGCTGGCAACGGACAGCCGTGCTGGCGCCAGGCCCTGCACACGAGACAGCATATATATCGCAGATATCAATCAGCCTGTAGCTGCCTGTCTGTAACTTACCTGAGCAAGTGTGTCCATCGGGACCGAAGTAAAGTCCAGCAAGGGATGCACCAACCCTTCCATCAGAGACACCACATTCATCTCATAAGCCGTCGATGAACCGAGGGAGCTCAGCAGACCCGTTTGCAGGAAGCCCTTCCCCTCGATCGTTACAGGCGTCTGTGGCCCAACCAGGACTGAAGAGCGCGCCAACAAAGCGATGTCGAAAGGCACGACGGCGAGCCTGACCAGGCTGGATGCCACAATCTGGTTCTGCAGGGAAGTGAGGGACTCCTTTGTGCACTCGACAGCCAGGTAGACCTCACTGATGGCCTCTGTCCAGGGGCTGATCAGACAGTCGATTGTGGTAGCGCCGACAAAGACAGATTCTGTTGCGGGCTGGATGTCCAGCCCTGACGTGATGCCGCTCGACGCAAAGAGCACATCAGCAGCGGTATAGCGAGCACCTCCTGTGCCTGTCCGAGGGGTGCCAATGATGCACCGACACGTCTCGAAGAAGTTGGTACCCGAGACACGGACATTTGTCCCGCTGCCGGCGGACGAAGACGCTCGGATGAAAGCAGGGTTGACCGATACAATGGTAGGTAGCGTCTCATGCTGAATGTGCAGCGCGGAGGTGCTATCATCTCTGTCCAAAATGGGGTATTCCTCCCATGCAGCCATGCCCGAGTCACCGACCAGGAGAGCGAGGGGCGAGGAGGGCGACGCAGGGGCAGGGAGAGGGGGAATGTAGCACACCAGGTGCTGTGAAGACAAGGGGCTCTCTGTGAGGTATCCCTGGCCGCCGTTGATAAAGCAGAGAGAGGCTGTGAAGGTGTTGGTTAGCGAAGGAGAGGGGGCGTCGTCCTTGGACACGTAAATCGTGTGCAGACCGTCGAAGATTGCCACCGTCGGTCGTGATGGAGAGGACGCCGGCCATGGGACTGGCGTGGCCAATTGCCATGCAGCCTCGGGTGTCATCTGCATCTCAACGTCGGCCTGCTCACTCACAATGATCCCTGCAGACACAACACATATACATTGATCGTGCAGAGACATGAACTCTCGTGTGTGCCTTACCGTTCATGTCGACCTCCAAAGTCAGCAGGGATGATCCAGATGGCAATGCGTCGGAGGCGAAGTGCTGCCCGTCGGGACACCCACACTCCACCATCCCTGCCTTGCCGTACAAGCGAGCCAATGTCCGCACCGCAGCTGGACTCGTGCCGCTGTTGACACCCTTCTTGCGTCTGAACACGCACTCAAGGCTGCTGGTGATGTCACTCTGCACTCGAGCACGGTCGCTGGAGTCCGACAAGGTGAACCGCAACGCTTCGATAGAGACATGAAGGTCCCTTGCTCGGACACGGCACAAGTTGGGGCCGACCCAGGCGATGGTCGAGAGCTGCACGGCGACGAAGGGGGTGCCACCAGCAGAATGAATGACGACCGATGTGCTTGTGGACTGGACCGTCTCACTGCGACTCAGGTCATCCACGAGCGCCTTGACAGCCAGGTGGCTGACCGCTCGACCGGTGAAGAGCCTGCCTGTCCTGAGAGATGACGGCACCTCTGGCGATGGACAGGTGAGGATCCCGCTTGTCTGCACATTTCCCAGTGTGATTGCCGGCTCGCTCTGCTGCTCAAAGTACCACACACACGCCACCTCATCACCAATGGTCGCCCCGTCTACAGGCACCGCGACACTCTGGCTCGCTAAAGTGCCGCTGGCGATAACCAAATCATGGGCAACCGACGCCTCGACAGCGGTTTGGTAGAAGGGGAGAGGGCTCAGCGGAGCTTCGAGAGTCACACTGCTTGTGCTGGACTGAATGTCGAGCAAGATAGTGGCGCTTTGCAGGGCAGGTGCAGCCAGCTCGATGTAAGCCAGCCCGGCTATGAATGGCGGTGTTGCAGGCACAGCACAGCACAGCAGTATCTGCCTTTTCCCGCTGAGCAGCTGACTGGGACTCTGGGTGGCGGTCCCCACTTGACAGGGCTCTGAGAGAGTGACAGCAGTGGATGAGAACTGGGCTGCGGGGGAGGTGAAGGCTGTCTCCAACAGCAAAGATAGTGTCAGCTGAGCGGACTGGATCGAAAGCTCCTGAGGATACAGCATCCTGAAACAAGATGTCTTCCCCGCAATCAGAGGCTGTGCAGCGCCATCGCCGGTCAGTGACGCCGGATCCTGGTCGGGTGGCAGCTGAGACACCGTGACTGCCGAACCAGCCATGGACAGGTCCACCTCACGGGGATCGAAGACGAAGGAGCCCCGATTGAGGCTGCCGCCAGCCGCAGCGTGGACAGGAGACGACCCCGCTGCCACACTTGCCCACTTGCACGCAATGCCGCGGTAGTTCGAGACAGCGGCCGATGACACAGAGGGGGCGATCGACGCCGTGTCGCTTAGCAGAGCGCACCTCGGTAGCACCGTTGCGGGAATGACAAGTTCGTTATTTTGAGAGGTGAAGACGGAAGACACGGCGATGTGTGTGGCGTCGATTCGCTCCGTTGACGTGCTCTGTGTAAGCAAGTGCGTCGTCTTAGAAATGACAGCCAGGTACTCGTCATTGTAGGGTGCCGCTGTCCAGGACGACTCGAGTGACAGAGAAAGGAAGCGATCTTCATAAGTTCCAATCACAGGGATGGTTGGGAGAGGGCAGGTCACCTTCGAGGGTCGGCTACTGCTGGTGACCGTCGCTTGTGTGTCTCCGAGAGGGATACCCGATGGCTGTGTCCCCTTGACGTACTCCGTGAAATCCACAAAGCGGCACGACATGTCTGTCCGCGACAATTGAAAAGCGCTGTCGACAGTCAGCTCCAGGGGCGGCAATGCCCCGCTCCCCATCGAGGAAATCAGAAGCGCGCTGCTCGGTGAGAGGTTACGCAACGGCGTGAGGCCGTCACTGACGACTCCAGTGGTGGAAAACGGGGCGGAAATCATGACCGCAGTCCACCGAGGATCGACGAAAGTGAAGAGACCATAGGAAAGAGACGTGGACACGACGCTGAGCTGTGAGTCCGGTGGATTGGTGAGAGGAAATGTCTTCTTGAGCATAAGTCGGACCTCCAGCTGTCTCGACGATGTCCAGCCACCCCCCACCAGAGACCGTCGGGTGCTCTCGACGTGCAGGGGGCTCTGGCAGGTGAGCGTCGAGTCAACGATGTCGATCACAGGGACTTCAATTCTCGCACCGCTATACTGATCGATGAAAAGACAATAGAAGCTATCAAGGGCAGTAGAAATGGTAGCAAAATCCCAGTCGGACGTGAACTCGAGACGCACGGCGTCGCTCCCTGCCATCGCTCCAAAAGACGGGCTCACTGTCAGGTGTCCAGGGGCTGTGTGTATGCTCAAGAGCGCTCGGGTGACAGGCGTGGAGACGCCCGCCACACTCACGTCTAGCTGCTGCACAGCAAGGCCAGCCGTGTCTCTGGCGTGCGGCAACCGACAGAGAGTGGCTGCAGCAGTGACTGGTGACGCGGACGAGGAGCCGGACGGGCTCAATGTGACCGACCCCTGTGTGGACTGCCATGTCGTCTCCGTGTGAACCGTGTGAAGGTGGCATGCAAGCGGGGACGGGAAGGACGACAAGTCCGCCAGCTGATCTTCGCTTGCAGCCAACAAGGCCAGCTCCACAGGAGCATCTCTCCAGATGGGAATGACCGTCCTGGCCAGGCCAGCATCGCTCGTAACCACAGTAGATGAGAACTCAAGCGCCGTGTCAGCACAGACATGCTGGTCGTCACACAAGATGGAGAGCCGCACTCCAGCCGTGTTGCGGTTGCACGTCGTGTCGGCCAGGGGTGGCTGAAACGCACACTGGAGAACCCCGTCCTGTGTAACCGTCGCTTGACACGCGGCACTGCTTTGTGGAGGGCCGCACGGTTGTGACGGGGCGGCCTTGTCGTATACATCGATTTGGCATGTTGGCGCAAGGCCTTCCAAGCTGCTCTTCAGGTCGCCGTCGAGGACAAAGTCAGCTGTTTGTAGAGACAGGCCCTGCATGCTCTCGCCGTGGGTGAACCACTCCCCTTGCAAATCGGCGATGTAGCGGAACTCCCACACTTGCACCAGAGCTCCGTGCTTGGTCTCGAGACGCAGCTCCGTCAGCCGGGCCTCGTTCGACGGCGGCATTGTGCACACGAGTGTGTCGGCAGACAGTGCAAGTGCCGCTGTGGTGGCCGCATTGCCGTTGAAGACCTTATCGAACACACAGTGGAAGCTCGTGTGGTCGAGGACAGAGAAGAGGCTGGCCGTAGACTTGATGTGCACTGTGGAGGGGAGGGAAGCGACCAGGCCAGAGGCAGGGATTGTCGCAACGTTGTGGCTCAGCTGCAGGGGCAGGTGTCTGCCCGATGACACGACAGGGATGCTGCTGGCGACGGTGATCGTTGTGGCGTTGCTCGCAATAGGTATGTGTGTGGCGGCAAGAGTCATGTCCGCATAGACAAACGAGACGGAGAGACCCACCGATGCAGCCGAAAGATCGTCAAATCGCGGGCTCCAACAGCTGAGCTGAGTGCTTGAGTCGATCGTCGCGAAGGTCGCCACCACATCGCCAACCTGCATTGCCTTCGCTTTGGCGTCTGTCGTCAGTGCCATGACTGCCCAGCGGCACTCAGCCGTCACGTGAGGCGACACCGGCACACCAGCAGCCTGGATGAAATACGGCAGCGGCATCAGGCTCCACACACTTGACGGCGCCATGGCTGTAGCAATTGGCACTGGCAGGACGGATAGCTTGTTGGGGCTCACAGCCAATGGCACTTCGTTGACAGAAGGGGAGCGCTGAAGCCCCACAGAGATCCCTTGCGCATCTACGGCTTGAAACGTCGCCGCCTCACAAACAAGCGTGTTGGTCGACACTTGCACCACAGGAACGGTGTTTTGTCCGGCAGCTCCAGAGGTCAGCGTGTACTGGAAGTTGCAGTGCAGGCTGGAGGGAAAGATGCCGCTTGAAAACGTCCCATCGATCATGACTCGGACAGAAACCCCCTCCCACACAGTATCGGGCGACACGCGGTCGATCGTGAAGCTCACCGAAGCATAGAGTGATGCCAGGTATGTCCCAGCTGACGCGATCAATTGCCTTGTCTTGACGAGCACTGAGACAGATCCGGCAACGATGGCTGGGGTGCTTGGTGTCGGCGAGGACCTCAGTCCCGGCATCAGGCGATGAAATGTGGCGCCGACATCCACTGGTGTCTCGACGGCTGACTGGACAGCAGCCGGCGGATAGCCCGCAGCAAGATGGTCGACCGCCCCTCCGATGGAGGCGATGGATGAGGGGACGAGACACGACAGCTGTGTTGTGTTAATCCTGGCTGCAGCGAGACTCATGTGGAGAGCTCCTGTGCGGTAGTCGCAGCCCCAACCGCTGTCCTGTGTCAGCTGATTGTCTACGAAGGCCTGGTCGACCAATGAGCCCGGGAAGGTGAGGCCGCTGAGGTTGAGCTGTCGCCCGAGAGTCGGCGCGTCTTCGTGCGTGGCAAAGGTAGTGACGAGGGCGGTGACGAGGGTGAGCAGGAGTTGGCTGGACCCATCGACAGGCAAGGGGAAGACGGTGATGCCGTCTGACGTCCTGACCCTCAGCTCGACGACGGTGTCTCCGCTCGTGTGCTGTACCAGGCTGCGAAGGCCGCTGGTTGCAAAGCTGCATAGAAGCACAGTGTCGCTCGCCACTGTTGCCGTGTCGGACGTCACCGTCTGCCCAGTGCCGCCAAAGAGCGCACACTCGACATCATTCACGACACCGAAGCCACTGCCCTTGACGAGCACTGTCACCGTGCTGGCGCTTTCACTGGCCTCTTCCTCAAGCCATATCTGCTCTGGGAAGATGCCCGTCGGCTGCACTCGTGCGAGCGCCCGAATGTCATAACCCGTGTCGACCCATGCGGTCAGGGAAGGGGCGAATGAGTACTGCAGCTGCAGAGAGTACGTGCCTGGAAGCGTCATGGTGACCAGACACCCCATCTGCGGCCCGCTGCCAGTGAGAAAGACGTCGCTGCCGCTTGGGAAGAGCCGGCAGGCGATAGGAAGAGAAGAGGCAATGGGGCTGAAGGTGAGCAGAATCTCGGTCGAGACAGACTCCACAATGCTCCGCGGCTGCACGTCGAGCAGGGAAGCGAGAGACGGGCTGGCCGGCACCGAGAGGCTTTCACTCATCCTCAGAGCATTAGCATAGCTTGGAGTAGATGGGTCCACGAGAGTGAGCTGCGCGGCAGCTTCACGTGTCCCATTCTGAGGCTGATAGCACGTCGCTGTGTACCCTTGGCCAGGCACAGAGCTCAGAGACTGCAGGGGAGACCGAAGACGCAGTGCCTCGTGCGAGTTTCTCAGCTCGAACCGGCATTGAAGCGTTGAAAGAGAGGGCGACAGATGGCTCGCAAGCTGCAGCTTCGATGTGGAGACTGTTGTCACGTCGATCGGGCCAGCAGGTGCCTGAGGGTGGCGTGCTACTGTCGGCAGCACGTCAGGCGCAGCAGACGGCTGATACACCGTCAAGGTCAAAGACGTCGTCATCAGTAATGCGCCATTCTCACGGAGCCCCACGCGGAACGGCGCAGAGCTGCCCGTCATGGATGGCAGAGACGAGCTGGTGCAGAGAAGGGTGCTCTCCTGTGGAGAGACATCGGCACAAGGCAGCTCGTGTGTTGCTCCCGTACCCAGTGATTCCAGGAGCAGACTCAGAGACATTCCCAGCCCATACGATGGCAGCGAGCTGTCGAGGGTGACGAGCACTTCCACGTTAGTGCCCCCCACGCCTCCCTCAGGGGCGATTGCCGTGATAATGGGGCTGGGTGTAGGGTGAAGCCACAAGAGGTTGCGGTCAGTGGGAGGCAGGGCCGCCTCTTGGCCGTAGGCAACATACAGACATAGAGGCTCCACGCTCGGAATGACAGGAGACGCGCACTCCAGGGTTGTTGCGCTGGTCACCGTTGCTGCCGTCACCTGCCCGTCGCAAAAGTAGCAGGACGGGTAGGGCATCGCCAGGTCGAAAGCCTCCCCCGTCACGGTGAGGGTTATGCCTCCACTCGTTGGAACAGATGAAGGTACGACACTGACGAGCCGCGGCGGTGTGATGTGTCTCGACGGCAGCTGCAAGAACCCTGTCACCGGCCCCGCGATAAAGGAATGCAGACGAACGTATGACGTCGACACGAGAAATGCAGTCGGGATAGAGAGGGCACATGAAGCGCTGCCACTGTTGGCGTTCTCGTCGTAAGGAGTAAGGCTGGAGTGCAGCAACAGCACTCTCGACGCTACAGACGGCAAGGTCCCAGTCGCCGGCTCGTCTGTCGTCAGCTGGGCGACCTGCTCGCAGAGAAGGGTGGTGTCAGGCGAGACAGAAGCAGGGAGGGGCTCGGTCCATGGGAAAAAGGACGGCGTGCTGGCGAGGGCTCTGAGAGAGCTGACGTAAGACGCGAGTGAGGTATACTGCAGCACACGGGCGCCTGTTGGGCTGGTGGTCGGCCCACTTGTGACAACAAGGTCCCGCGGCACCCGAAGATCCACTTGCCGGTCGAAGGACACCTGTACTGTATAGCTGCCGATTCCAGCGAGGCTCGAGACATCCACCACACACCGCATGGTCGCCTCGTCCAGCCACAGTCCACCAACCACCAGTGATCCGATCTTGCAGACGGGATCTAGCGGCAGCTGGGGTACTCCTGATGCGTAAATGTCGATGTGCCAGTAGGTGTCAGTGTCATCGATGACTGCCAGGGGAAACGCGTCCATCAGTGTGGGCGCGGCGACCACTTGGATGGAAGGGGTGAAGGGGCTGGATGACGCAGACGTGGCCTCGATGCCGCTGTGTGCTGTGCTCTGCTGGCTGATCAGGGAGAGAGACACGTCTCCCACAGCGGGGTTAGTGATGGTGCACACGCCTCTGCGTCCACTAGTGGTCACATCGACGACCAGGGGCTCGGCCTTATCGCCGTCTCTGCACAGAAACGAGCTGCTGAGATCGCGACCTCTCACAGTAATGGGCGCCGTAGGATCCGCAAACATGAAAGGCGGTGTCACGCTGAGCAGCCTCGGCACCTCTGCAAAGGTGTTGGTCATCGAGCTGAGCGTCGTGACCTCACCGTTACGTCCCTTGCGGACCACCACATCAAGCTCGGCTGTCGAGAGGAAAAAGTAGGTGGCTGCGAGCGGATGGCAATCGAGTGCCAGGTTGGGAGGGAGAAACCGAACGTGGGAGGACACAGGCTTGCCTCCCACAAAGCAGTGGAGCGGTTCACCGGCAAGCCACGATCCAGCAGAGTTGGGCGTGATTGTGTGCGGTATTGGGTCGCTCAGGGGGGGCGGGGAAAGTGTCGATACCAGTGCAGTAGAGCTGTCCAGCACCTCAAGAGCCGTTGCGCACTCCATGACGTGCTCGCCTGCCGTGAATGTCAGCTGAATAGTGTACGTCCCCGTGGCGACCGAAGGCAGCTTGCAGTCCAGCAGATTGGCTGACGTGTCTGCCGCCGTCATGCAGCCGGAGAGCCATGAGAAAGCAGGCAGACCACTGGAGGTGTCCTTCAGCCGTATCTGGGGAGGGTAGCCCCACATGGTGGCCGACAGCGTGACAGAGACACGAGTAGCCATGTTACTAAGAGCTGTCTCAGGAAAGAAATCCACGCACGTGGGTGCCGCCATCCACTGCAGATGAAGCGGCGCGTCGGCACCCTCACTGTCGAAAGAGCTCACAATAGAGAAGGGCAACGTCTCAATCGCCCTCTCGCTGAGACCATGAGCAACGGCACTGGGATGGGGACAGGTGAGCTGAGTGGCGCTGACCCACGTGGCGGGCCAGGTGATGTCCTGAATGCGGCAGAAGAGGCCCCCTGGCCATGACGACGCACTGCTGCCGAAGCCCCCGCCGTCGACAACAATCGTCGGCCCACTGGCCGATGAAGAGATGAACATCAGTGGCGGCGACACAGATGTGACAGACAATGCTGGAAGGCGCGCATGGACGGATAGGGACACCGCGTTCGTTGTGAAGTCGCCCGTTGGGTGGAAGGATAGGCCGTCTGGCGATATTTGCACATCGCATTGCTCACCGATCGGCAGGGGAGAGAGTGTGGCGAAGGTGATGTCATGGCTGGTCGCGCTGGCTGTGGGCGCCAGAATGGTGGGCGAGACTTCTCCAGTGCACTCGACACGGAAGAGACCTTGCCACTCGAGCGGAGGGAAAGATGAAGTGTCCAACTGCAAGGACGCCACGGACGACACCATAAGCGAGCCACGCGACGAGACACTGAGGGTGTCGCCAGTGCCGCTCAGAATGCTCGGTGACCATAGTTTGATTTCACCTGCGACAGCGTCTCCATCCGTAGTGACCAGACCATGTTCGCTTCCATCCAGGAGACTCACTGACGTCTGGCCTGCACCGATACTGGGTGGGACAAGACAGCTGCGGAGCGGGGGTCCAAGTGGGCCGTTTGTCGCGGGCACACAGGAGATTTTGTTGGCCGCAAAGAGACACTGGAAGGGCGGAAGGGAAGACATGGAGGCGGGGAGATCTAGCACGAGTGAGGCGGAGCCCGTCAAGAAGACATTGGTGTTCCAGACGTGCAGCTGGTCGATGATCTTGACTCTCAGGGATGCGGGAGCTGTAGAGATGACATGGATCTCGGCCAGAATGTCTGGTGTGATCGCCACATTCTCGCTGGCCATTCCTCCCGTCACGGTGTCCATGGCTCGTGCAAGAGACACCATCACGACGCCCGTATCAACGCCCACGAGTGGAGTCGGCAGAGTGCACTCCGCCCGCCCCTCTCTCCCGCTTGCAGTGCTGGAGACGAAGAGGGGCCCATCCGATGCTGCTGCCCGCCACACACACAGCAGTGCCTGGGGGTTGAAGGGCATGGCTGCGCCAGTAGCGTCCAATGCAGACAGGTCTGTCAGCTCGACACGCATGTCTCCGGCCCCTTTTGACATGAGCGAAGGCTGAGCGTGCAGAGAGGTGGCTGCGGCGGTGAAGGCGTCTGTGGCACTTCTGTCCAGTAGTGGCAGATGGATGAAAGAGTCCAGATGGCCCAGCAGATACGCTGGTGGATTGCTCAAATCGAGCTCGGAAAGGATCCCACTCACACCAGGGCCGAGAGCCAGAGCCACAGACAGGCTTAGCCGTGCTCGGAATGACGCGAATGTGCCCTCGATTGGGCAGACAACCTCATAGATAGGCGATGCGGGTACAGCAGTCCTATCCACGAGCAGTGGAGTGCCCACCAGCACGCCGTCGACCAAACATTGAAGGGGCAAAGCCTCAATACTCGTGCTGCTGATGCCTTCAATGGTGAAGATGGCCTTGACAACAGCATTCGTCTGACCCCGATAAGACGCTGTCAAGGCCACATCGCTTCCAGCGGAACGGACGACACGGATCGACATTGCCGTAACTGCAGACGAGGGCACCCGATAGAGTGTCATGGACACATCTGGCCCCTGCCATGATGGTGACCCGACGCTCAGCGTCACAGTCCTTTCTGCAATCGATGACGCCCTGGCTCCATCAGAGCTGCATTGCACCATGTCTCTAGTCAGCCACGTACTGGTGAGTGTCCTCTCTCCCTGCCCATCAGCTGCAATCAGCCGGCATGGAACCCTCTTGTCAAAGTGCTGCAGCCACGGCAGGGTGCCGTATGAAGGCATGTGAGAGGCCAGGCGCGCATACAGAGGGGAATACAGGCTCTCCGCTGCATCCAAGACGGCCACAGGCGCAGCCGGGACGACAGATGATCCTTCATATGGGTCTAAGATGACCATGCGGCCATAAGCGTCATTAAGGCATCTCCCATGACGGGTGCTGCACACGACCACCGTCCATGTTGTTAGCCCAGCAAAGGTAAGACGGGCGCCCGTCTTGGTGCCTTGTTGAAGGGCATCGACGGACGGCAGGAGGCAGCGGATCAGCCCTTGGTGCCGAGACACGGTGCCCTGCACCTCCAATGAGGGCAAGAAGGCGTCCCCACTTTGGAAGAACTGACACGTCACGGCCTCGGTTGCATCAAAGACGTCGGCAAGAGATGCAGACAGCGCCAAATCAACCGCTGCCTGTCCCAAAGACACAGACGTTAAGCCCTCGGTCCTTTGCAGCACGGGAACGGTCTCGTCGATCGTCAGTCGGCGTCTCTCCTTGACGGTCAAAACAGTGGTCACAGCAGGAAGAATGGCTGACAGGCCGGTCATCGATGAGGCGTTGAATAAGCCTGGGATGATGGAAGGCTTGCGCACAAGATGGGGTAGATACTGGCCCTCGAGCAGCCGAGCCTGACATTGCACCTTCAGCCGGCAGGATGTGGCGCTGCTGCAGGTGGACTCTCCTTCAATGACCGGAGACACGTCCGCGATGATCTGTCCGGCTGCCGTCGCACTCTGGGGTACGAAGAGACACTGCCATTGTGCTGTGGCCTGGCTCGCCACCTGTTTCGTCTCCTGGCCGCCTTCGATCGTCAGTGAGAGGTTTGTATTGTCCAGAGCAAAGACAGACGAGGGGACCACTGCCGTGATGCTGAGGGAGTTGTCGGAAGGAGGGCTGATCGACAGATCCAGTGACCCTACGAGCATCCTGGACTGACAGACGGACGCCAGGTTGCAAGCATACGCAGAAGAGCCGCAAAGCGCCATCAGAGACATCGACTGCACTGATGTCCCTTGGCAGAGAGACCGGCAGAAGGCATCGGCCATGCCGTGGCCGCTGGCGCCAAACTCGCCGGTTAGCGTCGTCAGATACGTCGAGAGTAGCGGCTCAGAGGACGTGTCCGCCACCTGCCACTGACCCCCACTTGTGGCTGTGCCCAGCAGTGGCGATGCAGTGAGGGCCTCCACAGGTACAGGCAAAGCCCACTGCAGATGCATAGGTGTCATGTGGAGCACCATAAGTCCTTGGTCGCTCCCAACGCCCCGAATCATGACGTGAATCCGATCACTCGGCACGGCGGTGGTCATTGTGTGATCGGCTGACTGCGGAGGCCACGGGAGGGATCCACACGACAGCTCAGAAGGCCCTTTCCAACGCAGCGTCTGAGAGACTGTCCCCCATGGCGTCCCAATGACGCATTCAAGACCAGATGGCGACTGAGGAACACCGGCATAGCCCTTGACAATCAGCTCCGGATCCAGGGACGGCAGCGAGCTCCCGTCCATGTCAGCATGGTGCGTGCTCGGCCATCTCAGTGAGGCCGTAAGGCCATCAAGGGTGGGAGTGATAGAGACGGCGGCAAACGTCTGGCTGTGTGTTGCGGGTGAGACGAGGGGGGACGCGACGACCGTGAGGGAATAGGTCGAAGGTGACGATATCGACAGGCGGCGCGAGGTATGCGGCAATCGGCATCTCACAATCTGCTTGCCCGTGGCAATGTCTGTCATCACCGAAAGGACGTCAACGGTGGCCCCATCTTGTTCACCGCCGACGTAAGCTACCCAATGGCACCAGCAAGTGCTTGGCGTGCACGCAGACGATGAGTCCGAAAGAGACACGTCCACCCAGCCCTGTCCTCCATCTCCGATCGGCAGCCACACAGCCGCATTTTGCCCTGCATCCATCCGAGGGGCAGGCCGGACCGCGGCAGTGCTCTCGCCGATGAGGCCTTGTGTGGGGGCGACGGCCTCTGTCGCCTCGTTACGGGCCTTGGGTGCCAGTGTCATCGACAGGGTGGCCTTGAGGGTCATCTCCTGGTTGCTGGTAGAAACCCTTTCCACAAGTGTGGATCCGTCAAGTCGACAGTGCACAAGGGATGGTGCGATGGCCACTCCATCCACCAAGACGCCCTCCGACTCCGGCTCACCCAGCCACCGAAGACGGCAGCTGACGAGTGTACCGACACCAATATCGCTGGATGTCACCAGCATGACTCCGCTGAGAGAGGCCACCATGAGCTCGATGGGCACCACGGCGTCCAGGAAAGATACACTGTCAGGACGCGACGAAGCCACTACGACCGGGAAGCTGTTCGACGCCGTGTAATAGCGAGAGACGTCAGATGGAGCGGGTGAGACGAGGCCGAATGTGACCCACAGTGTCGTCCCTGCGGCTGCCGCGCCATCCGGTAGGGGGCAGGTGAAGAACCGGTGGCCATCAGGGGCTACAGATGTGTCGTACGTGGCTGTTGCGGCCAGCCAGGGGCCTGATGCGTCGGTGGCATTGGATAAGGGAGATAGAGGGCGAAACCAGCAGAGGTAAGGGCCAGGCAGGGAGGCCGGCAGCGGCGGGCTGAGCCGAAAACTCACGTACGCCTGCAAAAGAAGGGAGAGACCATGTGTACCCTGTCTGCAAAGCTTCCCCTCCAGCTCACTTTGTCATCACTATGTCCAGGCAGCGCTTGCGACGGAGACACGGCAACCATGCTCGGCCTTGCAGCAACAGGAATTGTGATCGCTTGAGTGAGAGCCTTCACCCACACCCCTACATCAGTTCCATCAAAGTGCAGCGACACTTCGAGAGACACCGAGCCGCTGCTGGTGGAAGGTGGGCTGAGAGATAGAGGGGGCAGCCGACAAGAGAGCTGTGTGGCGCTGAGGAGGTCGGCTGTGGTGACTTCGGTGGAGCCATCGGTGTTTGTCCATTCGCATAGCAGTCCGTCCTATCATAATGAAACATGCAGAGAAATAACACCACACTCACGTGAATGACCTCTTACCAGACTTGGCGACGTCGGCAGGTTGGCTGTCACAGTGATTCTCTCCACGTCGGCTCCATCCACTCCACCAGGAGCGAACAACAAATCTGGCTCGATCGCTAGCACACCGACTGATGCCATGACGACCACCGAGCCCCCACTGTACCACACACCGCCATCCCGCGACACTTCTACTGTGCATGTGCCAGACCCAATCAGCATCGGCACAAGCCACGCTACCTCCACTGAGGCCTCGCCCAGCACTCTCACAGAGCCCATAGTCTCGTGAACGGTGCCACCGACAGTCATGCGGGCGGTCCACTGGCTGCTGTCCATCTGCTGGGTGGCGACGAGTCCTGTCGGCAGCCCCCGGATCACTGCTGTCATGTTTTGCATCGTAGTGGCGATCAGGCGTGTTGGTGATACCTCCACTTGTGGGGCGGTGTGGTACTCGAAGGTGGTGGTTGTGACGAATGAGGCGGAAGAGGGGATGGTCAGGCTGAGGGCAGCTGGGGGGGCGGCGAGGGATGTCTCGACAGATAGGGAAAGCGTGACCGTCTCACTGTGTGTCCATGCTGGGGTGATGCACACGAGGCATCCATCCGACACTGCCACATGGCCAGTGACAACAGTCGACCGAAATCGGCAGTGGATTGTCCAGCTGTCAGCCACACCAAGCGCCACTGGCCGTTCAGGACACAGAGACACCGCCTCAGCCCCACTGACCAGCCCGTATGTCGGAACCACCTGCCACATTGACGGCTCCTCACGAAAGAGAAACGAAGACGCCGTGTCCGTGACGGCCATCACCGCCTCCCCGCCGATCTCTCCAGTGCCGATGCCGACTCGCAGCCTCACAGCCAGGCCAACAAGCGGGGAGGGAGGGGCCACACAAGACGCCACTATGGATGACACAACAGTCGCCTTGACCTTCCCCGCCGCGCCAAACAGGCAATACATGGACGTGACAGATGACAGAGGGAAGTTCTCGCCCGTCAGGGTGACCAAAGTGCCTCCCATGGCAGGCCCCTCTGCAGGATACGACGCAACGATCTTCGGTGTGGCGATGAGGGTGGTGGTGGCGAGTGGCGGGTATGAGTGCGGGTGGGACGAGGCCACAGATGCTGGTGGTAGGGGAGGGAGGGCCGAGATGGATGTGGTGGCGGCTGACGGCGGCGATGACAGGAATGGCTGAGAGCTACATGTGTAGAGCCACCGGGACAGAGGAGGGAGGAAGCCGACAAGCGAGTTGGGCCCTGTATACCAACAAGAACACACAAGGCACACAATCATTGTCTATTTCTCCTGGTGGTTTTTCCGGTAAGGCAGTCATCACCTGTGTCCATGGAGCACCAGGGCGCCTCATCGCCCCTCAGTGGTCGTGACAGCACATGTGTCAGCGGCACACCGCTCAGAGCGAATATCGGGTGACTCACACGACTCACGGACGACACAGCAGGATACAGCCGATAGATGAAGGGCACGGCGACAGAGTTAACTTGCAGGGATAGAGGTGCGCCTGCGGCATGAGCTGTCGCACTGTTGGCCAGGGTCGATATGGGGAATGAGCACAGGTAGGAAGGGGGAAAGTGGGGGTCGGTGGAGGGGGTGCTTGATGACCACAACGGAGCACCAGTGGCTGGGACAAACAGATAGATGGTCGCGTCTCTCACTCTCTCACTTGTGTACTATCAGCTCACCGGTGATGCCTCCGAGATCGCAAGCCACAGTCGGCGCGTTAGCGATGGTGAATGGCCCCGCTGCCAGCCTCACCACCACACCCACATCCCCAGACGCCAGAGATGGATAAGCCAATGTCACTCGGGGGAATGGCCAAGCGAATCCCTCCTGGCTGCCCAGTGGCAGCCCCGTGACAGAGTATGGGGGACGTCTAGTCAGCAGATAGAAAATAAGGGGTGTCTGCGTGCCATAAAAGGGCTGCGACGAGTCGAGGAGAAGCCCGACGTTGAGGGATGGAAGGGCCGGAGGGGGCAGCAGTGCCTCTGATGGGATGGCGGCTGACGCTGGCACCCGACAGGTGATGGTGTCATCGCCATATTGTGTGGCTGCTGTGGTGATGGGCCCGAACAGACACGCGACGTTGTCAAAAGCAGAGAAGCCTCGCCCAGTGATGGTCGCCAGCTCCCCGCCGTAGCCGCCAGCGGGAGAGATCGATACAACGTCGAGTTCACTGGACGACCGATAAGAGACTGAATGGCCACTCACGTCTCCAGTCATTACATCGGGGGTGATCAGCAGAGATGACGCCGACTTGGGCTGCAGCGCCCTGCTGGGAGGGGCAGAACAGACGGAGGACTCCGCTCCAGCAGCCACAAGAGACGTCCCCCCGTGTGCAGATGGCCCGCCCCACACACACTTTAGTGGGAAATCGGCCGTCGGCGACACCTGAAACGCCCTCGACCATCCTCCGACATACGAGCCCTCGATCGGTGAAGACGACGGCAGCAGAGTCGCCAGAGGGAAAGGACCGCCCACACCGAGTGAGACCACACCGATCGACAAGGCGTTCGACAAACGCGCCTCGCCCATCAGGTCAGTCTTCAGAGCGATCCAGAGACGTGTCGCGCCGCTGAGTCCAGGGGTCATGGTGGGGAAGCCACAAGTGAGGAGGGAAGGCCCCGTTTGGTTGACGGAGAGCGATAGAAGGGGCATGTGGGTGTCGAGGGGCGATTCAGGTGATGCGTAGGTTGGTGCTGGAGGGATGGAGGTGAAGAGGAGACAGCTGGTGGACGCGAGGGGGTGGAAGAGGTCAGCGCCGGTGAGGGTCAGGGTGCGGTAGCCCTCGGTGTCATCGTCAAGGACAATGATCGATGGAGACACGCCATACAAACGGGGAAACCTGACATAAAGCAAACCAAACACGAGCAGCCAATATATGCGCATTCATCAAGTCGCCCACCCGCTCGAGTATGCCGAGCTCTCTCCTGAGCTGCCTCCATCAGTCCACATGCCCGCAGCCACCACATTACTTCCTGCGCGCGCCACTCTTCCGCCCACCTCACGCGTCTCAGTCACGTTGTAGCTTCCCATAAACGGGTCCGACACGAGTGTGACAATGCCCTCACTCCCATCGCCATTCGTGTAGGTCACATAGCGCAGGTCGATCTCTCGGTACCCGAGGGAAGTCGTTTGGTCGTCGAGACGAAGGGAGATGCATGAGCTGTCGGCAGGCAGGAATGCCGAGCCCCCGATTGGTGTGTTGGTGTCGCTGTGGGGATTTCGGCAATCGGGGACCGACGTGATCGACAGCGACGGCGGCGGAGACACCAGCCGGTGGCGGAAGGATGGAGCCCCCGTGCCGTCCCAAGATGCGTCCAGTGAGGTGATGACAGCAGTGTTCAGAGGGAGACTGGGCCGGCTGTAGGCCGGTGCAGTGGACAGGGCCCATCCGCTGGTGCCTTGCAAGTACATGCGGGAAGAGGAGGCCGCATCTCGCGCCACATTGCCACCTCCCTCGTCCAGGGCAAGGAACATGAGAAGCGAGGCATCGTCCATCAACGGCCGGCTCTTCCACGCAAGAGCGGAGATCTCGTCGGCCGTCAACACGCGAGACCAAACTGCGATCTCGTCCATCTCTCCCCGGTAGCCCATCGAGGCATCAATAGACCCGTCGCTCGCCAAACCAGCCCCAATTAGTAATCGTCCGCCCGCCCGGCGGCCACCAGCATACGAGCCTGGGAGTGAGGGCTCGTGTGTGAGGGTGCCGTTGGTGAAGATGCTGATACGGTTGGCTGCGAGTGATACGCTTGCCGCGATGTGGGTCCACTGCGCGGACGGGAGGGGCAGTGGAGAGGGGATGGCATGCCATCTCGTGCCGGACGGGTCGCTGATGTACAGCTGTGGAAATAGACAGGCAGACGAGAGAGGGGATTCTATGGACCCGTGTGCGTTCAGGTGCTTACCACAGGCTGGAAGGAGAAGGTAGGGCTGCCTAAATAGGTGAGCTGCAGCCCGAAACTCAGCTGACTTGAGCCGGATCCTCTGTATATCACCCATCTGCATTGCACCATACACTTGAAAGGCCACTGCAAAATCCCTCTTCCATTCTTCCCCACCTCTGTGTGGGCGTCGCTGCCGATGGCCAAAGCCATAAAGCCAGTGTCAGGTTCGTCACGGACCATGACCCGCTGTGCAGACCACTCAGATATCTGCCATAATCCAAAGGCACACGACACACAACACAGAAAGATGCAGGCACGATGTGCATTCGTGTTGTTGATGGACGCCTTGTCTGAATGAATAGATAGGGCATACATACATCCATATGGGCGTCTGGACCTTGTTCCGTCGAACGACGCAGAGAAGCCGCCGCTACCCGCCTGAACAGTGCCTGCAACAACAGACCGGGAAGACAAAAAGTGAGACGAAGGCAACACATGAGGAGATTTGATGCTACGGTGGTCGGTTCCTCACCTGCATCCACTTGTGTGGAACAGCAAACCGCCATCAGCACCGTCATGAACGACAGCAGCCTCTGTATCCTCAACCATGTCGAGTCGAGCATTCTTTTCACTTCTCCTTCTTCTCTGTCGTCTTGTTTCCTCCTCCATGGTGCTTGATTGCACCAACTTCGCGCCTCATGAGACTGGGGGTGGCTGGGGGTTCGTTAACGGAATTCAAACTGGCCGCGCACATTTCCGCCTGGCCAGGGAGCCATCCTTTAGTAACTTCCAATGAAGTCGCATTTTCCGCCGCTGTCATGACCAAGATCCTTCATCGCGAGCGAAGCATCCCCCTGGGACGTTCGGGTTGGGATTCAACTTGGGAATTTGTGTGAGTCTTACCCATGTGTTTGCCCCTGGCAGCTTTCTCCGAGTATGTGTCTCTCCTTGAGGAGGTGTTGATTAGAAACAAAGTTGTGAAAAGCGAAACCGTCGATATTTGAGCGAGACGGGGAAATTGAAATAAATCTTCGGTCACTTGCTGGATTCACAGTTGGAATTCGCGAGCTCTATGCGCTTCCATCCGAACGACGAAGACGCCCATCTGCAGGCAGCCTCACCCTGCAGGATGCCACGGCGGTGACCATCGATGTGACCAAGGTCGGCGAGGGCACATCAGCGGTGGTCGCCTCGGGCGTGTGGGAGGAGGTGACGGAGGGCCCAGCAGCCTTCAAGGCCTTCGAGAGGCCCAGGGACGACGCAGAGGCGGCTCAGGAGGCGAGGCGGCTCAACTGCATCAAGCAGCAGGTCCTGGAGGAGGCGGCAGCTCAGGGGCTGGATGTCGAGCGTGTGTGGGCCCGGACACCGTTCGTCAAGCCGTACGCCGGCGAGCCCATCGCCGGGCAGCTGACGGCTGAGGGACAGACCCGGGACAGCCTCGTGGTGCCAATGCAGTACCTCGGTGAGCGAGTGGGCGGGTGGGTGAATGGGGCACTACACCTGAGGCAGGTGCATGCAGACAGGACAGCCGTAATATTTGTTTCTCTGTCCGTCCGTGTCCGTATGGGGGATGCAGAGCCGAGCTGCTAGACGACGCTCACCATCTGGCTGCTCAAGCGCCTCAGCCTCCCCCGCATCGCCCGCAAAAACCGCCACACCAGCAGCACAGACGAGTGGCACCGTGGCACTGCAGTTGCGCCCTGTTGTTCCGCTTGTCTGCCGTAGAAAGCTTTCAGGCAGAACACAGCGGCCCAACACACTGAAGCATATCCTCTTTATCGTCGACACTGGAGCCTATCCCAATTTGTTGTGCATGGACGCCATCAAAACTTTGTTCAACATGCGCGGAAAAGAAGCTCATCAAGGAGGTAGACCTGCTTGCCTTGCAGTCGTTTCTGCAGAAGAAAGACTACAGACGCAAGAGGGTGAGTGGGGAGGGAGACTGGGTAGATTTGTATGTGATATCTGATCTGTGTGCGGCTATAGATATTCGGTGAGATGGACGTGCTGGAGGTGCTGCGTGTGCACCCCGCTCGGTGCTTCAAGGAGAAGTGCGGGGCGTGGATGAAGGGGTTTCCACCAAAGGTGAGCAGAAATGCGTTCTCCATCGATGTGTATGTTTGCCATGTGCGCTTGTGTGAATATGCTCTCCATCGATGTGTATGTTTGCCATGTGCGCTTGTGTGAATATGCAGTACAAAGTGACCGACTCGCGCAAGGTGGAGAGCCACCTGAGATATGCAGGCATTCATTGTGGCAACACCTCGTCATCTATAGGCAGCTGACGGCTCAGGAACAGACCCAGGACAGCCTCGTGGTCCAGCCGTCTGTGTCTGTGTCTGTTGTGTGCAGAGGTGCACGGCGTACCCTTTCCTGAGAGAGCCGACCGGCTCCCGCCTTCAGGAGAAGGGGCTATGCCAGGAAGGCAGGCTGGGAGTGTTCTCTTTGCAGTTCTGCAAAGCCTCAACCTCAAGTTGGAAGTCGGCAATGCGCTCAACCAGAAGGCATACGAAGTAATGGAGCGCATCGCTAAGAGCCCCAGTGGTGCAGGCCCGCGGCAAAGGTCTAATTTTAGCAAGGCAGCGAAAGCGGTCGTGTCAGAGGAAAAGGCCTTTTACGGCATTGACAAGAACACTCTTGTGCGAGGATTCCTCGCAGCCACCCGATGCATTTTCAACTTGGGGAAGATCCATGGTAGGCGCGGAGCTATGGTCTGTTCGATCCATCCTTGCATGCCGCTTTCTCTGTTGATTCGGCAGCGTTCGAGCGGCTAAGCCAGGAAAAGAACTCATCTTTCCTGAGCTCGCCGAGCGGCTCCCGTCTCGAGGAGAAGGCGTGTTGGTAAGATGGTCACTGAGTATACGCATACGATCGATGGATTGATTGTAAGGCGTACGTCACCTTTTGTGCACCCAGGCAAAAGGGGGTCCAGTCAAAGGCCTCGCTAGCGAGATTTTCAATAAACCGCTCACCGTGGATGAGATTGAAAGACAAGTGAAGGAGATATATGCGGAGATATTCGGCCGTCACCAAGTGGTGCCGGCCTGTGTGGTTGGCTACTTGGTGTTCTGCCTGCTCGGGTCGCTGGAAGAGATGGACGCCCTGCACTATATGTGTACGTCTGTGGATGTATGTATGTGTGTCTGTGTGTGCGCAGAAAATCGCTCACCGTGACCTAAAGGTCCCCATCTCATGGACGAGCAAGGTGGCCGCACTTGTGTGTATGTCTGTGTGTATGGGTGTGTGCCTGTGTGTGCAGCCACACAATGTGCTGATGGTCAAGGATGAGGAGACGGGCCTGATGCGCCCTGTTGTGTGTGACTTCGGGACGGCAACATCGCCTGACACAGATGGGAGTACGACGCGTCCACCAGGACGCTGAGGCTGTGGGCGCCGTCCGTATTCATTGTCGGTGGTGACGTGTTGGTGGGACTGCAGTTCGATGTCCACCGCGACGACGTCATGCTCAAGGTCGGGTGAGTGAGTGAGCCAGGCACCTATACAGGCAGGTAGGCAGGCAGACAGGGAGGCAGAAAAGATGAGAGGGGAAAGACACGCGGCTTGTGTGTTTATGTCGCTGTTTCAGGGTCAACCGTGCCTCCCTGGGATTTGGCATGATGGCGACCTTCAACTGGGACAACATCTACTATCTCGACACTGAGTGCCCCAACATCGTCACCAGCGACATGTCGCTGCAGGTGGTCGCGCCGCACTGGTGTCGTTCAACCGAAGGAGACACAACGCTCGCGTGTCGCCGAACTTTATGCTGGTGCGGGTGGACGACGGCTCGGTGGCCAACCACATCAACTACACCAACATCAACCACTAGACACTCACACCACCCCCACACATCCGGTCACACGTGAGTGAACAGAGAGAAGCACACCATCAATCATGACTGGTGTCCTTTATGTGTAGGTGGCAGGAAAATATTTTGTGTCCTTTTGTCAATCGCTCTGGTGATTACCGTCATGCAGGCAGCGAACAAAGCCATTACATGTGCCGGTCTGTGTGGTGTCGCTTGCTGGCTATTCATCCTCATCAAGCTCACGTGAGTGAGTGAGTGAGCCAGGCACCTAGGCAGGCAGGCAGGCAGGCAGGGAGGGAGGGAGGCAGAAAAGAGGAGAGGGGAAAGACACGCGGCTTGTGTGTTTGTGTCGCTATTTCAGGGTCAACCGTGCGACCATCGGAGCGAGCATGATGGCGACCTTCAACTAGAACAACATCTACTACCTCGACACTCAGTGCCTCGAAGTGAGTCAGGCGAGTGAGTGCATTTGTACTCCCGTACCGTATGTCTGTGTGTGTGGGCGGCGGGTGGTTGAATAGGACACAAGCGCGAGAAGGACTGAAACAACCTGACCCCAGCCGTACGTTTGGCAAGAATTCGGCTATGATGATGGCCTGCCAGGCGGCGGACGAGGCCAACGAGGCCAACGAGGCCAACGAGGGTGTCCTGTGGTGGGCGTGCACTACACCTGAGGCACGTGCATGCAGACAGGACAGCCGTAATGTTTGTTCCTCTGTCCGTCTGTGTCCGTTGTGGGTCATGCATCGACCTCGAGAGGCAACTGACGCGCGTCGAGGCGGCTCCCCTTCTACGCCCACAGCAGCAGCCACTAGCAGGTGTGCATCCCTCGACCGATACCTCCGCATAATGGTTAGGAGTCAGAACACAGCAAAGCCCCTCATTGTATGAGTGCGTGTGCTGCAGTGTCACGCAGATTCGTTCCTGGCCGCCCAGCCATCAAGTGGGAGCAATGCCATTGGTACAACATGCCTCGTGTTGCCATGATACTCGAGTCGCTGCCGCCACAACCACCACCACAGCCAGCTCAGCCAGTTGAGCTCAGCCACAGCTCAGCAGCAGGTGTGTATGAATACATGAACATGCCTCACTGTCATGCCTCTCTGTGTGTGTGCGCGTGTGTGTCTGTATGGGTGATGCGATGCAGACCCGAGCTGCTACACGACGCTCACCATCTGGCTGCTCAAGCGCCTCAGCCTCCCCCGCATCGCCCGCAAAAACCGCCACACCAGCAGCACCGACGAGTGGCAGCGGGATGCGCACCGTCGGGAGCTATTGTCTGAGCTCAAGGAGCTCTATGCCGTGCTATTGGCGGCGGTTCGGGCGCACCAGAAGGCGTATGAGAAGCGCCTCATGTGCAGCGACCATGTCACGAGCGACACCATGCTGCACAACAAATTGCTCGAGCGCCTGAAGAAGCTGCAGCCGATCGAGGACCCCTGTGTGCCCGCCACCGCCAAGTTTGTTGACACGATTGCCACTCTTCTCCTCGCCAACCCCACCCCTCCCCGCCTCGCCCCCTTCCTCGGCGACCAGATGGCGGTCGTGCCCTTCGGCTACGAGGCCCGCGTCATCGCTCAGCAGCACCCGACGGGCAAGGTGCTACAGGAGGCGCCCGAGATCGGCCTCTTCATCGTCCTCCACCACCGCGACATCGGCCAGCTGCATGCCCTCTTGGGCGACGGGGCAGACGAGGAGATCGAGGAGGTGGTGAAGGCGGCCGACGAGCTCGTTGAACGGCTGGGGAACAAGGGCGTTGTCGTGCCGGACGAGGGGGGTGCGGGCAGGGCGATTGGTGGGCAAGCCGACAGCGGCATTCAACGCCGGTCTGATGGTGCAGACGGCATGGCGGGGCGATGTCCTCGACCCCGTCGCCGCGGCGTCGCAGAAGGCCATCTCGGCCGACTGGGAGGATAAGGACGCGCTCGACCAGCTGGAGGAGGCCATTGCCAGCGGCCTGACCCTGCTGCAGGGCATTGATCCCTGTTCCGGCATGTACAAGATGAAAGAGGACATGGCCAAAGCACATGGAAGCTTCCAGCGCATCGAGAAGCGGCTGTCGCTGTGTCTCCGGCACCTTCGCGTCGGGGCATTCCTTTCCGCTGGCCTGAACACATTGCAAAGGCATTTTCCTGCCTACGCGACCACCACGGTCCCAAGCTCATCTCTATTCCACCCTGTCGCGTACTGATGCGCGTGGCTCAAAGGGAGTCGCGGTTTTGTTTCGACTTTAACCAGCACGGCGTGAATGGGGGAATCTCGGTCGTCTCAGACAGATGGTAGGCACGCACATGGCCAGACAGGCGGGGAGGGAGCATGATCGACTGGGGTGCATTCGTGGTCTGGCGTGGAATGTGTATATGTCAGGACAACGAGATAGATGAGCCGGCCGCGTCTGCTGCGCATGCTGCTGCTGCTGCTTCAGCGCCACCTGCTGCAGAGCCAGCAGCAGCAGCGCCCATCCCCAACGGTGTCAGCTTTGAGGTGGGTGTACAGTAGTAGCCAGCAAGATGCTCAACGAATGCACCATCCATCCATCCATCCATGCATTCATTGCACACATCCTTGCAGGAGTACATGCCAAGGTCAGCAGAGGAGCAGAAGGCCCTGTTCATGGCGATGATACTCGAATCGCTGCCGCCACCACCACCACCAGCGCAGCCACAGCTGCAGCCACCGATCGAGCACGACCAGGGGGTGGATGGGATGGATGCCGAGCCGGCATCAGGCCTAGCAGCCATCCTTTAGCCGAGCGATGAGGCAGAGGAGGGAACACCGGCTGAGCATGGCTCGATTGACCCTATCGGGTAGACGGGGTTTGTGTACGGCCTTCTGCTCAGTGTAGGACTCTATTGGTAGGACTCGCTTGCGGCCATTTGGCGGTACTTACGGAACCTCAGATGACGTACTTTTTGTCATCGTGGGAGAGAGGCACTCACATGTGGCCAGTCGTCAGTATCTGTGCCACGTGGTACGCACGGGAGAAGGTAGACGAGCAGTGAGATGTATACATACACATGTGGTTTTGTCATGTTCGTATGTGCGTGCGTCTGTGTGTGCACGACCAGCAGCAGCAGGCTGTGGAGTCCGAAACTGCGGCGCACCGACTCTTAAGAGAGTGCAGGCAGAGGGTGGGCAGACGATCAGTGAGACACGAACACATTACATGTCTCACTTGCATGTCTCTGTGTGTGTGTGTGAATGTGTCTGCAGATGAGTGTCGCGCTAGTGGTGCACCTAAGCGTGAGATGGGTGCATGAGATGGGTGCATGGGCTGGCTGCTGGCTGTGTTGTGACTGGTGGAAGGGGGATGCTCGGGTGGTCGAGCAGCCGACCACCTGAGTGGGGCGGTACAAGTAGACATCCCGGGTAGCAGAAGCTTTTCATTTACACGTGTCTCTATATCCCTTGCTCTCACCACTCTGGCTGTCTCTGAACTGCTACTGGCCACCTGTAGCTGCGCCTCTGTGGGTCAGAAATGCAGCGAAGCATAGACAGCAGCTCTTGAAAGACAGCCCGACTGGCCGTGACAAGACTAAATGGCCCATAGATTCCGTCCATCTCCCACCAACCTTGTGCATCATTTGATATCTCACGCAGGCACCGCTCAGCTATTCACACAAGCATCTACCATACCGAACCTATCTACCCAAACCCCCACCTCCTCGCATCCGCCACCACCTTGCCGAAATACTCGACTAGCGGCCCGGGGGCGATATCCGTCACGCGGCTCTCGATGGTCGGCCCCTCGACCTCACCCCTGTATACCAGTTTCCTCTTCTTGTCGGCGCCATGGCTGTGGCTGTGAGCGTCACGGTGTGCCCGTCGCCCTCGGGGCGGCGAGGAGGTGAGGGATGACGAGTCGTCGGGTGATGTGGACGTGTTTGGGATGTGCTCTTGGGCGGGGAAGCAGACGCTCTCGATGTCCAGGAAGGGGTAGCTGCACGGCACACATGGCAAGTAAGCAGGGGGAGAACTGTGCAGGTGTGTGTGTGTTTGATGGTGTGAGGTGCGTACTCTGGGATCTTTGGCGGGACGGTGTGGCTGATCCACTCGTCGTTTAGGGGCAGGGCAGCAGGCAGCTGCTGAAACGGACGGCTGCACGCATACACACACACAGACAGACACACGGGATGGGCCACCTTCCCCGTCCGAAACCATCGCGCGTGAATGCGTACCTGTCGGGGGGCATTTGCATGATCTGTGCGTGTATGGCGTCCCTTTGCTCTTTAATCTTGATGGCGTCCTCCCTCTCCCGCCGCTCGATGTCCGCCACAGGGTCGTCAAACTCATCCTCCCGCTGCACGCAGGCAGGCAGGCAGGCAGACGGACGCAACAGAAACGACCCTTCTTTGATGCACACACATGTCGCCAACATTGATCCTCACCTCTACGTATTCGCGATTGCGATCGGTCAGCACAAAGCCTGACCGACAGACAGACAGACAGACAGACAGCGACGGTTTGTATGTCTGTGCCTGTCGGCTGCCAACTGCATGCCCTCCACTTACCGGCGATGAAGTTGGCCCAGGAGTCTCGGTGTCTTGGCTGCCACAGGAGTGCCGAGCCCTCGGTCGTCATGCTCAGCAGCTTGCACTCATAAGGACACCAACAGATCTGACACACACACACACACACACACACAGCGACCCATGATGTGTTGTGTATGTGTGAGTGGAATTTTTGACGCACCGCACCCACCCACTGACCCACCCGTGTGACGAGTCCGATTTTGGTGGTGTCTACTTCGAGTTTCTTGAGGCGGTGGTGCTCCTCATGGCTTTCGACGTCATACACATACATACGGTATATGTTCATCTGCACAGCACATCACATCACATCACATCACAGCACGCATCCGTGAGCCTGTTCCTCCCTCACCGACGAGTATGCCGATATGGCGACAGCTCTGAGGCACGGGAAGAGGCTGAAGCAGCCCGTGACGTACTTGTCGCCCGACGAGGGCGGCGGCTGCCGCGCCAGGAACTTCAACGCCATCTCGCCAGTCATGTCCTCGGGATCCTCCTCCCCCTCCTCACCATCACCATCGCTCGACTCGTTCTCGTCCTCATTCGCGTTGTCATTGCCCTTGCCGTTGCCGTTGTTGGCGTTCTTCATTTCAACGTCGCCACCCTCCTCCTCCGGCTGTTGCTGGTTGGCGTCGCCCTGCTGGCTGCGGCCCGCGCCGCTCTTGCCGCTCTTGCCGCTCTTGCCGCTCTTGCTCTTGCCGTCCTCCTGCCCTCCTCCGTCGCCTGACCTAGGGTAGGTCAGATGGATGAAGACGACCATCTCGGGCTCGATGGCCACGAGCACGTCGCTATCGCCGTGCTCGTGCGCACACAGCTGGAAGATGCCCCCGAACTGGCTGCGACCCATCGCCAGCCTCCCGGCCAGCTGCAGAGCAGAGTTGAAGGCCAGCAGGGTATTGTTCGGCGCTGCGATGACGATCGCCGGCTCGCCGAGGGAGGGAGGGGGCAGAAGGGGCGGGTAGGGCCTCTTGTGCTGAAAGGGGGAGAGGGAGGGAGAGGGAGAGGGGGAGGGGGAGTGTGCCGGGGAGGGAGGGGCGTCGGTTTTGCTCTTGCGAATGACGGCAAAGGGCCACTCGGTGGGCGACCGGGCAGCCTCCTTGCCCTTGCTGTCTTTGCGGTACTTGGCAGCCATTGAGGGGTCCAGGATGGGCGAGAGTCTCACAGCGCGGCTCACTACGTCCACCCTGAGCACATGCGGCCCAGTGGTCTCCTCGTCGGTCAGGTTCACGACAAACCGATAGTATCCATCCTGGCTCGACCCGTCGAGGAAGGCCACGCGCGGCGAGTCGCGGTGCTCCCGCAGCCGCCTGTCGCCCGGCAGCCGCATTGGCTTGTCGTGTGCGTGGCCGCCCTCCTCCTGCCGCATGAGATCTATCACTTGCACTGCCTCCGGTCCGAAGACGATGAGAGTGCGGTCATGGTCGGCGAATGTGAGATGCGTGACGCGGAACGGCACACTGCCGACGGTGGCAACGTGCTCGCGGATGGCCGCCGAGAAGAGATGAATGACACTCCCGCTGCCGGCGAGTGCATGAAGGAAATGGCCATTGGCGGCAGCACTCGATGAGGAGGCGCCGCTGCTTTCGTGGCCGCTTGCGGGTTTGGCTGCGTCCTCTGTGTTGGTGACGGCTGCCGTGGCGACGAGGTGCCCGTTGGCTGAGAAGGCTGCCGCGAGAGTGACGGACGACTCGTCATCGACGGCCAGTCGGTAGGAGATCCGCTCGGGCACCAGATTGTCGTCCGTAGAAGGGTCAAAACAAGCGAAATCCATCGCTTCTTCGGTGCTTCGTTGCGAGATCACATGTGAGCTCGCCATCCTCTCCCTTCTCAGAGAGCACGAAGGGTGTGACTTCTTCCTTCTTCGTCTTCTTCGAAACAGCACTCTGCAGACAAGGCCAACAAGGATCATCATGACGGGTAAGCAGTGCATGCACTGCCACCAGAGAAGTCGACACGTCACTCACTGCTGGCTAACTACAGCACATGCAGCATCGCCTCCTTTGATTCCTGTCCTCTGTGCATAATTCAGGCAGGCCGATGAGTGCAAACGAGTTTGCGGACCTCTCGCGCGTCAACGACCGAGGAGGCGGGGCGCAAACCGGTCGCGTAGCAACCGCAGCAACATCACCAACACGCGCAGTGCCACGCTCCTCAAGGTACGCACGTCACTCACCACGCAGGCAGACGAGCACGTGTGTGTTGGTGTGTTGTGTCAGTTCCCTGAGAAGCTCCTCTCAGGAGCAGCGAGCGGAGCTTGACGCTTACCGGCTGAAGCTGCTGGCGGACAAGAAGCTCGAGCGGCGCCTTCTGGAGGAGGCTGAGCGGCGGGGGAGGGCGCGGGAGGCGGAGGTGGCCATGGCGCCGTTCCACCCCTACAACAAGAGGGTGGTGGTGGAGAGGGAGGAGGGGGGCTTGATGATCTGCTGCATCTGCTTGGACAGGCCCATGGCCATGGCTGTGCTGCCCTGTGTAAGGCCATGTCCACAAAACGACAGAAGAGACGAAGGAACACGTGTACTTGACCTGTCTGTGTGTCTGTCTGTGTGTCTGTGCGTCGGCTGTTTGGTTGGTTGGCTATTGCTTTCAGAGGCATCCGGTCTTCTGCCGTGAGTGCAGCGACGCCTGGATGCGGCGGCCGCCCGACCAAAGTATGTGCCCCATCTGCCGCGGGCCGGTCGAGGAGATGGTGCTGGTGCATATCGTCAACAAGGACCGCGAGCAGCAGAGCTGTTTTGCACCTCTCTAGCGGCGGATGGGTGTGAGGCGAGGCGGGGCGGGAGCGAGAGAATGAGTGTGCCAGTGAGTGTATCTATAGTCAGCTGGCTGGCGGGCGGGCGGGCTGTTTGCCGTGTACATACCATACGGTGGTTGTGGGTGATTGGGTGTGTGGGTGCTGGTCGCTGGATGTATTTGATGCTCTGTCGTCTTTCTTGTTGTCCCTCTCTGTGTGCGTTCCCCTCTGTTGCGATTGTCGGGCTCGCACTCGGCGTGCAAACCGACCGGCGAGAGGTGCCTCTCTTCGCTGGTCGCGTTGTTTGTCGGGGGGAAACCGTAAAGTCGCAAAGAGGGAGAACTGGGGTATATGGTTGCACTACGTATACGTTTCGCATGGGCTGGATGGGATGGCAGGCAGAGATTGTTTTGCTTTTGCGACAAGTGTCGATGCTTTGCTGAGGTGCACTGGTGGGAAGTGCGCGTGTTTTCCCGTCATGCGCAGTGAGTGACAGATCACGGCACAGTGGTCGTCATCCACTGTGTTGGCGGACGGACAGACGTGCGTCCGCTAACGCACAGAGGAAAGGCAAGGCAAGGCAAGGACGGGACAGATGCTATGATCTCGCTTTGCAGGTGGCTTGAGGTGTCAAGTGCTGTCTGTGTGTTGGTCGTCGTCTTCTTGGAGCCTGCCTGGTTTTGGTCCAGGCACAGTCAGATCTATGAGAACGGCGTATGCACAAGGCCACACGCGCACAGAGGAGAGCAGCGAGATGAGTGGCGTGGGATGGAACGAGATGGGCACAGTGAGATGGGAGTGTGGTTGACATTATCCAGTGGTGGGGTGTCCGCCTGCCTGCCTGCCTGCCCGCCTAGTGTGAACGATGTATCTTGTGTGTTTCCATGAAGGGACGGAAGACGACTGACGGAATGGTTTGATCGGTCAAGAGTGGCTGCATCCATGCCATGCATCAAGTCGCTCAGCTCTCAGAACATCCATCCATCCGAAAATGACAAATAGGTCAGTTAGTCAAAGTAAGTTACCTATGCGTGTCTGTCGTGTGTGGCATGTGTGTATGTGTGTGTGTGAGTATGCTATGCTATAGCCACACAAGCTTACCCATCCCATTCATCCCATGGCCAGGCCAATGAAATGAGTGCTAAGCTACGGTAGGTAGGTACATCCTGCCCTGCAGGCATCGCTCCTTTCTCTCCCCGCCAAATCAACTACCTACGCCATATCACATCACAGCAGGTTGTAGGCCTTCAACACTTCAACGGGGGCAAAGCCCTCCTGACACACACAGACAACACACACACATCCACACACACATCCACAGATGTCACTACGCCCGCTGCTCTCCCCCTACCCCCCTCCGCGTGTGTGTGTGCACCGCCCACACACACCCACCGCACCTCTGCGCCTCTCTTGACGATGGCTCTGCCAGACCTGGTCTGCTCACGGGTGGCGTTGAAGGTGTCTATCAGCTCCTGGGCGTTCTTGAGGTTCTCTGCCGGCTCCCATGTCGGCGAGAAACCTGCACACCACACACCATCCACACACACACACACATCTGTGTGTGTCGCATCCATCGATGTGTGTGTACCGAGGTACCTTGCATGGTCCACTGGACTTTGTACTCGATCTGCCCGTTGGCCTTCTGCCGCTTGTCGAGGATCGTGCGCACCTCCCACTCGCCCTCATAGCCGTCGTCGAGGCCGCGACGACCGCCCCCGCCCTCGCGCGCAGACGGCCGGTCGTCCTCCGCCCCCAGAAGCAGCCTCGCCTCATCGTCCTCATCCTCTGAACACACACACATGGGGCATGCGGGCCTGTGGCCATGCCATCTGCTTCCTTGTGTGTGTGTTTGTGTGAGTGTGTGTGTGTGAGTGGCTGGTTGTGTTGTACCGTCTTCTTCGTGCTCGTCGTCGTCCTCTTCTGCTTCGTTGTCCATGTCTTGATCGGCATCGGCCTTCCCCCTGTCGGCCTGCTTCTCCTCCTTCTCCTTCTCGCTGGTCTCGTCCTCCTCCTCGGTCTTCTCGTCGTCCTCCTCACTCTCCCCCTCCTCGTCCACAACCACCCTCTGCCTCGGTCTGGCAACTCCCCTCGCACCCACCGGACTTCTAGCACCACCACCAGCCGCACTCGGACCAGCAGCGGCAGCCGCCGGCCCTCCTCGGCCTCTCCCGCGTCGGCGCTGTGCACCACGACCAGCACCGCCAGCACCGCCCTCAGCACTCACAACACCTATACCGAGGCCAGCGCCAAGACCACCAGCATTCACCGCTGGCTGCCGAGTCCCCGCAGACGAGCGTCTGCGGCCCCTCCCCGCCCCCGATTTCCTGCGGCTGCTGCCCTTGGTCAGGGTCCTGCAGTGGTTGTTGGCCAGGCCGATGTCGGTTGGGATGACGCCCTCGGCGACGTGGCCCACAATGACGCCCGTGGGGCTGGTGATGAGGCGGCAGATGGGCTTCTGCCGCTGGGCGGCCGCGTTGAGGTGGAATCGAATGCGGTAGTCGACTTTGCGGTCGCCGCAGATGGGCAGGAGGTTCCTCTCGCCGGGGTAGGGCTCGATGAAGATGACGGGGGGCGGTGGTGATGGTGCTGGGGGAGCGTCTGCAGGGGGCTGGTCATCGGATGGCTGTGGTGGTGGTGCTGCTGCTGCTGGTGTGAGCTGCGGGGCTGGCTCCGTCGATGGTGGCTGCTGGTCCTCTATGGCTAGTGCTGGGGGTGGGGGCAGCGCTGGCTGGGCGGCCTTCTCCTGTTGAAGACAAAGCGAAGAGACAGAGACGGAGACATAGACCATTGATTACGTGTCTGTGTCCTTGTTCGTCGGTCATTGCTTTGCTGTCTGACCGACCATCTTTGCGACCCGCTCATAGTAAAAGTACGGCGACTCGCGCAGCAGCATCGACGCGTCAAACCTCTCAACCAGCTCCTGAGCCACATGTCGGCCAAACACCCCCTCGGCCCCCACCGGCCGCATACCGCACCCGCCCCGCCACACCCCCAGACCATTAGGCATCCCCCGCATCCGCCCGCTTCTCGTCACGCCCATCGTGACGCCCTCGAGCAGATAGACACTGACGAGGGGGTCTCTCGGGGGCTCCTCGGCGACGTATGAGAAGTCCGTTGTCGAGAGGGGGAAGGGGGGAGGGAGGGGGAGTGAGGCGGGGGGGTTGGAGGGGTTGGGGGGGAGCTGGTTGGTGGGGACCACGTGCACCTTGACGCGGTACAGCTCCTCGATCTCCTGCTTCCTTCTCGCCTCCAGGTGGGCGTGCTCGCTGGAGGGGAAGGAGATCAGGTAGCTGAGGAGGCTTAGGTCGCCACCCTCCTGCTGCTGTTGCTGCTGCTGCTCGTGACGCGCTGACGGGGCAGCAGCTGCAGCAGCAGCAGCTGCAGCTGCTGGTGGTGGGGCGGGTGGTGAGCTCTCCGGTCCCTCCTCTTTGGTGATGCCGTTGAGCTTGGGCGATTGGGCCGTCGGTGGGGATTTGGTGGTGAAGAGGTTTGGCTTCTTGGCCCACCAGGCAAACTGACCCTGGGCGTAGGGCTGCTCTAGCGCCTTGTGCCACACCTGTACAGACAGACAGACAGACAGACAGTCAGACACACACACACAGAGAGAGAGAGAGAGGGACTGGAAGTCACACACACACCCTCCCCGACAGGTGTATACCTCCTTTTTCAGTCGCGGCGTCCACTCGGTTGGTTCGGGGATGTACGGCCGCAGCCGCAGGTGTGCCGCCTCGTCCCTGTTCCACTCGTGCACCACGCTGTCTGCCGTGAGAGCGATGCACTCCATCCCCCGCGACACGCACATCCCGATGTCTAACGCGCGCTTCCCGCGGAGAGAGCCCAACACCTATCATGTCAGCCATATGGATGGGCGTGATGCTGGTGTGGTTGGCTTGATGTCTCTCTGCGCTTGTGTGGGTGTGGGTGTGTTTTGGCCACCTGTCTCATGCGTGGCTTGGTGTCGTCGTTGATCTTGCGCCACTCGAAGACCAGGCCGTTGGCCAGCAGGACCAGCCCGGAGCACCCCCTGGGGCCGCTCAGCACCTGACAGACAAACAGACAGACAGACAGTCAGGCCGACGCGTCTCGTATGGTGTCACCTACCTTGATAGGTTTGGCTGAGAATTTCTTGAACCTGACGAAGAAGTGCTCCTTCTCGCGACCGTCTTCGTGGAAGTTGTCACACCTACACCCCACATACACCCACACACACACACACACAAGTGACCTGCCCACCCATACCTGTGTGTGTGTGTGTGCGTGTGTGGCCAATTCACCCCCTAACAAACACCGAGTAGCGGTCCTTCCTGGGCTGCTGGTGTGGGTGTGGCTGTGGGTGGTCTGCCGCAGCGCTGGGATGGTCGAACTCTTTGCTGTCGTTCTCGCATATGATGGCCATTGCGGGGGAGGGGGGCGGGGGCTCCTCCAGGAACTCACTCATGCCTGACATCCATCATCCACACAACACACATGGCCAGCCAGGTGGACACACGGATCTCTCTCTCTCTCTCTCTCTGTGTGTGTGTGTGTGGTGTCTCACTCACTCATGGCAATGGCTTTGGGCGGGTTCGGGGGTGACGGCGACTGCAGCGCCGACTGTGGCAGGAAGGCCACCGTGGCGACGCCCTCCATCCTGGGCACCACCGTGTTGCACCGCATGTGCAGCGCCTCGCCCTCTCGCGTCACACAACCGATGAAGAACCTGACAGCACACATCACACAAGGGGAGAGCGGGATGTGTGTTTGTGTGGTCTGGTCTGTGTGAGCCTGTGGTTGCGGCTGTGGGTGTGGGGGCGCACCTGTCCGGTTTCTGTGCTGTGCCAACAGCCCCCCCATCAAGTGTGGTCGGGCGGCCCTCTGGCGAGCATGAGGACGCTATGGTCATCTGGTTGACGTCCCGCCCGTCAAGGCCCGCAAGATGCTCCCACACACCGCAACCGATGCGCACCTCATGGTGCCTGCAGGCACCATCCACCACCGCCACAACAGACACTCATGTGCCTCCCATGCCATCTGTGTGTGTGTGTGTATGGGTCGATGTGCTTACGCCTGTCTCCAAAGGTAGCACCGGCCGTCCATGAGCTGCACCGCCAGCTGCCACCTGCCGATGGCTATGTCCTTGACGGCCTTGCCCTCGGCCGGCAGCGACCGCCACAAAGGCGACTTGCACAGCTGAAGACCATACTCAGGCTGATGGCATGGGAAGGAAGGCACAACCAAGGAGGACAGACAGACAGACAGTGAGAAAAGGGAGTAGCGTAGTGTGTGTCGGTCGGGCGGTCTCTCACCGGTCGGTCGTCGTTGATGGTCTCGTCTCTGAGCGAGGGGTCGAACGCCCGCAGCATGGTGAACAGCGGCCCGTACCCGACATAGTCCTCACCAGCACCAACTGCACACCACCACCCAGACACACACACACACATCCATCTCACAACGCGTCCAGGTGTCCACTCTCATGCTCATGCAGAACCTACTGTCCGGCACTTTGGCGTGTTCAGGTATGGACTCCCTCCTCCTCTTGGGCCCCCTCTTTTTCAGCTCCGCGTCGTCCTCGATGGCCATCGTCAGCGATGCGGTGAGGTCGTCCGGCCCGCCCTCATGCTCACCCGAGGCCGTGCCCTCCCCCTGCTCCTGCTGCAGAATGCTGGCGCCGCCCGAAGTGCCTACACCGCCACCGCCGCCACCCATCGACTCATCGGGGATGTCAGGCTGCGATGTGGCGTCCAGATCAGGGAGGGGGGGAGGGACGTCTGCACACAAAGGAAAGGAAACACATCGGGGCAATGGTGAAGACGTACGTGTTGTGGCGGGCGGACGCCTGCCTCTTTTGTTGATCGTACCTTTCGCTTGATCGCCTTGATCTTGCTCCAGCTCCATCGGTGCCGGTGCTTGAGCCTGAGCCTGCTCCCTGCCCCCGCCGTCGTCTACAGCAGCCTCTCCCCCGTGCTGATCCTCACCCCTAGCCGCCTCCCTCTCCATGGCGGCATCGCCCTTCCCCTCTCCCTCACCCTCCCCCTCACCGCTCCTCTCCTCTGCTGCTGCTGCAGCTGCAGCCGCCGCTGCCACTGCTGGTGGTGGTGGTGGTCCTGCCGGCGGCATTTGCTCATCACCGTCTGTCGCGTGTGGCTGGGCAGCGGCAGCCTCCCTAGGTGGCTCACCGGCACCAGCCGCAGCTACTGCAGGCTCCCCCGCCGTGTCAGGACCGCGGGTCAGTGTGTATCTGGCGGCCCACTCCCGCCGCTTCGCCTCCTCCTCGGCCATGAGCTCGTCCTGCTCGTCAGACATCACAACATCGTCATCTGGACGCCGACCGCCGTCCTCCACATCGCTGCCCATCACCGCCTCCTCAATCGGACGCTGGAGTGCCTCCTCGCCAGGCTCAACTTCTGCAGCTGCTGCTGCTGCTGCTGCAAGTGCTGGAGCTGGAGCTGGTGCTGGTGCTGCCTGGTGCGGGTGCGCAGGCTGACACTGGCTGGTGGTTGCGGCGATGTTTGGCTGCTGCTGCTGGTGGTCTAAGAGCTGCCCATCTTGCGATGCGCCGGCAGGGCTGGACGCCACGTTGGGTGCGACGCCTGGGGATGGCTCGTTCTCCTGCTGGTCGGCCGTGGGCGGGGAGTCGGTGCCATCCATTGCCTACCTATGACGCCTACTTAGACCTGAAGCCGGAGCATATGGCGGAAAGAATGCACAGATTCGGTCGTCACGGGATGGCCTTACCGGTCCATCTACACCATGCCATTCCCTCATGTGCACAACCTGCGAGCTTCCAGTCGCAGATTTTGTTTCACGAGATGCCCTAGGCGGCCTGACGTTTCCGAATATGCCTTTCTTCTCTTCCAGCAGCAAGCCTCAACTGGGAAGGCTGTACTATGAGATCCGAGTCGACGCTTGTGCACATCACAACGCTGGAGCCACAGGTGGAGCCATGGAGTCGGCTGGGGAAGCACCGACCATCGTGTTCATGGTCAGGCAGAGAGGAGCGCTCCTGCTTCATTCTGACAGATGATCTGAGTCTTCTGTAATGGATTTCTTGTGCGGTTCTTGTGATGATGTGCAGTCTTCAATTCTCTGTGACTCTGCAATGTGGACTCCATTCATCGAGGTCAGAAAGAGAGATCCATCCATGTGTCTGCCTGCCTGCTGATCTGCATGATGCTGTTCTGGGCTGCAGGCGCTCGTCGCGTCGGAGTTCCCAACGCCTTTCCGGGCGGTGATGATTGATCACGCCTCACATGGCCAAAGTGACCCACTCAGGACGCCCTTCTCTCTCGAAGACGAGGCCACGGCCGTGTGTGAGCTGCTCGACTCAATCGACGTCACCAAAGGCATCTTCTGCGGCTGCTCGTGGGGCGGCCACACCGCCGTCCATTGCGCCTTGCAGCGGCCCTCTCTCGTCGAGCAGCTGTGGATCATGAGCTCATCCCTTGACGGCGGCTCGTCGTCATTCTTTGGAGGCTATATGATGCCAGCGCTCATCAAGACAACGGGCCACACACGGTTCTTCGCGTCGCAAGTGGCGCGGGCGTTCCTCCCGGCAGCCTCTGCGGCCAAGTACACGGACTTCATCCACGATATGACACGGAAAATGGCGACAGGTGGGATGCTGACGGCGTGGCGGTCGGTGATTCTGATGCGGTCGGACCTTGAGCCCCGGCTGCGGGAGATAGAGTGCCCCACGTTGCTCATCGGCGGTAAGCGACAGAAACACAGACAGCTGGCTACACGTACCGATGTGTGTGCGTGTGTGCGTGTCATTGGTTTGTGTCTGGCGACATTCAATTAGGTGAGGAGGACAGCGGGCCGTCGCCGGCCACTGTTGAGCGTCAGGCGGGGCTCTTCACGGGCGTCAAGGAAAGGAACCCCAAACACATTTGCAAACACCACATCATCCTGGTCAGGCAGACGCAGGGCAGCCTACACCCGTGAATGATCACCTACTCTGTCCACGTGTGTGCGCGTGTGTGTGCAGGCGTCAAGCCATCTGTGTATGGTGGATAAGGCCGACGAGGTGGCTCAGGTCGTGGCCGACTTCTACAACGCCCTCCTCAGTGGCAGCTGACGTGACACTGCTGGTCGGTCGACGGGTGTGCGGATGAATGAGGAGATTGGGGACTGCTCTTACTGGTGAAACATACGGCCTGCATGGATGGATGGACAAGGACAAGGACAACATCAGCGACGTTTCCCCCACCCACAAGCAGCAGACCAGCCAGGACCAGACTGACGACGCTGCGGCAGACAGCCGAAGCATGGTGGCCGCGGCCGACAGCTTCCCCCCATCCGCGAGTGAGTTGTCTTATCTCCCTCCTCACCCGATCGCACGCTGGTGCGTCAGATCCCACCGGCAATGGGCTCACAGCAACAGGCTGTGGCGTCGCGGGCCGAGTCGCGCAACACGCCTCTCACCATGGAGGACCGCGAGATGCTGGTGGCCACGGACGAGCAGAAGAGAGGTGGCCCTGCAGCGGTGCTTGGGGCGGCCATGGGGATGCAGCCGCCAAGCGAGACGGCGCTTGTGGCGGTACACCAGCGAGGCTGATGCGAAGGCGTGCCTCACGCCGCCGGGGGATAAGGTCGCCCTGCCGTCGATGAACGTCATCGAGGTGTTCATCGATGAGTACTGACTGACGGGATGCCATGCATGGAAAGCCGAGCCGACAACGGGGATGGCTGGATGAATGGACGGGTGCGTGTGGTTGTCTTCGTGTGGGGACATGGCGGGGGCGTGTGTGTCTAGTGTGTCTATGTCTGTGTTTGTGTACTGTGTCTACTGTCAGACGGCCTGCGAATGATAATCGAATCCGATCGATGAGGGCTCTCAGCACATTTCACACCTGTACAATGAATGTTGACAGAAGTGGGCAGTCTGTCGCTCAGCCACTCACACGGCCGCCAACACACACCACACGCGCACACACACGCCCATCGGTCATCCACCCGCCGCCCGTAGTCTGTACACCTCCAGCTCGGCTAGGTCGAATTGCCAGCCCGACTCCGAGACCCCATACATCACACTGTCGCTGTCGACGCCATGGTCGCGCAGCCGCCCGCGCAGCCCAGACGCCAGTGGCGTCACCAGTGACGCGCCATGACATCTCCTTAGTGTCTGGTCGGTGGCCGCCGGGGCGCCGGGCTGTCCATCTGGCCGAACGCCGAAATCCAAGCAGGCGGGACACAAGAGGGACGTCAGCTTTGAGGGCGGTTTGGGGGGTGAAGAAGAGAAGTCAAATGCAGTCGCCAACTCCTGCACACGTCATCCTCATACAGATGTGCCTGAAAGGAATGTCTGTCTTGCCTAGTGCTGTGTTGCGTTGTGTTGTGCCTGCCTGTGTGCCAGCAAGAAAGAGCCTGCTGCTGAAGCCCAGGTAGCCCGCGAATGGGTGTGAGTTGGTGCCCTGCAGCTTGAAGGCGTGCGATTTGATGTCGGCCTCTCTCTTGGCTGTCCCCGTGATCTCGATGGGCCCCTCGATGATGATGGCGAGCAGCTCATCGCTGGCGGCCACCCGGAAGATGAGCAGCAGCGGGGAGAAGCCCTTGACGGCCTCAAGCAAATCCAGCCACTTCCACCCATCCACTGACGCCCTGACAGCATACACACAGGTGCGGTGTGATGTCTTCCTTGTCGTTCTCACTCACTTGTAGATGCGCATGACCGGCTCGCCCACACATGGCGGGATGGGAGGCGGAGAAAGCACGAGTGGCAGTGTGCACCACCGTCGCATCATCTGCAGGTGTAGTGTGGTGAGCAGACCGTCTAAGGGGCCGAGGTAGCGATCGGCAGCGAAACCATACCTGACACACAAACAGACAGCGAAGCTATCCAGAGCGCGTCCACGCACGGTCCGCCTCACATGTCGAGCACACGGCGGTATCCTTTGGGGTCGGCGTCGCCCTTGGCCTCGTGCACATCCCACGACGTGATGGCCTCCCCCCTCATGCGTGATCTCGCTACCATATCGACCACTCGCTGCACATAGTCCACCGGCACACCCACGATCAGGGGATCATACCTGACGAGACAGAGAAAAAGGTCAGAGGCAGATAAGAGTGCTGCTGCTCTGCGAGCTAGTCGGTGTGCTCTACGGACTTGAGGAATCGGTTGGCGAATGTCGAGTCGTCGCCCAGCGATTTCGCTACGCCTGTCGTCACCGTCACACTGGTCCCCGACACGTCAATCGACACCAGCTGACATCAGACGACAGACACCAATATATTATAAGGCACATGAGTGATATATGGCTCCCTTCCACCCTCCCCTCTTGTCTTACCGAGTCCTCCCCGCTATTGCCCGTCTTGAGTAGCGGCTTGATGGCGTTCAACCGCTTCTCCTGCGCCGCGTTGTCCTCGAAGGCCTTGCCGACCAGCGTCTGCAGGTCAGCTATGAGCCTGAGGGTCTCAGACGCGCCCTGCTGCTGCTGCTGCTGCTGTTGGTTTTGGTGCTGGCCGAGTGGATGTGGCTGCTGATTGTTTTGTGGAATCGGCTGTGGTGCTGGCGGTGGGTGGGGCAGTTGTGCTGGCTGTGGGTGAGGCAGTGGGAGTAGCCGTGAGCACGGCGGTTGGAATGGTAATGCGGTATGGCCGGCGTGCCGCTTCGTCGCCGGGTCCCACAGCAACAACTCAGCCCAGAACCTGACAGAAGACAAGGGCTTCAGTCGTTTGCTGCCTAACATGCCTGTATGGTGCGTCCATCTGCTTGGGCGGCAACAGCACCACGTCGTCCGTCTGCTCGGCCTCATACAACCCAACTTCACCAACCAACCTGCACACGCGCACAATTACCATTAGACACACAGCCAGAGCCAAAGCCGCAGTGTTCCTCCTCTCCTCTCACCACTTGAACACAGGAGGGTAGATCTATGACGACCAACAAAGTGAGAAGGGCAAAGTGAAAATCCATCAAAGTGAGAAGGGCAAAGTGAAAATCCATCACGCACAGATGTAGTGTGCTTTGCTCGTGTCCACACCTGGAGGAAGATGCGATTGTTCTGATCCCGGAGAAAGGCCTGGTCAAATCGGCCAGAGAAGAGCAGTGCCATGACAGACCCCTTGGCCGCGCAGAGGGCCGAGCGCCGCGCCCGCACCGTCTCGCCAGCTATGTTGAGCTCAACTATCTCACGCAAACGCTCCGCCTGGCCGAACACAACACAGAAGAAACAGCCAAAGGCCTTTTTCTGCCTTCGGTTTCTCATACCGAAGGCTCCGTCAAGTCGCCAGTGCCGCCCATCGCCCGCTCTTTCGCTATGAGCTCATCCTTGATCTGCTCCAACTTACTAACCACCAGCTGACATTGCTCGATGCTCGCATCGAGATGGTCACCGCGCTCACCACTGGCAGGACAGTCAGGCGGCTGCTTTCGCTTGCCGCCCTGGCCTACGTGGCCCTGGCTGCCTGCAGCCGCCGCCGCGGAAGCACTCGGGCTGGAGCTCATTGCCCTTTCGCGAAATTCTCGACGCGAGACGAACCACACACAAGACAGCGTTGGCAGTGGCGCATCAGAGGCTGATTGAGGAGCTGTTTGAGCGTCTGCCCCGCATAGCCCCCTGCAAAGCCAACAGCACAGCCAACAGCACAGCCACCACCCACCAGCACAGCCACCAGCACCGTGCCCTACAGCGGTACAAGCCCTGTCCACCAAATTGCTGGAGGCTGGGCGGCAATATCACAATATGGACAACCGCACTGGTCATGATCGGCCAAGTGGTGGTGACATGGCTCAGCATGGTGATTGTCGACTGCTGCAACAGGGGCGCCTCGACAGGTGGGCTGGGGGAAATGGTTTGTTCTGTTCACCCAGACCAATTGCTTATACAGGTATCTGTTCTCGTGTGTCTGAAGGCACAACCGAGCAGCCCGCAGCAAACGAGGCGACACAAGCAGGCCAGCTGCCCGACGACACGCCCGACGACACGCCCAACTTCCGGACTCCACGCAGTTCGACGCCACCAGCCGGTGAGTATGTAGAGATTGACGTCGCTACTTACCTCGTGTGGCTGGGCAGAGACGAGGTGCAAGCCTTCAGCATGGCCCCACCGGATGAAGCCCTCTGCGAAGTGAGGTGCCAAGACCTTTGGCGTACATAAAGAAGAGCAGAAGGTCCTAGCCTGCCTGCCGCACAAGAAGCTCAGTGCCTGGCCCTTGCCGCACATCCCAACGTCGTGAAGATCGTCGAAGCGAGAATGGATCTTCTGGGCCGCAACCTCATCATGAAGGGCTAGGCCAAATGGCCAAGGTACGAGCACGTATATGCGGCAGGGATCAACACCTGCGGATGCCTTTGTCTACAGAACAAGGAGATCAACTGCAAAACCCTCAACAAATTGGCCGAAATGGTCAGGCAGGACAGAGGGGAGGTTGAGGCGCTCAGCGTATCATTTCAGCTGGCGGCCAACAAGAGCAGTAGCAAGGTGAGACATCAGGCCATTCCGTACACGCACAGCACAGCACAGACCTACCGGATGGATGGTACGCATGTGTTGTATGTAGGAGGGTGGTCGTCGCCCTTCCCCTTTCGAGGGCGTACGGGCCAAGGTGCTTCTCGGCTCTGGCTCTCCAAATGCCTTCAACCTACACCTGCTAACAGGCAGGTCAATCGGTCAAACGCGTTGAACGAACGAGCCCCTGCCTGCCTGCCTGCAGTGCAGTTGTCTGTCTGTCTGTCTGTGATGTGATGCTTCCTTCTTGTCTGTGTTGACTCTCCTGCAGAGAAGCACCTCGGCAAGAGGCGTGTGCGCGTGCGTGGGCTGCAGAAGACGATAGACGTCCTTGAGGGGACCTAGTTCTGGAAGGACCTCCTCGTGGCTGTGTACGAGTGTCTGATCGCCGTCGACAAATCACCCTACAACCGTCCGGATGGGTACCATCGTGCCGTCATCACGATCGTCAGATTCGTGAGGGTAAGAGTGAGAAGGAAAATGAATGGAGAAAGACCATCAATCTGTTTTGATTGAATGCAGACAACATCGTCACGGGCTGACGAACTAGACACGATCCTGTATACTGCTACAATCAAGGAACCGCCCAAGAACTGTATGAATTCAAGAGAGGAGGGCACTCGCGTGTGCCGGTTTGTGATCCTTTATTTGTGTCCGTTTGGTCTGCATCCATCAGGAACGAGGCCAAGTGCGAGCTGAATGCTCTTCGCGCGCAGACCCAAGATGCTTGTGTCTACAGAACAAGGAGACCAACTGCAAAATCCTCAGCAAACTGGCCGAAATGGTCAGGCAGGACAGAGGGGAAGTTGAGGCGCTGAGCGTATCATTTCAGCTGGCGGCCCTCTACAACGAGCTGTATGCAGCAAAGTGAGACACACGTCGCCACAACGAGGTCTCACTGACATCAGTCCATCAGCACCTACAGCGAGGAAGAATTCAAGAAGCTCATTCAAGAAAAATCCGGAGCCGGCCATCAAGAGTGAGAATGAAGATGAAGGGAGAGAGACCATACATCTGTTTTGATTGAATGCAGACAACATCGTCACGGCCGGCGAAGTCGAGATGATGCTGTCTGTCACCTTGATCAGTACAATAAGCCAGGAAGTGGCTAATGAAGGTTAGACCCCCAAGAGAGAGAGAGAGGAGGGTGTAGGTGGAGCTTACAACCCCGCCACCCCACAGCCCCTCTTGTGTTGTGTGTGTTTCTGTCCGCCGGTTGCTCTGTTACATGCTCAGGTGTGGTGATTCATGCGTCATCATCGCTGCCTACGTTTTATATTCGTTGTGCTTGGTTGGTGCCTCCTCTCTGCCTCTCCCTCTTCTCTTCCTTACACACAATGTCTTTCGCTCACCACATGCCGCTGCCTCTGGAGAAGACGGTGATCAAGGGCCTGAGCAGGAGTCCTGCCAACCGCCCCTCGACAGAGGAGATCGATGACGTTGTTGCAAAGGTCACATCACTGAGACATGAAACGAAGACGAGAGGAAGGAGGGAGGAAGGGTGCAGAGGAAAGGATACCAACCCAGGCGCCGGCACAAGGCAGTTTGCAGCATCGACTGACATCACCAGCAGCGTAAGTGAACTCGAATAATCTGCAGGTAGGACCTGGTAGGTAGGTACATTTGTTTCTGTCTGCAGAGCGCCTCTTCAGACAATATACAAGGGACTGCCAAGCCCGCCAAGCCCCCCACCAGCCGATGTTTCCTCCCCATTATCGCAACCAAGTGACGAAGATGCTGAAGAGGGGACGAATCCTCAACAAACTGGCCGAAATGGTCAGGCAGGACAGAGGGGAGGTTGAGGCGCTCAGCGTATCACTTCAGCTGGCGGCCAACAAGAGCAGCAGCAAGGTGAGACACGCGTCGCCACATCGAGACATTACGTGGTCTCACTGACATCAGGCCATTACCGGCTACACTGAGGAGGAATTCAAGAAGATGCGGAAGAACATGAAGACGCTGGGGGTCAGGAGGTGCTGGACAGTGCAAGAGCTGTGTGATGGGACGCTGGGCGGGTGGATCGACAAGGAGACGGCGAAAGATTTAGCTATACATCACAACCAAGCAGCCTTTATGTATCGATGTTTGTGAATCTCTCCCTCTCTCTCTTTCCCCCCTCTGTGTGTGTGTGCGTGTGTGTGTGTGTCTGCGTGTGTGTGTGCACCCACACAGGCATCTGTGTTGAGAAATTCTTGCTCAAGTGTTACAGGCTGTTCAAAGGGGTCAAGCACAGCATGACAAGAAGGGTACGGACAGCCGCCGAGCACTCAAAAAGAGAGACACGGGTGTGCAGACAATGGGCATGGTGTGTGTGTCATGTGTGCAGTGGCGCATGTGGATCTCAAGAAAGAGAAAGAGAATGTGTTCATGACCACCACTGAGACGGTGAAAGTCGGCGACTTCGGTACGCACCAGACACACTCCTTGACAAGACCAAATGGAATGCATGATATTCGTCTCCTCAGGTTTGTCTGAAGAGTTCTCTCGCCCGCTGACCAACACCCTGAGCAGATGGTGGGTCGGTCGGTCGGTGGGTGCGATGCCAGACGACACAGACACATGATATGGATTGGTACTTCAGATAGCGTTGCCCTATCTCCGGCCGGAGGTGCTGGGCGGCACCGTCAACTATACGATGGCGGCAGACTATTGGTACGGATAGCCACACATCAATATTACATATCAGCCCATCAACGTACTGTGGTGTGGTGTCTTGGCTGCAGGTCGCTTGGCGTCATGTTGTTTCTGGCCCTCAGCAGGGCGCTGCCGTTTGGTGTCACGCAAGACGACGCCGACGGCCAAATACACACCCATACGCGCAGCTCACAATTTATTTGTGCATGCATTTCATGTCTCCGTCTTACGCTTCTGTGCCATCGTGCAGTTGCAGGAGATTTTGGACAATCGCAACGCCAGCGGATATGAGCACGTGCTCCAGTCCATGCCCCTAGTCCAGGACTGTAGTGCCGTCGGCGAGGTAAGACACACACACACAAGGGGTTGCTACCTGCGGCAGCTAATAATCTGCTTGATTCTTCCTTGTTTCTTGCCATCAGCATCTGTACACTCGCCACATGACCGAGGCCGAGGAGGAGGACTGGCTGTGGCGGAAACTCCAGCGGCCGGACATCCTGAAGAACCACCCGGTCATCAAGCTCATAAACCGGTGCGTACACAGAGCCGGACACCACACGTATGAGCAGCTGTATGCTCTAGTTGCATAGTGCTCATCTGGTTGTTGTGTATGCGTCTCTGGGTGTACTTGTGTGTTCAGTTTGCTGCAGGTCGACCCCACCAAGCGGCTGACGGCCAAGGATGCGCTGAGCCACGCCGCCTTCGCCGGCGCGCTGGCGCACGAAACCGGTTAGCCAGCCAATCAGCCAACCAATGGGAGCAACTATTGGGACAAGCAGTCTCATTGCAAAAAAAGGTCGTACTGCAAGAAGAAGCACGGCGACGCAATGAACACGCTGGCGCTGGTAAGAGCTGACCCATGGGCACAGGCCAGATTCAAAATCACAGGGCACAAGGGCGAGGGTAAGCACAGGCTGCCACGCGGGCGGGACAGGAAGGGCAGCGCAGCTTTGCGGCGGATACTGCAAGTCTCTCTCTTGGTGTGTCAATCATTGTGTTGCGCCTTTGTAGGAGCGAGCGGGATCGTTGTGTCGTGCGAGAAGAAGGCCGGTCGGCTTGCCATCATCTGAGCGATTTTTGCACGAGAGTCTGTCTTTCTGTCACCAATAAGCCCCCACTCCTCCCCTCCGTGGCGTCTCTCTCTCTGTGATTGGTTGGTTGGGGCTTTCGTCGGCTGCATGCCTTTTTTTCGTCGTTGATGGGAAGGTCGGCAACACAGGAGAGGGCGTACTCATGTCTCTCTGTCGTCTCTGCGCAGCCAGGAGAATGGCCGTGGTGTGAGTGAGAGAGCCGGTAGAGAGCCATGTTCATTGCGGATAGCGGGGGCGTACTTCTAGCTCTTTCCGCGGGAGGATGACCCGCTTTCACACTCACGGAGGATGAGGATGACTCGGCCGGCCTTCCCTGTCTGGCTGTCTGTTTGTCTGTGTGATTGCATTCACCCTGATGCGGTCGCTCGTTGTGTCTTACTTCTTACCTGGATGGCGGTTGATCTCGCCCCTTTTGTTTTCACCGCTTGTGTGTGTGCGGTGCGTGTGTGTGTGCGCGCTTGTGTGCGTCGGTCGATCGAGCAGCCACCCACCCAGCTCGCTGGTGGGAGATTGAGGGCAGAAGGGCAGCCAGCCAGCCATGCATGGATGGAAAGATGGAGCGTGAGATGGGTGCGTCACCCCAACCCCCGTGCACCACAAATTGATAGATGTGACAACGAACAGGGAGAGACAGATGGGAGAGACGGCTCGGTAGAAACAAAAGGAGCGATTAAGAGAGAGAGAGAGGGGGGGCATGATCATCGCTGCCTACATTTTATATTTCGTTGTGCTCGGTTTGCCCCTCTCTGCATCGAGTATGTATTGCGTGTGTGAGTTGGGGGGAAGAGTGCACTTGAGTAAGTGAATGGACCAAAAACACTGACTGACTGAGACAGACGAGTCCCATGAATCGACGAACAGCCATGTGTCAGTCACGTGTGTGTGTCGGTCGCCAATAAATCCACCCCTTCTTCCTGCCATCCATCCATCCATCGCAGCCAGGTCGGCCCGGCCCAGCCCAGCTCAGCTCAGCTATAATACCGATCCTTCCGCCAATCGATGTCCGTCCGGGTGTGCATGTGCCGACAAGCTGGCTGCAGCCGTCTGTCTGTTCTGTCTCCTAGATTCTGCCCCCCTCACACACACCATGCATAGATAGCATCGATAGCATCCGTCATCATCCTCACTCACAACTAGGGCCAGACAAGACAAGAAGGACGTCACATGCACCACACACACCACACCACACTATTAAAGCTACCTAGCCGCCTGCCTGTCTGCCTGCCGGCATGTCTGTCTGTCTACTTCTCGGTGGTCCACGCCCAGGGCACCAGCTGCCCCCCACCGATAACACGCTGGCGGAACGTGTCGTAGTCGATGTACGCTGCACACACACACACACACACACAGAGGAACCATTCACATGTTGTTCTTCTCCGACTCTCTCTGCGTGGATGCCTTTCTGGCTTACTGTGTTTGCTCTCCTTGGCCCATTCGGCCAGACGCTTCTCAAAGTCCTCCAAAGTCACCTGTGGTCCACATCACGGACACACACATGGGCATGTGTTGATATCAACACCCCTCTCACTCATCAGATCAGCCCACGATCGCTCCCGTCAGACTGACTCACCTGGTATCTGCCGCCCGACAGAGCGTTGAAAACCACGTTCAGAGCCTGTTGGTTGTGTGTGGCCACGACACACACAGATACACACGGCTTGGGCTGCGTGTGGATGCGTGGTGTGTCGATCGTCGTTGCCTGCTTACGTTTTGGTCCATTTCATCGAAGTTGAGTCTGTAGTCGATGAGGGACCGAAGCTCCAGCAAATCAGCCGCCTTGTCAGAATACTGAAGCTGACGCGTCACCTGAACACACGCACACACATCCACAGACACACACATACACACCCCACCACCATGTGTGTGTGTGTGTGTGTGGACCCCACCTCGTTGAAGAGTGCGAGTGCCTCCGGCTCGCCCTCCGGCTTGGCCGAGCCCTGTTTGAGCGGCCATCTGAACTGGAGCTTCCGCAGCCGCTGCGCGAAGTTGCGCTTGTTCAAAGCGGGCTCGCCCCTGGTGGGCCAATCAATCGCATCAATCACAGAAAGGCGTTTGTGTACGTCATGGGATGGGCACACTCATTGCATTGCGTCGGTGTGGGGGGTGGGTGGGTGAGTGAGCCGTGCAGTGCAGTGCAGACCTCGGGAAGAGTGAGTCCCAGGCGAAAGCCTCGGCGGGGTTGTCCCAGGGAGCCCTGCACCAATCACACCAACCACATGAGTGCAGTGCATGGGATGCATCCATCATCCAGCCCACCCACACATGGGCCCATATGGGCATGATGGTGCACTGTCTGTCCCCTGCCTGTCCTTCCCGCCCGCCCTACCACCCCGCCCTACCACCCCGCCCGCCCACCTCTGCACGCCTGGCGAAACAGGAGGCCGGATCACAAGCGCCCAAGGCTCCTGCAGTGCAGCGGGTGCACACACACATAAAGGGCGGGTATTATCCTCCATCCATTATCACGCAGCCTCGATGGTTGTCTGACTCACGACATAGTCTGGTCGCTTCTGCGGCGCCGCATACTCGCCCTCAGGGTAGTCATGCTCTGCACACACATTGACGTGATGCACACAGAGAGAGGGAGAAGGGAGGGAGGTGTGATGCATGTGTTTGTCTGTCTGTCCGCCTCTTACCCGCCAGGCGACCGAACACCTTGATCAGCTCGGTCTCAGGGAACTGACACACACACAAAGAACGGCACAGACCAATCAACACCAGTCCAGATCTATGCATAGATCTCCATCGACACACCGTCCTGGCCCTCTTGCCCCCCTCTCTCCCCCGCCCGTACCATGAAAGCGGGCGAGCGTGAGTGCGCCGCCACTGGCGCCCTCACGACGGCTGCTGCCTTGACAGAGCCTCCTCCGACGAGACGGCCTTCACATACACAGACGGAGAGGAAGATGGCCACCACTGCCAAAGCAGGCAGAGCGCCACACAGGGTGGATTGGCCGATGGAACGCTTCATTTCCGCAGAGAGCAAGGCAGTTTTCGGTGAGGCGATGCGAGCTAAGCCAGATCTGTGCGAGCTTGTAATGACATGAGACAAAAAAAGGCTGTGGATGTTGGCAGAGGTGATAACGGCACCTGCAGGTGTGTTTGTCCTCGTCGACAAGTGAACATCGCTTTGACAAGAGGTAAGACGGGATGCGCACTACTCTACTCAAGCACACAGCAGAGCCGCTCTGGTGCCTGTGTGCTGCATGATGTCACGTACGTCAGGGTGTGCGTGATCATCTGATTGTCGGTGAGTGAGCTATGGCGACCGTCGTCCCTCCCACCCCGCCGCCCGAGGCAGAGATGCGGGACCTCAGCCTCGACAACGGCGTGCCGCCGAACGGCGTGCCGCCAGGACAGCCACCCGCACCTGCCGCACCGCCACCAGTCATACCTGGTCAGCAGCGAAGCACACACTGACATGGTGAAGGGTTTGGCGCGATTGGTGGGAGTGCTGTGTGCTGTGTGCTGTGTTGGTCAGGTGCGGCTGGTCCGCCGCCTGTGCGGCCGCCGGCGAGCGCTCCGCTGGTGTGTGAGATGGAAAGCAGACAGACAGACAGACGGGCAGGCGGCTGTGAGGAATCTGTGGTGTTGTGTGCTGTGTGTGCACGTGTTCCTCAGGGCGTCATCTACCCGCCTCAGAAGGAGAGAGAGATCATCGACAAGACCGCGGCGTTCGTGGCCAAGAATGGGGTGGAGTTTGAACAGGTCGGCTTAGCTTACCTAACCTTGGCTTTGCTTCCATGCCATTCCAAGGCCTCCCTCCCTCTCCCTCCACCTCTCTCTCTCTCTCTTGCAGCATCTTTTCCGTCAGCACCAGGATGCCGCCGCCAGTGGGCAGCAGCAGAAGTTCGCCTTCCTATTCCAAAACAACCCCTACCGCGCCTACTACGACCACAAAGTCAAGGAGCTGCTCGCGGGCAACAGTAAGTGCCCCTGCTCGCCCCACGCCACGACACACGCCCGGTGTGGCATACTTCAATGATGGGTGTGTGTGTGTGTGTGTGTATGGCGGTTGGTCGGTCAGCTGCGGATTTGAGGCCGGCCAAGCCGCAGGCCATCTTGGACCAGGAGAGGAAGGAGGAGGAGAAGAAACGCAAGAAGGAACAGCTCAAGGTGCGTGGGTGGGGTGGGCCGGTGGGAACAGCCAGCACACTTACAGCAAACGACTCCCTCCCCCTTATGGATGTTCATGGCATGTCAGATGTTGACAATGGGTGAGGACAGGAAGCGCGAGCTGAAGCCCCCAGAGCCGGACGAGTACACGGTCCAGCACCCATACATCGCACCCGTCGACGTGTAAGCACACACACACACACACACACACGTGTGCAGCACAAGAGTCAGATGGACAACCGGCACTTCTTGCTGTCTGTCTGTCTGTCTGTCTGTCTGTGTCTTGCTGTGTGCAGTGACATCATCAAGATGACGGCGCAGTTTGTCGCGCGCAACGGCAAGACGTTCCTGGAAACGCTCTGCAAGAAGGAGGTGCATAAACACCACACACAAACACACACACACACACACACAGACACACGGGTGTGTGTGTGTGTGCGTCTGTCTGGCGACGCCCACCCACAGGTCGACAGCGCCCAGTTTGAGTTCCTCAAGCCCACCCACTACCTCTTCAACTACTTCACGAGCCTCGTCGACGCCTATACCAGGTACACATACACACAGACAGACACACACACACACATATACACATGACACAGACAGACACATGAGCCTGTCTACGACCTATGTGTCTTGATGTGGCAGGTGTCTGGTGCCGAAGAAGCCGTCTCTGGAGAAGCTCAAGCGCGACGCGACGGACGGCGGCCCAGACACCGCACCGATGAAGGGTCGGCGGGAGGGAGAGAGGGAGGAAAGGCTCATGTGCTCATCTGTGTGTGTGTGTGTGTGCAATGCACCTCGGCACCTGGGCACCTGTCTGTGTGTCAGTGCTGGAGCGCTGCACGTTGCGCCACGAGTGGGAGTCGCAGGAGGAGAAGAAGCGCAAGGAGAAGGAGCAGAGGGACGAGGACGAGAAGAGTACACACACGCACACACGTGTGGCCGCATACACTGCCTGCCGCCCACACCTTCCCCTCTCTCTCTCTCTCTGTGTATGTGTGTGTGTGTGTGTGTGTATGTGTGTATGTCTGCCGATTGACAGATCAGATGCAGTCGATCGAGTGGCACGACTTCATAGTGGTGGAGACCATCCAGTTCACCGAAGACGACGACAGGATCCAGCTCGCACCACCCGTCACAGCCGACCAGGTAGGTACACAGACACACCCTCACACCCTCATCCTTCCACACACACACACAAGTGTGCCTCTGTGTGTGTGTGGTCAGTTTGAAGGCCACCAGCCGGTGGGTCCCGTGATGGCCGTCGACCTCACGAATGGACAGCTGGAGAGAGACATGGCGCGGGTGCGTCAACGCACCCCTTCACACACACCCCACCATCCGCACACACGTGTTATCTCTGTGTGTGGTCAGGCTGGTCTGTTGGCGCCAGTGCCGCTGGAGTATCAGCTGCCCGGCGAGGAGGTCGACAGTGAGGTCCCCGCGGGCACCATCGTCGGCTCCGCCATCGTCGACAAAACCAAAAGAGATGAAGAGCTCGCCAAGAAACAGTTGGTGCGCCTCTCTCCCACTCCCTCCCTCCCTCCCTCCCTCCCTCAAACCCCTCTGTGTGTGTGTGTGTGTGTGTGGATGTCATGCAGACGCGCATCGTTGCGGATGAGGAAGAGATGGAGATCGACACGGATGAGAGGCCCAATGAGCCACCACCACCAGCAGCTGTGGCCCCGGCAGCTGCTGCAGCTGCTGCAGCTGGTGGGGGAGAGGAGGGTGGTGCGGCAAAGGAGGAGCTGCCTGTCCAGAAGGAGACGGAGAACATCACTGTGGTCAAGGACTATGTCAGACAGAAGAGGGGGCGGAGGGGCGTGCCAGAAGGTATGCAGCGCTGTCCGATCACCGGCCAGCTGGTCCAGTCAGACGACATGGCGGAGCACCTCAGAGTCCTCCTGCTCGACCCCAAGTGGAAGTCAGTGTTTGACCCACACACACGCTCACACACACACACACACACACATACCGGCTGTTGGTGTGTCGCAGGGAGCAGAAGGACCGTCTGGTGGCCAAGGCCAAGAAGGAGAGCGCTTTCGCACCCATTGCCGGTGAGT